TACCTACCTATCTACATACCTACCTATCTACATACCTACCTATCTACATACCTACCTATCTACATACCTACCTATCTACATACCTACCTACCTACCTAAAGTAGTATCAGATCAGCATAAGACGAGACTCTACATGTACTATACTCTACATGTACTATACTCTACATGTACTATACTCTACATGTACTATACTCTACATGTAGTGTACCGTAGTGTACCGCAGGTAGTGTATATGCGCGCGCGCGTGTGTGGGTTGTGTGCTGTGTGTGTGTGTGTGTGTGTGTGTGTGTGTGCGACACTCAGCCTCAGATCCACGGAGCACTACATATAGTTCGGTTCGGTTGATTTAACTCGCTAATTACTTGCTGTCTATGGTGTAGAATGGTATGGTATGATATGGTATAGTATAGTGTATAGTAAATAGTGTATAGTATATGATATCCGTACTTTATGTCGTATTGCATATCTCACTTCTTACTCTAGTGAACACCATCTTCATCGAATTGTATATCTCACTTCTTACCTTGGTGAACCATCTTCATCGAGATCTAGCGTCGTATCATCAACTAGTTGGTGCCAGCGAGATAAACAAAGGCAAGAAACCCCGGAAGAACACTCAGACAGATTTATCTTTTATCTAAACCTTGGTCTATTGTATGTGCCCTCCCTCTTGATCAAGATCGGACTCTCTTTCCTCCCGAGAAACCCACCGTCCACCGTCCGCCGTTCAATTTTCAGAAAGCCAAACTTCTCCCTCGTCGCAGTAAAAAACATGTCTTACCACGGGACCAATCAACCGAGTTACAACTCGGCCTGCATCGGCCCAAACTGGCTCTTGAGCTGTGTCATCTCGTATCTGGCTCGATAGTCACCAGCCGTCTGGACCTGTGGTCGTAAGTAGGTCGTGTATTCCCCCGTGTTATCGTACAAAGGTAGGAAACCGGCGATCCGTCTCCCGACCCTCCTGTACCCATGGGCTCTGTTTGTATGTGACGGTCATCGGGCTCGAGGATACCGGCACTCATACCGTGGCTGCTGTGAATATCGACGTTCCGGTCAGGCCCATTTCCTGCCATGTCTGTAAGTCCTTCGAGCGCTTGGTGCTGTTGGCCTGTGTTGCTGCAGGAAGGACTTGGTCTTGAGAAGGTCGGTGAAGCCCAAGCCGTTAGGCGTCTTCCATCTGGTAGAGTGATTTGAAGCAGAGCTGGTCGCCTGGTTTCGAGATACGTGAATAGTGGAGGCATGGATACGCCATTCGAGCCCTGCAAAGACAAGACTAGGAGTGCCGAAGTCGCATCTGGGTCTTGGTGCGTTGGGGTCTGAGCATCGTCAATGTCAAACAAGGAATCAAGCCACGTGAAATCCTCAACCGTGCCGAGGGTCAGAGAGGAGCAATGTTCCAATGCAAGGCTCTTTAGCATGACGGATCTCGACGACACTCTGCTGACACCACCGAGCCACTTCACAAAACTTGCGTCTACGCCGGCGACATTCCGTAACGTTAGGCTCTGTAACCTGGGATTTCTTTCCACCCATTTCTGTAACTGAGTCCTCGTGATGCCGGCGCGCTCGACAGTCAGCCTCTCTAGGTTTATTAGTTTTACACTCGATTCAAGTTCGTCACCGATCCCGGCCAAGGCATCCCAGATCGGACTGGCCCGCAGGTACTCAGATGATGTCCAATAGTGCGCTGGTAAACATGCGTCGTGGAGGTAGGGGTGACTGAAGTTCAGATGGAGGTGACGAAGATCGGGAAAACAGGTCGCAAGAATCTCCGGGAGGGAAGGGGACGTGATGGTGTAGATGTGCAGGGTCAAGGAACGAAGATGTACCAGGCTGGAAGTGGTTAAGATGGAGCAGGCAAGAGCATCCTGGAGCCGGAAGAGTTGCTCGCGGTGCTGAGCCGGGGTGGGAGGTGGCTCGGTTGGATTTTTCGGTTTGGACGCTTTGCTGCCGATCAGTGGTACAGGAAGAGGGCAAGAGACCACGATTTGATTTGGAGTGGGAACATCGTAGTCTGGCTCTCCGTAGAGGACATCTGTTTCCTCGAGAAGGGACGAATTGAGAAAGGCTAGGAGACCGTGGATACGCCGGGGGAGGATCGCGATCTGGAGGGTTTGCAAGGCGCGAGAGGCGGCCGAGTAATGTTGCCGAGATGTTCGCGCGAATATGAGGAGAGTCGGGACGGAAAGGTATGTCAGGATCTGATGGAGGATCTCTGGCGGAAGCGCGGAGATAGGTGGTGGCAGCGACGAAGCCATGTTCAGTAGCACAACGATAAAGACAGTAATCTGAGAGAGGAAAAGCTCTTGATCCGAGGTGGGCACCAGCGGGACCGCCGCAAAATAATAAGACTTGAAGATCCCACCTGAGAAGACAAAGTGAAGAATGACAATCTCCAGGATTCACTCCTCACGAGGGACAAAAGTGTGCGAAGCCTGAAGAGTGAAGAGCGAAAGCCATGAATCCGGTAGATACAGTAGTGTGGCAGGGCAGGGCAGACCAAGGGGTCGCGTATCACGAACCACATTCCTCCAACGACCGCCCGGTGCCTCTGCATGTCGACAGCTGCGTCTGATCGAAAGGGGAGTCCACACACCGCTCGTACCCAAACCATCGGGACATTTTGGAGGACTGGGGTCAAATATAGTGAACCAACAGGTAGGGGTAGCCTGTTCGTTCGGAGGGAGGGGAGGGAGGGGAGGGGGCGTCCTGTGACCACCGAGGAGGATGTCCCCTGCACCTCTTCAGCGGCGAGAGACTGGACAGGGGTGCTTGAACGGACCACGAAGACAGGATTGTGGTCTGGGCCAGTCCAGTCAAACCAGCCCAAGTCTTATCATATGCATTCATTGCCCACATTGTCGAACAAACCCGTCACTGGCGACTCGAGAGCACAGAATGAACTGGCGGCTGCGGCTCGGAAGACCAACGCGGGGAGGGGGAGGGGGAGATGGAGGTGGATGTCGCCACCACCTCTTGCAGCACCCTGTGCTCCGTGCTGCATTTCTATGCATCGGTGCCTAGGGCTAAGGCTCCCTGTCCTGAGACGGAGCGAGCGAGAAAGGGTCCGGTGAAGAAACCACGACAGGGTCACAGGTAGGGGGCACCGAGGGGTCAGGGTTCGGTTGGTGGACAGCCATTTCCGCTCCAAGTGTCATTGGCTTGTAGAGGGAGCAGCACAATCAGCCCTTAGGCTGGGATTCCTAGCGGTTGATCGCTAAACCAGGACCCCAAGCGGAGTCTGGGCGACGGGCGATGGTCCAAATAAGGCTCGGATGGCGAATGTGCCAAAGCAAGATGACGGAGGAGAAAGGGAGCAGAGAGGCAGAGAAAGAGGAACAGAGAGACATATACTGTAGGGTTAGGGTTAAGGTACTCTGTATTCCGTACATGTACCTAGATACATACTACTGTATGTACGTACCTACCAAGGTGTCTTCAGGCATCTCTTGATCCGCGCAGCGCAGGCAGCGTCACAAAAGCGGCGCAACCACAGGCCAAATACAGCATAGAGTCCCGGGACTTCCCGGGCCCCTGATACGTAGCCGCCGAGCCCCTGGGGGGTGGCCTTCTAAGCCCCTTTTTACCAGCACAGCAGTCCTGCCGTACCCTGTGCTCCGTATCCGTGCTCTGTACGAGATTCAGAGCGAGTTGCAAGGTTCGTGCATCATTCATCATTTCATCAGGCATCTCTGTCTACAAGATTAACGTTCCAAGCCTTAGGTACGTCCAATAGCCCCGTTGGGGGCATCTTCTTCTCGGCACTTCACCATGCTTGGGCGCTGTTCGAGCCCACTCCACCCCTTTCTTTCCCAGTGACACAATGACCTTTGCAGTCTAGTACCACTCATAGAGCAGTGTCGCCCTGCCCGTGCAACATTGTCCGTGACCCATCCTGGCGGTCACAGGTCCAACCAGATGTCTTCCTCGTCTGCCTCCCATTGAGATTGCTGTTGTGTGGCGTCAGGCGCCAGTTTGACCTGCTCATCCTCTGGTTTCTTGCGTACCTCCGTGTCTCTGCCATCATCGTTGGTCTGAACGAGTTGGATTGGTCGACGTTGTCGGACAACCTCAGCACAACCCTCCGCCAGCATCTTCGACCGACACTTTCGTGAGTCGACCACTCTCTCCCAGTGCTGTCTCCAGGCCCTCTGAATAGTCACTGCCGCTCTGGGCCCCTTGGTCGGCTGTAGGAGTCTGGAACAGAGAAAGGCCAGTGCCGCCAGCACGAAATCCCGGTCAAAAAAATGTCCACGGTTGTGCGACGCGTGAGGACCTGAAAACAGACCTGTAAATTGCTCGCTGCACCCGAGCCCTCGTAGTCGTTCGCTGAGCGCTCGGCCTCTCGTTGCCTCGGCGTCACTGATGATGTATCTCTCGTACTCCTCCACAATGGCCTCGAACACTTTCGTGTCAGCAAAACTCGTCGTCAGATTCGTAACCACCAATCCGTGCTTGCTTGCGACGGCTTGGGCCCAGGACTTCAATAGTATCTGGTAACGCGCAGGCCCCTCCTCGTCGTGCAACACGTCGAAGAAGTCGTTTTGCTTGGTGCCTGCGGTTCGACAAAGTCTCTTGATCTCTCGCTCGACATCATCCCAGTCGACAAGCCCGCCCAAACCCCATTTGCTTGTCAATCCCCAGAGCAGTTTGACGGTCTTTTCTCGGTACCCATCCACGATGTCCGCAGCTTGCACATCTTGTACCAGCGCTGTCATTCCTCGGACGCCTTGCAGTGCGCTGAGGGCGATCTGGACGTTGTACAATTTTGTTGCTCGACCGATACAGGGAAACTTGAGGTGTTGAGACAATGGCCAGTCCGGTTGTTCTCCGGTCAGAGATAGCAATTCTCCAGTTGGCAGTAGCACCGTTGTGGTTGCATTGGGATCCTCCGAGTACTCAAGAGACTGTGATGCCGATGGATATAACAGCAATTCCACCAGCCTCGTCAACCGCACTCCGTCCCGTAGGTCCACCGCCAAGTTGCCGATTTGGTAATCATATTCCTCGAGAGGGTATTGTGAATGTGTGACGGTGTATCCAATATGGCTCAGAGCCCGGATGGGTTCTCCCGCACTTGGATTGAGTAGCTGGAGGAGGGCTCTGACAACGCCGACAGAATCCTTGTAGCAAGAGGAAGATTGAAACAAGCAGCCCCTGGTCATTTGACTTGCAGTGGTTTTGGTGATATCCAGAAGCTTGATAAGCATGAGGCTCCGAAGGAGTGTTCGTTGGTAAGACCAGGAGTTTCGATCTGTGCCAATCTGATCCGGAATCCCGTCTTCGTTTCGGATCAAGAACGTCTCAATGAACCGCTGCAAAGCTTCTCGAGTGGCACTGTTTCCGCTACTTTGTCTAGCTAGGAAGACTCGGCACTGGCGGCCGACCACAACCTCTAGGGCCGACTGAAGACAAGACAAATTGTATGTCTCTAACCACAGATCTGTAAACGCCTTGCGTCTCCCAATGTCATTGTTTAGACGTCCTGCTCCCTTCAGGATGTCAGTGGGAACACTCAGGGCACCGAACAGCAACGCCGCTTGCAGTCTCTTATAGAGCATAGCAAGTTCAGCATCGCCATACTTCTCGAGGAGGCGAACCCGCAGCATCGAGTCCTCGACCGGTGACGACCACGAGGAAGATGCTCCAAAAAGGTTGTTGACAAGCTGGGTCATGGAAATCTCCTGATGCTTCAACCAGCTATCCTCATACATGGAGGGGGTGGCCAGGTCTTCCGTCAGTATTGGATAGTCATCAGCAATCAGGTCAGTTTTGACTCCTGGGACGATGAATCGAGTAGGGACTGGTGGTCTCCTCAAGCGGATTTCCTCTTGGTGTTCCGTACTGGGGCCCGACTTCGGAGGTGTTCTCTTGACTGGAACTAGATGAGATGGTCTGACTCGAGGACCTCCTGAGTTCCAGGTAGGCTTTACACGAGAACGCTGCAAAGATGTTTTGTCGGTTGTTCTTCCCATGGAGCTGGCTGTTGCCTCATACAACTTTGACGGCTTCTTTGCTCCGTTGTCAGAGTGTTGTACCCGATTGCGCACCGGGTTGTGATCAAACGGCTCTGACTTTGTCAAGGTACTTCCAGCCGATTTCTCGTCTTCTGCTACCCCGTGTCCAGGCGGGATGTTCTCCTTGCCACCCCCCTGACCATATCGATCTTCCACCGTCGCACTCCCTTGGACATTCTTTCTTGAAACGTGTAATGGAGCTCGTTTCGGAGACGTCGCAATCATCGATCTCCGGGTGTTTCTCTTCTTCGCCATCTGCGCGGCAATGCCCGTGATCTCAGTTTCTGGCTCGGCCGTCCCTGACACCATTCTGGCGTCCAGGTCTTTGATTGGACTGAAGATTCCCATGTACATACTCGGCATTGTAGTGTCGTCGTTCGGGATGTAAATCGTGCCTCGCCGAGCCGGCTTAAGGACGGTTGTGGAAGTCAGCATCAGGCTGGTCTCTTCAGGCAGGGACACCAGCGGTCTCTCCGTCCTGGTGTTTGGCCTTCGCGGTACTTCGCTGAGCCTGCGAGACACATTTGGCACTCGCGGTGTATAGCGTATTTGGCTCTCGTCTTTTGAGGCGAAGGGCAGTTTAAAACTCGGATGATTGTGACCCTGAGCTTTCAACGTAGAGTGATCTCCGGCGTTCGGAGCCTGAGCTGCGTGGGAGATGACGGCCCTCCTAGCAGGTTGCGCCAAAGCAGTCTTCCTCCCACCACCACCACCGGGACCCAGCTCAACATCCTCATGAATCGCGAACCCCGGGGCATTATTGTTCTTTCCAAACGCAGTGTATCGCCGCCGTGGCCTAGTGTTCCGCAGGGATCCGCCAAAGGCCGAAGTGAACTCGACGTTGGCGGTAGCGTCGTCGTCGGTGGTCAGGAGGGAGTCTCGTGATTGTCGGTGGCGCTGCGTCTGCTGCACCGAGACTGGGACCGGGCAAGGCGTCGCTGATACATTCTGCAGCATCTTTCAGTCCTCAAGGAAACACTTTGCAGAGATCATCAGTCATGGCATGGCGGCCGACTCGTCGAGTTGCGCTGAAACACGCGTTCGACCAAATCTATTGTTGACGGAAATGGTTGCGAGGGGCAACGGACAACTCGGGGTATACAGTATATCACTATATACTACAGGGTAAATGGTCCTTTGGTGAAGCAATATCTGCGTTCACCTTCACCTTCATGGATAGACCAATGCCCGACGAATGAGAGTGACTGACACAAGCCGAGTCAGCCAGATAGCTGCATTAAGATCTTCGCGTCTATCATGTATTATCCCCCAGATAAACCCGACACCATCGCTATGCAACATGCCCGCTGAAAAGATGATCGATCAAGACTAAGAGTCCACCCAACGCCCCCGGCCTCTTCCTGTTCCTGTTGTTACAATTCATCTCTGGTGGGAAAATGGAAACCCCAGGACCGGTCAGGGACAGGAATCCCCAGCCAGTAGTTCCACAGCCGATTCATTTCCATCACGAAGATGGCAAATAGCTTGAATGGCATCTCGACCCAACTGCGCAGAACCATCCTGTACGCCCGCCACACCAAATCCCATTCACTCCAGAATTCTTCCGAGAGGGTTCGCTGCGGCAATGGGTCTCTATCCCTATCGTCGTTGAGACCATCGTCCACAGACTCGAAACCCAGTGTATCCTCGTCTGTTGCACGCCCCTGAATCTGATCTTCGGCGCCTGGCTTTTCTGGCACGGAAAGGGGTCCCTTTACGTCCAGCACGCCATAGTCACCGGTGTTGACGGCGAGCCGGAACTTTTGGATGGCGTCCAAACTGTGACTAACACGCGCCAGAGTATTGACAAGTGCCACCAGCTCGGTTCTTCGCAGATGTGGGTTTTCCCCGTTCTTGCTCTCGTCGAACTCAAACAAAATCTTCAGAGCGGCACCGTAGCCTGCCGTCTGCACCTTGCCCCAGAGGCGGCATTTGTCACAGCCCACGCAATCCATTAGTTTCGACACGTTCCTGAATCGAGTTCGAAAATCCTCCTTGAGGTCGATGACAGCTGGATCCTGGAACATAACGGTCTCGTCAAACGTATGGGGTCCTGCGGCGGCTTTGCCGGCCAAGGCGAGGACTTTTTGCTTGGTCTCAAAGTCTTGCTCCGGATCCGAAGAGCAGAACGTGTAGGACCCGAGGTGCTTCCTCGCCTTGGCCATCGCCCTCGTCAGGAGGGCGTAGTTGAAGTAGATATTGGAGATCCGTTCTGGATGCGTATGCAGTCGTTCTTTGTAGCAGTCAACGTTATGAAACCACTCGCCGGTGGTCTGATTGAAGAACTCCCAGCAAAGATGGGTCGAGATCGAGGCATGCATTCCACTGACGATCCGGTAGAATGCGCGTTGTTCCAGACATTCGTCATCCAGCGGGTACAGGTCTTCTCCGTCATCCACATGCTGTCGTCCATATTCTTGAAACACGTTTTTGAGATTCTGGGCCGCCTGAGATGACCTTGATCGCAACGACGCAGTCTGGGGCGAGGCCGCAGAAAAGCAATTCTCCTTGTATATCGTGTCCCAGACCTGCCGGGCACCCATGCCCGAGTATCCGGTGTATCGTTCGGTGTTGTTGACCAGACTCACATAATCTCCTTTCCCTGCAGCATCTTCATCGTCGGGAATACAGTAGTCCCTCTCGTCACATTCGTCGTCGTCTTCAAGGACGCAGCTCTCGTCTACATTCTCGCCCAGCTGATACTGCAGAGGTCGGTCTCTCGGCCTTTCTCGTCGCTGTGCCCTCCCTGGGTGTTTGGCCCGCGCCCCCTCTAGTTTACTTAGCTCTTCGGCTCGCCATATCGGAGGGACGGCGCTTTCATCTTCTATTGTCTCCACTGCACATGCCCGATTGCCACACATGGAATTCTCATCTGTCCAGAAGGGACAGGCTTTGTTGTACAGGTTTAAGCGATAGTAGGCGAAGAAATCGGTATGTTGGGTCAAGTCGTCGAGGGAGGGTCCTAATTCGGCGTTGAGCCTTTCAAGGTCTGAGTAGGAGGTGCAGGCATCGGAAACGATCGAGTTCGGGTCTATGGCACACTGCGGTTCTGCCCCGACGCAGTGTGGCCGCAAGAAGAGGTAGAAGGCAAGGAAGAACTGCGAGGCGTGTTGGAGGCGCATGCTGGCGGTGTGGCCGCAGGGCGTAGACAACAGTTGAGACGTCGAGCAGAAGGATGTATTTGGTGTTTGTACAAAGAGAAACCAAAGACCGGCCCAAGTGATGGGCTGTGTGATCCAAGACCGAATGAGTGAGACGGTCAAGGACAGACTGGCCACATTCCGTCGAAGTCGAAGGGAATTCGTAGTCGATTAATAATAAGAGATCCGAGTCGAGTCACAAGTTGAAACGGGTACGTATGGTATCCTTTGGACAGAGTGGCAGCAAAATTGGAGGCGAACTTGAAGGGAAGCGAACGGAACAGTCCCTCCAGAGGAAACAGTACTGCGTATCAATATTTAATAGTCGGGCGACCATGATCATAAAAATATACGTATACCAACCCATCTCACGCCACCCACCCTCCACCGTCCGTGTCCAGCTGTGGCTGTGTAGCCTTCAGCCTCCCACAGTCCTGAATCCCTGCATAGTATCCGTACTCCGTACTCCGTACGCCATACGGATAAACAGATGTACACTCGTAGGTACTCACTCACTCCGTACAACTTGAACTACTAATTAGTACAGAGTACGTCGCCAATACAATCACCAATCAATCCTTCTTTGCGCTGCAACACCCGCAGCCCGTGTCGCCATCACGTTGCCTGTGCCTGGCATTGCGCCAACCGTCCTTGTCGGACGCAGCCCTTTGTTGAATCCCAATTTCTTGTCCAGGCTCTCAAATGGGTTCGATTCCTCCGCCTGCTTCACCGTCCACTTACTCGTTCCAAGCACATCGTCGAGCTCTTGAACTGGAGGCAGTTTGAGATAGACCCATCCGTCTTCTCGTTCCTCCGCCTCGAAGGTGGCAACGGACATGCTGCTGTCGGTCGAGCATGACCCTGCACCGGCGTCCTTCTGGTCGAAGTTGACCTCGCCGTTGAGCTGGAAGTTCCTCTTGTGATACGGACAGCTGACATAGAGTCTACTCTCCTTGCAGTCGGGCGCGGTATTCTCACCCACCAGCCCGTCGGAAAGCCCAAACGTCCTCCGATGCGGACACATCTGCTGACTGGCGTAGTATTTGCCCTTCAACTTGAAGATCGCCAGCTGCGTGTCGCCGCGGAGGACAGTTTGTGATGATCCCGTCTCGACAGTGGCGAAATTCTTTGCCTCAACCATCGGCTGCCAAGCGAGGCTGGTCCATCTGGTGCCCTTGAAATCGGTATGGACAGATTCCTTGGGCCAGTATGCAGGTCGAGATTGGCCTCTTTCTTCCACCTTCTCAACGGCTGGCTCTCGATTCTCCGAAGAGTTGGCGAATTGTTGGAAGGCCTTGCGTTTCTCCGGGTCCCTCAGCGTCTCTGTCCATTCGCAGAAGAATGTCCCTATAAGTTCTTGCATCTGTTTCTCTAGTTCAACACAGATGCCGAGCTTGTCCTCCAGTATGACCTCCCGGAGGTATCGAATGCCCCCCGGCAATTGTTCAATCCACCTTGCCGTCCTCTGCAGCCTATCTGCTGTTCGAATGTAGAACATAAGGTAACGGTCGAGGATCGGGATCACATCGTCCGGCGGGACATCCTTGGCCAGCAGCTCAGAATGCCTTGGTGTTGCTCCCCCGTTGCCGCCAACGAAAATGTTGAACCCCTTGTCAGTGGCGATGCAACCGAAATCTTTATTTTGGGCTTCGGCGCACTCGCGCACACATCCGGACACTCCTCCCTTGATCTTATGAGGCCCTCGGATCGATTTGTATCTCTCTTCTAACCTCACCGCCAGACCGACAGAGTCACCAATGCCGAAACGGCACCACGTCGTACCTACGCACGATTTGACAGTCCGGAGAGATTTGGCATAGGCGTGGCCCGACTCCATGCCTCCGGCAACCAGCTCGGACCAGATGTCCAACAGATCTTGCTTCTTTGCACCAAACATATCGATGCGCTGCCCGCCCGTGATCTTGGTGTACAGCCCATACTTCTGTGCAACTTGGCCAATGACAATCAGCTTGTCAGGGCTGATCTCTCCGCCAGCCACTCGCGGGATGACAGAGAAGGTGCCGTTGCGCTGGATGTTTCCCAGATAGCGATCGTTGGTATCTTGGAGGCCGTGGAGTTTTCGGTCCATGACGTGCTTGTTGGACAAGCCGCTCAAAATAGATCCGATGGCCGGTTTACAAACCTCGCAACCTAGACTGTGGGGTTCTTTTCCGACTTCTCGCATAACCTCCCCAAACTCATTTAGCTTTTTGACGTAGATGATGTTGTACAGGTCCGCCCGGGAAAGGGGGAAATGAGGACACAGGTGGTTCAGGACTTCGTTGCCCATCTCTTTCATAGTCGTGTTGAAGATGGACTGAACAAGAGGCATGCAACCGCCACAGCCTGTCCCGGCTTTGGTGCAAGACTTGACCTCTCCAATTGACTTGCAGGACCCATCCTTGACCACTCCGACCACGTCCCCTTTGGTTACGTTGTGGCAAGAGCAGATTTGCGTATCGTCGGTCAGGTCGTCAGCGGACTCGTCGCCCTCTTTCGATGCGCCGATGATCAGCTGGGAAGGTGGAACATCCAGAGCCTTCTTGTTCTTGACCATGGGAACCAACTTCACGTAGTCCCTGGTGTCACCAATCATCATCCCTCCCAGCAAATACTTGCCATCCATGGTGAACAAATACTTCTTGTAGACGGCTTGGAAGGGATCCCTGTAAGTCAATGCCTTGACGGCCGGAGGAGGCGGCTTGTCCGTGAGACTCTTGACCCTACCCTGGCCAGCAGCTTCTTCCTTCTCTTCACGCTTCACGTGTCTTTTGGGTAGATCTTTCGGTCCATCTCGGTCCGCAAAGAAGTCTCCAAAGCTGGCCACTTCTACACCCAGGAGCTTCAATTTGGTGCTCAGATCTGGCCTTTTGAAAGCCCGAGCACTGTGCACCTTGGCTTGTGTGAGATTGAATGAGAGAACGTCAGCCTGCTCAATGCCGGGTGCGATGAGACCAAAAGTCTGATTCTCCCAACTGGCGCATTCACCGATGGCGTAGATGTTTGCATCACTGGTCCTCAAAGAATCGTCCACGATGATGCCGCTTCCTCCATCGGCGCATTTCACACCAGCGCTTCGGGCCAGATCATCTCTGGCTCTGATTCCGATGGCGAACATGACGCAGGAACAATCCATCTCCTCACCATCCTCGAAAATGATACCTTTGACAGCGTTGCTGGCATCGGTCAGGATCTTGCCAACCCGCTTGCTAAGCATAACATCCAGTCCAAGCCGGTGGATCAGCTCAACAACCATGTTGCCCGCATCAGCATCCAGCTGGCGCGACAGAACCCATCGGTTTCTTTCAATAAGCTTGACTTGTTTGAAGTATTCCAGGTCCATCATGGCTTTGGCCGCCTCAAGACCTAAGAGGCCTCCACCGACGACACACCCTGTCGTTCCCTTCACCGTGGCAGAGAATTCCATCAATTTTTGAAGATCTTCAATTGTTCGGTAGACGAATACGCCCTTGGCATCGTGCCCGGGCGTGTGCTTTGGGAGGACTGCATCAGAACCCGTGGCCAGAACGAGGATGTCGTAGGGCACGGTATCTCCTTTGGAGGTGATTACCACCTTGTCTCGTGGTTTGATCTCAGTGACACGAGTGTTGAGGTGGTAGCTGAAGGAGCCGGCCGGATGGCCCTTATACCAGGATTCTGGGCTGAGGTAGAGAGACTCGACCTGTCGGTGCTGAAAGAAGCTTGTCAGACCAACGCGGTTGTATGCAAGATGTGGCTCTTCTCCGATAACCACGACCTCGTATTCTCCTCGTTTGGCGTCTAGCTTTAACAGTTTCTCCCTGCGAGAACCCCATCAGCTCAATGCTAAGACTGAGACCGAAGCCTGCTGGATCAGACACTCACAGAAAAGCGATACCAACCATACCTAACCCGACGACAACGACCCTCTGCCTCGAGCTCTGCCTCGGCGAACCCTCTCCATTCACTTCCGCTCCGGCAGGTGCCTTGCGGATAGCCACGCTAGGTGAGGACGATGGCCACGACATGCTGCTATGACGGTCTCAGGGCTTGCCTCTGCAACGTCTCAGGAATTGCCTGTAACGAGGTCAATCACAACACAACATCTACAACACTGACCATGCAGATTCACTGCCATCTAGAAACACAGAACGCCAGACGACCGACAAGAGATGGTTCGATAAACGACCGATAGATGAAGGGCCATGTCTTGTACGCCTCCGGAGCTCCACCCCTGCACAGCACGAGTCCGCGGGGAGGAAGACACCGACCATTCAGCCAACCGAATGCTGGCCCTATTGGAAAAGGCTCATGCCGCGGAGAACGACTACGCAACTTAAGTCGCGGCCTCAGGAGCCCTGAGGCCCCGGCAACTGTAGGGCTGAGGAGGCGCATGGGATGATGAGATCAGCATTTCCACGGCCTCAAACATGTCTGCCTTTCTCCGAGATAAGGACAATGGATGGAGCACAGAGATATGCCCTAGGAGCCATGTGAGTGGTGAACCGACGTTGAGATAGGCTGCCACGCCCAGACCTCGAGCCGGCCACTAGCTTGGTTATGTATTGTAACCCGGTATTTTTGCCCCCTTTCCACGAATCCCGTCCTTCGCAATGCAAATGCTACTATTACCTAGGTACCTATAGGTATGCTCAGGTCCTGGCTACTCATCAAAAGAACATCAATTGCTCATCGCTCCATCCTTGCTGCAGAAGAGCCTTGTGCATGGTCTTTTCCAGCGCTCCCGGTCCACAAATCAACACCAGCGTATCTTCCGTCTGTGTACAATTGTCCTGGACCAACTGTCCTGTAATCCTTCCTCGAAGGCCGGTCCAGTCGTCGGGCGGTTTCGTGAGAGTATGTAAGATCCGGCATCTGTCTTCGTTTCCCTTCCAAAGCACGTCGAGTTCTTCCTTGCACAAGATATCTTCGTACAATCGGTTGCCATCAAAAATAATACAGCGTGTTCTGTCGTTCGGGTTTTGAAGCACAGCGCGGAAGACTTGGTAGATGGGAGTGATTCCACTCCCACCGCAAATCATCACAAAGGATTTGACGTGTCTTTGTTTACCCTGGATAAGGCAGTCGCCGTTCCCTAGATATTCGAACTTCCCAATGGGTCCCTTCATCTCAATAGGATGGCCAATTGGAAGCGCATCCATCGCTTGGGTCATCTTTCCTCCTTTGCCGCGGTCATCAGCAAGGTATACTTTGACTAACATTTGCATGTAGCCCTGATCGTTGATCTCGGAAATTGGCGTGTAGCTGCGAATAATGGCCTCCCGGGTGGCGGGGTCTCGAAGCCTGACCATTAGATGTTGTCCAACAGGGAGTCCAAGACGCTGTTGTGGATGCTCCAGCTTGTAGGTGAAGATGCGTGTGTCCCAAGAAACGGTTTTCTTTTCGTGTAGAACAGCTTTCTTCCATGCTTTCGGGTTCAGGAAGGTTTCCGAGGGTTTCCCAGACTGATCAGCCTCGGAGCCGCCCTCAGTCAGAGCAGTCTTTGCGGCATCATCCAAGGAGCCAACGTGGTATTTGGGCATCATGGCTTTGGCGGTCTCGCTGTGGATTGCCATAAACTCTTCAGTGGCATCAAGTCCTGCCGCCGAAATGATGCTCTGCGCCCCTCCCGGGTGCCCATCGAGGAAGGCTGTGCCGTCGTACACTTCACCTTTGACAATAAACCAGGGCTTCTCTTCATTGTCATGTTTCCTCAGCTCGTCGATAGTTATTGGATTCTTCAAGCCTTCCTTGACCATGGAGATCTCTTTGCTTTGTCCTTCTTCCTGTGGTACTTCCTTTTCACCGTCAAGCTTTTCACCCCAAAAGCCATTTGCAAGGTTTCCGCCCGCCTTCTTCACCCTTTCCATCCAGCCACCAGGCATGAGCGCCGGTTGCGTGGGGTGTTCAAAGCGGAGGTAGTCAGCTTCTGGTGTAATAGTGACGCGAAACCATGGGTTATTCATCATCCCCAGAACGGACCAGTACATATCTCGAGGCTGCACATTCATACTTTCGTCCATTGCGCGGGCAAAGATGTCCTTCGATGCAGAAAGCTCACTCGTTGGTAGGTCTATTGACCAGAAGCACCAACAAAAGCACGTCTCTCGCCAGGACATATCAACTTGGCCACCGAACAAATTCCTGTCGACCTGGCGATAGCGATCCTCAGGGTACTCGATGTCGGCCAGCCTCCAAGTCTTGCCCTTGTCCAAGGTTACCTCGACTCGTGTTATGCGTCGACCACCGCCACTATATGCATATCCCCTCGCCTTGTACGCACCAGATGCATCAGTAAGACGCAGCTTTTCTTCATGCTGAGGATAGCAGATGGCTGAGTTGGGGTTGAGATCGTAAATGGCATATCTCTCGTCTGTCCACCACTTAGGGTTGTTTGCCGATTCCTCAGGCGACACCATGGTCGGCAAGACACGGTTATCATATATATGGTACCAATTATCGCTGGGGCTGTCAGTAACAATGAGCCTTTTAAGCCACTTGACCGAGCGACCACCGATTTGTCCGGGAATGACGGCGCGCAGAGGCTTTCCGTGGTCAGGTCTCAAAGTCTCGCCATTCATCTTGTAGGCCAGCATGAATCCTCGATTAGGATCCAGGGCCCAGTTGAGTTTGACCGAGGTGCCGTAGTATCCATTTGGTAGCTTGTCGGCGCCTTCCATACAGACGTACTTTGCCCTCCGCCTAGGCTTGGCTCTCTTGAGTACGTCGAGCATGACCACACCGGTAAAGAGGGCTGTTGAGACGCCAGCGGCTCCCCAAGAAAATCCCTTAGTCTTCCGAACCATGTTTTGTTCTTTTCGCCGGTTGCCTGCACATATTAACGAGATTGGATATGTCACTTGATCATACTCCGTCATGAGCTGCCTCAACGATATGGTCATGGGATTTTCCACCTGTCCTTCCACCGTGAACTCCCAATCAGTTATGTCTTCATCCTTGACCTGGGGTACAGCTCCATGATTGCGGACGTAGAACAGTTCCGGACTGGTCAGGAAGCCTTCGTTGAATAGTTCGGTTAGAGGAGCCTCAACATTGAACGGATGGACACCCGTTAGTCTGATGAGCCTGGGATCTCTCGGTACATGGCTGTCTGGTGTCTTCAGATCGACATCCAGTGTCTGTGTTGGGATGGTGGTTGGGGGTGGGAGTGGTATCTCAATGGTTTCATCGTCCGGGTTGGATAGGTTATCATCGGTTGGGGGAGGCGAAGGAGGGAGAATCTCTTTCGTTCTTTGAGTGTCTAGCTCTTCAATTCGTTCCGGGATCCCCTGGCTGTCCGTTTTTCGATCTTCCATAGTGTCGCAGGGAACACGTGGATCAATGATAGACCCTTTCACATGCAGGGGCCCTCCAAATCATTGAAAACTAATGCAGAAACGAGTACAACATGACAGCGTGCAGAGATAAAGGAACAACGACACAAAATACCTTGAAAGTTAGCAACTTACAGAAAGTAGGCTATGGACCCAGTAACGGACAGACGCGATGATGTTACATTTTTGGTGTGGCCTCCTGAAGCAGTCGAGATCCAACTGCAGAGGTATGAAGATCCGCGGGACGTCGTGCAACCAGTAAGTGACCAGCTTTGTGCTTTGCTGCGAGGAGATATTCCATCCTGCGCTTATCTATGGGCCATGCCTATTATGGCTAGTTTTGTCTCGATGTAATGGCGTTACACGGCCAGTACCGAGTAGGTTCCTAGGTAGTTACCTGGGTACGTTCCAGGTGGTTCTGACCATCGGCGCACAGAGTCCGTATGTGTAGCCCTGCCATTCCGGGAGCTGTGATTGTGAGTATGCACAGAGGAGATCTTCATTGCGTAAAAAGCGGCCGACGACGGCGGTATGGAGCCTCTCTGATGAGATCTTCGTCAAAGAGTAGGATCGTAGACTGATTTCTTTGGCGTGTATTAGCTTCCGGCCGTCTGTGCATCAAGCAGGACCTTGATGCGAGGCGTCAGTAGTCCGCCGCACGCCTTGAGAGCTGCCGATTGCAAAGCAGATGAGTTCCATGGACGTGGTTGCAGCAACTGCAGCGTATCGAAGTTCAAGAGGACTCGGAGCACGTGAGTCGGCCGCTTGAGGAGACGCTTGGCGCACGTGACCGCTCTGAGATTTCGGAGACTGGGCTGCAACTTTTTACTTTTTCCGGGCCTCGAAACTCCCCGTCCATGTGCCGTCGAATCCAACAACTTCGACCGGGTGTAGATGCTAAAACGACAAGACATCAATCACCATGCCCCAGAACGAATATATCGAGCGCTGGACCAAGCAGCATGGCAAGCGGCTGGACCATGACGAGCGAGTGCGGAAGCGAGAGGCCAGAGAAGGCCACGCTCAATCCGAAAAGGCCCAGAACCTCCGTGGGCTGAGAGCCAAGTTACACCAGAAGAAGCGACATGCGGAAAAGATCCAGATGAAGAAGGCCATCAAGGCGCAAGAAGAACGAGATGTCAAGTCGGCAGCACCCAACGAACCCTCTTCGACCCCTCTTCCCAATTATCTGCTCGACCGATCCCAAGCCAACAATGCAAAGGCGCTCTCGAGTGCGATCAAAAACAAGAGGGCTGAGAAGGCGGCCAAGTTTTCCGTGCCGCTCCCGAAGGTCAAAGGGATCAGCGAGGAGGAGATGTTCAAGGTGATCAAGACTGGCAAGAAGACGGCCAAGAAGAGCTGGAAAAGAATGATCACCCAACCGACCTTTGTCGGGCCCGACTTTACGCGACGACCTGTCAAATACGAGCGGTTCATCAGGCCCATGGGTCTGCGATACAAGAAGGCGAACGTGACGCATCCCGAGCTGGGAGTGACGGTGCAGCTTCCCATTATCAGTGTCAAGAAGAACCCGCAAAATCCCCTCTATACGCAGCTGGGAGTTTTGACGAAAGGGACCGTGATCGAAGTCAACGTTTCCGAGCTTGGGCTCGTCACCACTGGCGGCAAGGTTGTCTGGGGCAAATATGCTCAGGTCACAAACGACCCCAGTCGAGACGGATGCCTGAATGCCGTCCTCCTCGTATAAGAAGTGGAAGATCCTTCAGTGGAAGATCCTTCACAGCCGAGCAAGAGGACACTCAATCTCCCCGACCATCAGTATCCTCAACATCATATTCGAGAGTCACGCTTTGACGAAAACTTCACGTCAAGCCCCAACAAGTCTTACACTTTACCAGAGAAAGAAGATGAGCTCCACCATCGGCTACCGCACTAGCATGACAGATCAAAGCCTCGTCAGCATATCACAACTCCTCGGTGAAAATGCCGTGATCAGAATATCCCATTGCCTTGACAGCGATCTTGGCGCTCTGGAGGACTCTTGCTTTGAGGCCAAGCGTCTGGCCGGGTTTTTCGACTGCACAAACCCAAGCTGGTCATTAATATTGCTCCTCAGGATCCGGCGCAATGCTAGGGGAGACAACTTACAAACATTGCTGATTTTCGCCATGACGCCGTAAGTCGCCTTGAACTCGAACGGTTTCAGCGCCTTCCAGATCTGCATGACTGTGTCTGGCGGCAAGGGGATCATGTTGGGAATACTCCACAGGAACTGGTACGAGATGGTATCCGGCCGCTTCCCCGGATCTGGGTTCCGCGCCGAAGCCACGGCGAAGATTGTGTCTGCGACGAAAAGCGTGGGCAGAGCAGTGTTGGGTGGCGCGGAATGCAGCACCATACTGCCTGGAAAATGGCCTCCGCAGATGACGGCGGTGAGGCCCGGAAGAAGGTCGGTTGTGGGATCTCTCAACAACTTCAATGTCGCGGACGGGGCGTCTTTACGGTTTGCCCAGACAGAGTCGACTTCGGTCATGTACACGGGACAATTGAATGTAGCGGACCAGTCTGCCCAAGTCCTATGGGACAAGAAGGTTGTTAGAAAAGCAACAGGAACTGGAATTGAAACTGGTGGAACCGGAATGGAATGGAATGTCGTTAGAACGGGAACTGGCTCCGACTCCTGGACAGGGGCTTAGGGGCCTGTTTCTCTCGCAACCGCCCGCCCGCACTTGACTTACGTGTAGAAATGTGGATGAGAAATGATGATGAACTTCAACCCGCCTAATTCTGTGATCTGGTTGTCCATGGATCGAGTCAGCGTGACCATCACCTGGCCGTAGTGACAGTAAACCACCAGCACGCAGACTGGGTATGTATCTGACATACAATAGCCATAGGTGATGTATAGGTAATAAAAGAACAGGGCAGAGCAGAACAGAGCAGAACAAAGTAACCCAAAATAGGGATTGGATTGGATAGGATAAGAATGTCAAGATCAATCAAACAAATCATCACAGACATACCTTGTCCACAGTGTCCTGGTCCAAATAGGCAACCAGGTCCCAAAGCACATTGCCATGCGGCGTCTGGATCAGACACGCACGCTGGCCGATACCGAACTAGACACCGACGGGCGGTCAGCAGTGCGTCGTGGACAGTGGCAGTGGGCAGTGTATAGTGTATAGTGGACAGTGGGAGTGGACAGTAGGCAGTGCACAGTGTATAGTGTATAGTGGACAGTGGACAGTGGACAGGACGAGTCTGGGTGCCGCATGGAACCGGTTCACAGCATCCGAGATCCATTCAGGTCGTTCGGTTCGTTCCCCGACACGCTTCGAACACTCACTCACTCGCAGACCCAGTTTCTGGAGGTAGAGAGATAGTGCCACACACTCTCGCAGACCCCGTTTCTGGAGGTATGGTAGGGAGATGGTGCCACACACTCTCGTCGCGGCCACGTCGGCGAGATGCTGCCCTGGGAGAGGGACGTGATGTGCCATGCATGATAGGCCATGATGTGCCCTGTATGATGGATGGGCCCTGCATGATATGCCCTAACATACATACTACATACGTACATGTTACGTACCTTGGGCTCCGTCCAGATTTCAACGACATTGCCGTTCTGCTTACACGGCTCAAAGACGTTCTTGTAGTTGCCGGCCTGGAGGTTGGCGAGCGTCGTGAACGACTGGCCGGTCTCGGGGACGAATTGTCTTGGGTCCTGTAGTGGAGGAGGTTAAAGGCATGATCGAATAGAAATATAGAGGTATAGGTATAAAGACATGATCGAATATAGAGAGAGGTTCTGTGCCAGTACGGAATATAAAGTATAAAATCACACATGACACAGTAGGTACCTTACATACATCGCAAATCCGACATTCGTCCTTGCCCGTCTTCTCGTCGACGTCGTACTGTGCCCCGCAAGCCGTGCAGACGAGCAAATGGTCAGACGTGGAGAGGCGAACGGGTGGTGTTGGAGTGGCCATTGATCGAGGTGGGCCGTGGGCAGTGAACCGTGAACCGTGAACTGTGAACAGTGAATAGAGAGCAGGGAGGAGTAAACGAGTAGATAGATACTGATCCTGCCTGGTGCTGTACGGAGTAGTTAGATCGACTTATGTATCCCCAGCCCAACCCTAACCCTAAACCCAACACCTACTGTGCTATTAGTCAGGTCAGTCCGGTCCAGGGCAATTCGGTCTCGATCGTCCGTCGTCTAATTAGAAAGAAACGGCTGAATAAACAGAAGGTCCAGGTCCAGGTCCAGGTCCAGGGATGAGTCATGAGGGGAAGATGGGAAGACGGGTGCTGTATGTACGCCGTATCCGGCCCGGACACTACAGTAGCCCGCTCTGCTGACACCTCCACGGACCGTTCAACAGCAAGAGAGATAGATACGGAATCCAGTATCCGTCGTATGGATGCACAAGAGGTCTGGAATAGGCGTACGACCGACTACACAAGCGGCGGGCTCGTCTCAGAGCTCAACGACTGCAGGCGCTTTCTCTGACCCCCTACATCTCATCCATGCCATCTCTGATCTCTGATCTCTGACCTGACCGCTCGGCCACACATCTATCGGATCATGGCCCCTCACATGTACAGGCTCGCGGTAAACACGACATCTCGTCGAATCATCTCCCGGGCCTTCTCCATCTTCTGGTACAGTCCCGGATCTCCAATCAACCTGGCCGCACTCATGACCTCGCGACACGTCTCGTCCAGCCTCGTCACCACCCTCACAATCGTCCCCTCCATCACATCCGTCAGGTCCGTGATGCGGTTGAACGACATTCCCCTCGCCCACTCGTACACAACTTCGACCAGTCCAAATCGGGGTCGGGAGACAAAATCGTTGGCGTCATCGGATGACAAGATGACCTGATGCAGGATCTGGTAGTGGTTGACTCGCTCTGCAATCTCGATGATGGCTTCTTTCCCGCGCTTGAGGTTCTCGCTGAGCTGCGGCTCGCTGTCGGTTTTCTCCTGGAAGACGAACGAAGAAAGCAGAGCGACAATCTCCTCGGGTTCAAACCTGGACGGTATCAGCATCATGGCCCTTTCTCGCTATCGTACCGACAGACACCTCGGTGCACTTACGATGCCAGGACGTTCTCCAGAACAAGTTCCGTCAGCACCAACTCGTCGGCCGAGTGGATTTCACAGGCCACTTTTCCTTTGAGCTGGACTCGAGCCTGCTCGTCGATGAAGCCCAGGTCTTTCAGGACTTCGGTTCTCTGCTGGTAGTCCGGCAACAAGGCCAGATTCTGATCGGACATCAACATCTTCAATGACTCGATGTTTTCCTTGATTAGCCACTCGTCGTGCTGCATGCCGTAATGTTTCAAGAAGTTCGGGCATTCGAGACACTGTGCAGTCTGCACAATCTGCGCCATCTTCGTCCGCTCAACCAGCAACTCACGGACCTGCAACTCGTGAACTTTGCCCCAGTCCTGCTCGTCCCAAGCCGTGGAAATCCATGACGAGTAGAGAGTGACAAAGTCCTCTTCTGCAAACCTCTTCTGCACTGTGTGGGAGTTTAGTAACGATCGCAAATCAACCTGTATGGCAGATATAGTAAGTATTACCTTTCGCGACTTTGATGTACCATTGAGGGCCTCTGACCTTGACAATTGTTTGGCTAACACATTCCACGTCGTCCAACGACACCTGCGTGGGTCCACATTTCACCTGCGAGGCTTGGTCGGGTAACGGAGTAAACATCATGCGTAGACGTGGGAGGTAGGGCAGCAGGTCTCGGGTCGACCGCTTCGTCTCCGGGTCGGATATTTCCAGAACGGTCAAATGCGGATATGGGCCTCCTCGTATTCCGTCCTCGAGCAAGATGCCGACCTTGCGGATACCCTCCTAGACCAATGAGCAACAGCTTGCCAAATCGGGACCATTATCACCCTCACCTTCTTGTACACGATCAATCTTCGTGCTGTCCATAGGCGACGGCCCACTGGCGAGGAGAGTAGTTTGATGTGGAGTTCCTTGGTTAGTTGTTCGTACCTCATGGCTGCTTCGTGGCACGCTTCCAAGTCAATGTCACATATGTCGCAAGGCTCACGTTTGATCTTGTCCAGGTTTGCTTGAGATAGCGCCACTTCTTTCTCGTGTTGTGGCAACAAAGCTTGCGTGGCGTTTTCGGAAAAGCTGCGTTTGATCATTTCCTCGATCTTCAATGCTTCCACTCGCATCAGGTTGAGGATCATGTTGTAGTGGAGCCTAAACTGACTACGCAGCTTGGTGGCAGGGCCCGTCATCATCTGTATCAATTCGGCCGCAGGGGGCGCTTCCGTCTTCCCCGGCGTGACAAGGATGACAGTACCGACCGTGTCAAGACCGCGACGGCCTGCACGACCGGCCATCTGAGTGTACTCACCCGGCAGGAGATTTCGAAAGTCGCGGCCGTCATGCTTGCGATACCCTGAAAACACCACTGTTCGTGTTGGAAGGTTCAGACCCATTGCAAAGGTCTCTGTTGCGAACAGGACCTTTACCAAAGTCTTTGCGAACAGTATCTCGACAATCTCCTTGACAATCGGCAGGAGACCACCATGATGAACAGCCACACCCCGACCCAGCATTTCCCGCAATCGCCGGATCTGAGGTAGGACGCGGTCTTCCGGTTTCAATCTGGCAAGAGACCTCTCGATCGTCATGTGGATCGCGCTCTTCTCGGTGGCGGTGCAAAAGTCCTGGTTGGAGAGAGATTCTGCATTCTCTTCGCATCGCTTCTTGGAGAACACAAAGATACACGCCGGGAGGAGGTTCTGTTTGCGCAGATGCTGGACGAGATGAACCCAAAGATTTCGGTCCTGCGCCGCCGTCGTTCTGCCCCCTCCTCGTCCGGTTCGTGCAATATTACCTTGACCCCGATTGGCTGCTTGGCCGCGTCCTCGCTGGTTTGGTCCGCCGCGTTGATTTGTTCCGCCACGAGGCTGCTGCCCACGACCTCCTCGCTGCGAGGCTCCACCGCGACTTGCCACTTGTGCTTCGATGGCTTTCTGCTCCTTGGCCTTGTCAACCCCGGACAAGACATCATTGGCCGCTTTCCAGCCTTGTTGGAGGAATCGCTTCTCCGAATCGACGATCTTGTACATCTCCTTTCCTGCCCAAAGGTAGTGCTCCAAGGGAACAGGCCGCTTGGGAGTTGAGATAACATAAATGTTCTTCTTCTTGGTGCGGCCGACCCAAGAAGCAAACTCGTAAGTGTTGGGCACAGTTGCAGAGAGAAGAATCAAAGTAATGTGTTCCGGTAACATGATGATGACCTCCTCCCAAACCACGCCTCGTTCCAGGTCATTGACATAATGCACCTCGTCGAAAATCACAAACTCTACATCTCGGATGAGGTCAGCACCACGATAGAGCATGCTCCTCAAGATCTCGGTGGTCATGATGAGGCAACTAGCCTCGGGGTTGATTTGTACGTCGCCTGTCAAGACGCCCACATCGTCGAAGACAGTTTTGAAATCTCGGAACTTCTGGTTGGACAGGGCTTTGATGGGAGAGGTGTAGATGGCCTTTGTCATATGCTTTGCAGCTAATGCAATGGCGTATTCGGCCACCACGGTCTTTCCAGCGGACGTATGTGCTGCCACGAACACCGAGTCGCCACTCTCAAGGTGGTATACGGCCTCTTTTTGGAAAGTGTCCAGTTCAAATGGCCACGTTCGAGCCATGTCGGGTACCAATTCGTGGAAGTTGGGAATGTCTTTGTTCACATCAACCACGTGAGCCCATTCCCTAGAGGGCTTCTTGGTCGACGTGGACAGCAGTCCGCCGTGAGGCTCGAGAGACGGAAACTCAACCGGTAACAAGTCATCCAATTCGGCATCTTCATCTCCGTCGTCACTGTTCGCGGCATCACCCTTGAGCGGGAGCGTGCTGTCCGCGTTTGGCTGGCCGTTTTCGAGCGTAGCAGCGACTTCGGCATCTTCCTCTTGCAAGGTGTCTTGGACTTCTTCGGCTTCCTGCTGTTCTGAGGGTTTCTTTTCAGTGAACTTCAAACCCCGCGCAAACCCTGGTGGAATCTCCAGCAAGCCACCTTGCGCACCAAAGTTGATGATTTTGTCGAGAGCGCCGGATTTCTTTTTGGAGGGTTGATTCTCCTCCTCAAGCCGTGTTTGATCCTCGTAGGCCTGGATCGCATCAACGCCGTCCAATCCACCCGGAGCAAAGGGCATATAGCCAGCAGCCCCGCGAACAAAGTCGGCTCGACTTGCTGGCCTGCGTAGAAGCGAAGTGGAAGTCTTTGCAGTCGCGCTGGAGGCAGGAATCGTAACCTGTTTGTAGCCGGTCACTCTGCCTGCAAGGCCTTCACGTGTGAAGCGGGTAATAGTCCTAGTTTGCGTAGGGGCTAGTTGGCATAGTTCAGTGTAGTCTGGCGATTGATAGTCCCACCGCTGCTGAAGTTTGTTCAGCCATTCCGGACTGAATGTGGTCGGCGGGGACAAGAATTCCCGCTCCAGATCTTTCTTGCTCTGGTCTGGTGAGCGGTGGGAGCGCGGCGCTGTCGCCATGATGGCGAGGAAGAACTCTGGGGGGACTTAGACCTAGGGCGAAGGAGGTACTAGGTGCGGCCGAGACTGAGACAGCTTGCCATTTCTGGGTCTGTCTTCGTTGCGGTGACAACTGGAACCTGGGTGCGAAGGACAGGGACGAGAGGTAGGTACCTTACATGCATCGATGGACGATGGACGATGGACGATGTATGTTCAACAGGATCGGATGCAGCAAAGAATGACGCCAAGAACCGGGCAGGTCAGATTGTGTATTGGATCTTACATGTGTCATTACAATACCACCGCTTGAACTTCACCATACTCCGTACTCCCTAGTCAACCTCCCTGAACCCTGAACAGCCTTGGGCGTCAATCCAGAACCAGCTGCCTCAAGGTCGCGTTACGAACAGCAGTGAAACAACCTTTGCCTCGATGCGAAATGCTCGACCGGGCCCTGCTCAAGCGACGAGAGGCGCGTCTACTGGCTTGCCGCGAACATGAATGAATGACAACTGACACCGTGGTCGTCCGCTTGTTCTCTGCACGCCTTCTGCTGGCTTCCGCCAACGCGCGTTAGTCTGTCTGGCCTCGACGGCTTGCTCTAAAAATGCTTTCTCAATACCACTCGAAAGAGTCCTTCATGCTTCCCAAGCTGAAGCACAAATTCAGGACCCCCCCCGAAACCGACCGCTTTGCGTTCTACGACGTCAAGTTCTTCCCGCATTCGAATGCCGCCACGGAAGAGCCCATCTTTGCCGTGGTCGCCCAGAGAAAGGTCTTCATCGGGCGCCTGTCGGCTCAAAACAGTGCCGTCATGACCATGCTGCATGAAATGGTGGACCAACAGGAAACCAACAATCCAGACTCCCCCGGGTTGAATTCTTGCTCGTGGTGCTACATCGACCCCCAGATGCCCTTGCTGGCGGTGGCCGGGGGATCAGGTCAACTGAAGGTGATCAATGCCGTTGACGGAGAACTTTTCAAGACATTGACTGGTCACGGACATGGCACGATCAACGATATGGCAACCCATCCTCTTTACCCCTGGATTGTCGCCACCGCTTCAATGGATAAGAGCCTTCGAATCTGGGATATACGACGACATTCCAACCCACACCAATCCCCCACCATCATCATCTGCGGCCAGGCAACCGGACACTGCGAAGGCGTGCTCACTGTCTCATGGCACCCCTCCGGGCGATATTTGGTTACGGGGGGCCATGATCAACGCATCTGTGTGTGGACAATCCCCGATCTGGCCGATGATTCTGCCTTCTGGCAGCAAATCTCGCCGGAAGGCAGGAAGCGAAGTGCTCATGAAGTATTCACCGTCTACTACCCGCACTTTGTCAGTTCGGGGATACACTCCAATTTTGTGGACTGCGCCCGCTTCTTCGGCAATCTCATCATATCCAAGGCGGCAGGCGAAGATAAAATAGTGCTCTGGAAGATCACGGGGTTCGACGCCGGAATTCCTCCTCCTGATGCGATCACCGCGCCTAAGATAGAGGAGTTCCTAGACACACGCAACGGATTCATGCGCCGGGTGTATCAAGACGCGAGGGGCGTGACCAAGGTCGAGGTTGCCGAAGAGTACCAAGATCAGCCCTTGTATGAAAGACTACTTGAGTTCGAGACGCCGCGGGTCGAGCAGTTCTACCTTCGGTTCGGCCTGTTGACGCCGTCACCCGATCATCCTGATCTACATCCGGTCCTTGCTTTTGCCAACGCAGCGTCCGAGTTGCGCTTCTGGGATCTCGAGCGACTGTCGTTGGGACATGCGGGCGGTCTTGATGATGTCAAATCTACGTCGACGGCGAAAAAGAAGTTACATAAAAGCGTTGCACGGACGGTCAAGCCTCAAGAGCGCCTACAGCGCATGGGCAGCAGCAACTCACAGAGCTTGCGAGAGAACGACTCTCCGGTGTCCACGGCTTCTAATCATAGCTCTGGCGGCTGGCCTCGACAAAGTTCGACGGAGGCCACCAGCGAGATCTCCGAGCTGGTGGCCAGCACTCCAGCCCAGAATGCCGTGGTGCGGGACCGGGAACGATATCCAATCCACGATGCACATGAGCCCCTCAAGCCTCACGCAAAAGTGTCGCTGGCGGAATTGCAGTTTAAGAATGTTGCATACTTCAATGCGAGAGCGGTTGACTGGAGTCCTTGTGGGAGATGGTGCATTGTGGCTGGGGAATCTGCGAGATCGTCTGCTAAAGGCACGGAAGGCATAGGAGGCTTTGCGGTGCTGTACCGATGAGACCCTTAGCATTAGGCTCTGGAAATGCTGGGGGACTGGTCCAGATCATGGGAGGGAGGCTGGGAGGCTGAGAGGCTGAGAGGCTGAGAGGCTGAGAGGCTGGGGGAGCCAATGAAGACTGCATTTGAGGGAATGGCTGGCTGCAGCGTATTTGGCTGCAATACCCGTATAGGTAGGTATAGGTATAGGTATCCGTACTCCGTACTCCGTAGGTATTCCAATTTTGATTCCGTCCCTTGTTGCGGGGCATAGCAAACAACAAGCACGAGCAATGGAGGAGAGGTAGATCACCAGATCACCAGATCCGCAGATCTCCCTCTCTAATACTAATACTAGTCAATGTCGTGTCGTTCTCTACCTCTTAACCATGAATGCTGGCCGTCCGTCTGCTGTAACCAATGCAATGAATGCACTCTTCTTCGCGAATTGAGCCTGGCACGCGACATCTCCCTCTATAAACAAGTCGTGGCGCTGGCCATGCCACGCCTTGCAACATGATCCATACCTCCCAAGAAGCCACTACAACACCAGCGCAACCCCAGAAGTTCCTGCGGTACCGGTCAATTCGAAAGACCGCTGTCAAGAATCCCGATCCCGACCCTGCTCCTCCCTTGCCGCAGCCGTCGCAGTCGTCTCAAACTACCATCACACGCTTGCCTTCGAGATATCACCGCAAGCCTAAGCCAGAGACAACGCCTCCGCATGCTCCTGATCTACCTCAAGATACTCCTACACACAACCATGGCGTCACTGAGCGGCGCGAGCCTGTGCCCGATCAGCATGTTGACCAACACGGCCACAAGCCCGATGCGCGAGAACCACTGAGGAGGGACATAGCGCACAAGCATACTCTTAGCGCAGACTCAGCACGAGCAGGGGGCCTGCGGAGATCATATGAGGTTGCCCGAGAAGAAGCGCGATTGATACTGGAGGGCGAGGTCGAGCGACTCCGAGAACTAAGGGCGCGCGAAGCCCAACGTCAACGTGAACAGCGAGAACAACGTGAAACACGGAATGATGGACAAGTCACCTACAAGAAGGGCTCAGGCAAGACCGGTGGTCTAGAACAGTTGCCCAAGGACACCAAAGGCTCCCAATCGCGGACCCTTGTTATTGGCGGACCACCACTTTTGCGGAAGGGAAAACAGCATTCCAGGGCTTCATCGGGCAACTTGAAGCAGTATCGACCTACTACTTACCAGGGACATGCCACGACCAACAGCGTGGGAAGGACAGACCAGACTCGTGGAACTACGCCGCCCACCAGTGTTCCCAACTTCGATGCTCCAGTGTCCGCCGTGAATGCTGGCAACAGGAGAGTAGGCGTCACATGCAAGACAGCGTCTATCACACTTCCCGTGACACCCTCTACCACATGCACGGAAATCCTGATCTCAGCATCGGCTTGTATGTCAGAGCAGATCGATCCTCGGAGCGCCATACTTCTGGAGTCATTCTCGCAGCTCGGCTTGGAGAGACCACTACGCAGGTATGAACGGATACGAGATGTAATGAATTCATGGGACAACGACAATCAGCACCATCTGTCGATCATGGCTGAAGGGGAGTGTGCTTCCCGAGGCCTGAAGGTTGGAGACGCCCCAACACAGCAACCCACTGGCGCAACCGTGCAAATCTACCACTCGCACAAGCCGGGTCAATGGGACAAGCGCTGGGTCAGACTCAAAGAGGACGGACAGATCACAATATCCAAGAAAGAAAAGGGCCTTGATTCCACCAACATCTGTCATTTATCAGACTTTGATCTGTACACTCCGACAGCGAAACAGGTGAAACTCCTGAACCCCCCCAAGAAGCTGTGCTTTGCGTTGAAAAGTCAGGAGAAATCATCCATGTTCCTCAGCGGGGCCAATTTCGTACATTTCTTCTGCACCAAAGACAAAACCATGGCAGACAAATGGTGTCAAGCTGTCCACTCATGGCGAAGCTGGTATCTGGTCAATATGCTCGGCGAAGGTCTGCAGATCCGGACAGCACCAACAACAAGGCACCAACCTGGGACCCGATCAAGTGCTCAATCAAAGGATTCGTCCCCCAATGTCCCTGGATTGTTCCAACCCCTCCTTGATTTCAGACGGTCCCGGCCCAGTGGTGAGGGAAGCCGAAGAACGGATTCAGGTGCCTCACACCGGCCGTCACAAGATGTTCCAAGACCCTTGATCGATTTTGTACCGGAGAAACAGACCGCCGGTAGCAGACCTGGCAGCCCAGCATTTCATCCTCTCAAACCACAGCCGTTTCCTCCTAATGCTTTTCCCAACAAGTTTGTGACCGAAGCAGCCCATACTACTGGCAATTCTGAAAATGCGGAGGGACCCTTCACGGGCACGGGACTCCTCGCTCGAAGTGCAAGTCGCCGCTCACAGGGAGGAAGCCGCTCCGGTCGCGGTGTGCAAGGTGTCGATGGTAAGCCATTGATCGAACTACACCCAACTAGCGAATTCACGGATGGAAGCCTCTTGCGGAAGATGGAAGCAATTGCTGCTCAGCAAGGTGCGTTGCAACCCAAGATCGATCGGGAAAAGAGAAGGGAGATGGACGTATCAGTCGGCGAGGGATTCGGAGGTTGATTCAAGGAAATGTTCAGGTCATTCATGTGTCTGTATTGCATTTACGAGAGTTTGGGGGGTTCATGGCCGGCACGACTGACATGACGGACAACCCAACGGAGGGACTATTGGAACCGATCTTCAGGACAGGAGACTACCTTAGCAGCTATATTGGCATCTGAGGAAGAGAACTGTTTTCTGCTTCAACTTAGAACCACAAAGCCTTCAACATGTGCACACCGAAAGTCGCTGTTTTCAATGACCAACATGACACGTGATCTCAGCCTTGCCTTACCACAAGCCTCTCTCCACGCTTTTCGCAACTCTGCAAGTAAAATAATCAAGGTTGAAGGCTCGTCAATAGAGCCAAGAGGTATACATGCCGCGAATACAGGGTTGCTTAAGCCAGCTAGCTGAGGGCATGCTTGAGGAGAGTTGGTGGTGGTCTCACAGTTAGGTACTCCATGCCTTAGAATAAACTTGGGTATCTGTACAGTTACTACCTAAGGTAGGTAAGGTCGAATGACGTTATCACGTACAGGTAATAACATACCTGTACGGAGTACTCTGCACTGTTAATTTCCATACCGACGTGCCAACGGAATTGCTCGACACGCTAGGTGTTTGTGCTGTTTATCACTGTCGGACACGTTCTCACTGTCACTCCGTGAGACGCAGTTTGACCCTCCTCTGACCTCTACTCCATACACATTACACATTACCAGACTTGTGAAGTCAGCATCATCCCATCTGACCGCACCTTGACTAGATTCACCCCTCCCCATTCTGCTTCAATTCCCTTACGCCCAGCCAGGAGCCAGCACAAGTAGGAATACCCAGTACCAGCACCCCGCCAGCCCACCATGGCGGCTACATCCTACTCGACAGACCCGACCTTGTACCTGTTCACGTCTCTGACGGCGGGATCGTCTCATATCATCACCGCGACGTCAAGACTAGAAACGATCCTCAAGGCCAACAAGATCCCATTTCGGGCTGTCGATTGTGCCACGGACGAGAAAGCTCGCATGCTATGGGGCCGAAGATCCAAGGGAAGGACATTACCAGGCCTAGTGAGATACGGCGAGATCATCGGGGTACCTGGCGCACGCGTGACTATGGTTCTGACATGTCCGGCTAACCTGTCTCTCAGGATCTCGAGCAGATTGAAGAATGGAATGAATACGGCGAGCTTAAGGACCAGATCGCTGCGACTCAAGATCTGGGCGGCTTGAAGGCCACCAGCGCCAGCCTCCTCCCTGAGCCGCCTACTGCAAGCACTGCAGCTTCCACTCCTCAAAGATCATCCGGGCCTCCATCTCGCGCGTCGTCGGAAACCCGACACATCTCCATTTTCGATCCCAAAGACAAAGAGAGGGACAAGGAGGGCGGTGCAGCCGAGAGTACCTCACACAAGCCAACAGATGCTCCAATAACCCTCGCCATGCGACAACTGGGGGCCGAAGCTGCAGCAAAGGCAGGTCACAAGAAAGCGGCCGCGGCGCAGGCAGCGAAAGCAGCAGTGGCACCGACAAAGGAACCCAGCACTACAGATCAGATCCCCGTGCCCGCAACTATAAAATCGAGCGCCGATGCCGCAGTCGAGTCCCCCGAGACAGCGCCCAACGTCACCGCCGCGAAGACTCCTGCCCAACTAGCCAGTGAAGGAGCGAAGCGAACGTCTGTTGACAAGATCTCGGAGTCGGAAGGTGAGACAGCTTCTCCTGTGATCGCCGAGTCATCTTCATCGTCAACCGAAGCCCAGCTACTGGAACAGCGCCGAACAAGCAGCACCACCAAGACAAAGTCGCGGTTAAGCGAATCGACTCCGGCGGAAGAAAGCGAGACCGTGCTCTCCGAAGAAGCTGTCTCATCCCCATCAATTGCCGTCCCAGAGTTTGAAGTGAGTGCTACCAAGTCGCCACCGCTGGAGAGACCACCACGACAGCACCGCGGGAGTGATATAGGAGAAGCTAGCCCCGAAGAGATTCGGGCGTTGGAGAGAAAGTTGAGTATCCAGGAAGTAGATGAAGAAAGTGATGAAGAAGAAGAAGACGAAGAGAAGATAAAGGCGACGAGTACTGATGAAGCAGAGCAAGAGGTCACCAAGGGCACGGAGCCGCAGAAGACAGATGCCAAAGACGCGGACCAGGCCGGTGTCAGCGTTGGGGATTGATTGCATCAAACAGCCGATGATCTGATGGGCTTCAGGGAGCTTGTGGTGTTCAGCAGAGGAGACGAGAAGAGAGGAGAGGAGAGGGTGCCATGGGTGGGTTGAAGATGGCCACGGAACAGAACAGGATTTCACGGAGAGGTCTGGTCATTTGAAATGGTGGCCAACATGATGGATGGCGAGAGGCCGGACATGAAGCCAGCTGCATTTTCGAATTCGGGTCTGGGACTGGTGCCATGGATCGACGGAAGGCCTATCACTGATTGTTCCACGGTTCAGTTCAGTTGAGTTCAGAGCCACTCCAGTTCCGCGAGGAGAGCGAAGCCATGGACGGACGCTGTGTCTTGCAGTGGGTGGGTGTGTGTGTCGTAATAGAGAAGCGGTTGACTCGCTCGGCAGGGTTTCCAATCGGTGCTTGTCTTGTCTAGAATACATACCTAATTAGCTACACTACCTACACTACCAACACTACCAATACCCATTTGATCTAATATGTGTAATCATACCTTTCTTGATTACTGGATTCAAATACTGCAGTGCTTTCCAGCTTTCCAACGTTGTCGTTGTCTTTGTACTTTTATTACTGGATTCAAACGTGCTTTCTAGGTAAGCTTTCCAACCTTCTCTTTGTACTTGAGGTATATGTAGGTGCTCTATATGCCTATATGCCCTAGGTACGGAGTACTCTAAATAGCCTCGTCCTACCTACAGTAGGTGCTTACCTAGAGGACGGGTAGGTAGCACCAATACGGACAGGTATAGGTAGCACCAATATGGACAGATAGCACCAATACAGAGTACTAAAGTATGTATATACCTACCTAAGGTACCAACCTACCTATGTACATATGAACCTACCTGCCCAGGTAGCACCAATATGGAATACTAAGGTACCTAGGTACCGGGCAGCTGTGAATCGTAATCGTGATCGTATACTCCGTACATCGACTCTGGCGGATATGGATTTGAGGCTCGATTATAAGAACCAAGGGTTAGGGTTAGGGTTAGGGTTAGGCTTAATAGGCCACAGTAAGTCAACGTTGGTCGGTGTTCATCTCATTTCAATTCGATTCGTTGTTTGTTCCTTGTTGTTTTCTTTATATGTGCAAGGAAAAGAACAGAAGGAACAGAACACCGGCCATATTTTTGTCTACACTCCATGGCACGCAGCGGAGCTTGGATCGTGGAAATGGCATCCCGTGCCGTGCTGTGGCCCATGCCGCTCCTTTCTTACAAGAAAGTCTTCGTCGTTGAATTGGCAGCCCTGGTTCATCTTTACAAGCAAGCCTTCGTGCGTCAAATCGCCATCTCCCTTCCCCTTCCTTCCTTACAACCGTTCGCCATCAAGATCGATCCCAAGGATCGCGGCATGCTGGAGATGCGTTGGATTGCCGAGGTGTTGAAACGGTGAATTGAATGAATTGACAACTGGTCTAATCGTCAAATCGCTCTCCCTTCCTTCTCTACAATCGAGCTTTAATCGTCGAATTGGCGGCCTCTACAACCTCGCTTTAATCGAATCGCCGTCTTCCTTCCATCCAGCCTCCCCAGCCACCATCTCAGCACACCTCTCACCAATGCCCAGCACCGTCAGCATGGGATTGATGGTTGTCATGGCAGGAAAGACGCCGGCGTCGGCGATGCGGAGCCCTTTGAGCCCACGCACTTTCAGCGCCGGATCCACCACGGCAAACTTGTCCTTCCGCACGTCGCCCATCTTGGTGGTGCCCGCGGGATGGTAGACCGTGTGAGCGACGCGGCGGGCGTACTCGCTCAGTTCCTCGTCTGTCTGCAGCTCCGGCCCGGGCGCGACCTCGCGCTTGATCCAATCCTTGAACGGCGCCTGCTGGGCGATCTTGCGCGCGGCCCGAAGCCCAAAGACAAATGTGGCGGCGTCGTAGCCCTCGGGGTCGGTGAAATAGCGGAAATCCAAGGCCGGCTTGACGCTCGGGTCGTTGGAGGTCAAGTACAGTCGACCGCGGGACCGGGGCCGCGGGATGTTGGGTGTCATGCAGAAGGCGTCGATGGGTGTGTCGTAGCCTAGCCGCGTCGTGTTCAGGCAGAAGGGGATCTGGTAGCAATGCATCATCACATCCGCGATGTTGTCGTCCGGCAATGCCGCGGGGTTGGTCGGCGTCGCTTTCTGGGCCGCCGCGTTGGCCGGTTGACGACGCAGGAAGATGCCGGCGTCCGAGTCCATGGTCGTCTGGTTCGGTGGTACGGGCCGGTTCAGTTCCCAGATGATGATGGTTTCTGGGTGATCGAGCAGATTCTCGCCCACGCCAGGCAAATCTTTGACCACGGGGATGGAGAGAGATGAGAGTTGCTCTGCAGGGCCCAAGCCCGACAATAGCATCAGGCGCGGCGTGTCGACGGCACCAGCACACAGGATCGTTTCCGTGCGCGCGGTCAGGGTCAGTTTCTGGCCGGATTGGAGGGTCAGGTCGATCCCCGTGACAGTGTCCCCGTTGTGCACGTTGATCTTGGACACCCACGCGTTGGTGAGGATCTTGAGGTTCGGTCGCTGCTCGTCGCCCCGCAGAATCGGGTGGATGTAGGCGACGCTCGCACTGGACCGGCGCCCGTCGTCCGGGTTGTAGCTGACGGAGAAAAAGCCGACGCACTCCTTCAGGGCGCCGGTCGTCGCGATTTCTCGGTTGAAGTCGTGCACAACGGGGATGTTCATCGCTTTGCTGCAAGAGTCGACCCAGTCGAGGCACAGTTGGTTCCGGTGTCGCGAGTGCACCGGCTGCACCGTGTTGCGGAGTTTGTTGAGCACGCGCATGAACGTGGGAAACGTCCAGCCTTTGGCGCCCAGGGACTCCCAGATCCGACAGTCATATTCGAAGGGGCGGAAAGAGATCAAGGTGTTGTGGCTGGAGCATCCGCCCAGTACTTTGGCACGCGAATGTCGAATGTGAGAGTTTCCTGTTGTCGCAAACCCATGTGTTAGAGGAGAGAGAACAAGGCTGGGAAGAGGGAAGACCGAAGACCCAGTCCTAGTGGTAGTGGTAATGAGTCAAGGACGCACCCATCGGTTGCTCCGTGGTTCCGTAGTCGTAATCGAGCTCGCCGCCCAAGAGATTCAGCCATTGTTTGAGATCCAGGACTCGGTCGTCCATAAAGTCGCTGGGCCCGGCCTCTATCAACAAAACCTTCTTGTGTGGCAGGTATTCGGCCAGGCGGGAAGCAATGACACAGCCCTGCACATGTTCCGGGTCGTCAGTACTACCCAAAACATGGTCTTTCTGATCTCTAACCGGCGAGAGGTCTGGAACATTGATCGGGTCTGGTCATGATGGACTTACCGCTGTGCCACCACCCACAATGAGATAATCATAGCTATCGACCTCTGATGTGTCGAGGTGAGTCGTCGTCATGGTGGCTGTAGGCCAGTGATTGGGGGAAGGCAGTCACACAGAGGAGAGATATCACGTATGAGCGACGCTTCATGGAAAGACGTGGTGGAAATATACAGCTATCCTGTACTCCGCACCGTACACACTGAGAGGCCTGCCAGAACAAAGGATCAGAGGCTTGCAGCAACCAGGCTCGTGGTCCACCTAAATTTTCGTGTCAGCCCACACGACACGCCGCATGCAGGAGCTGTGATACAGATCGGCAGCCAGCACCAAAGGGCTTAGGGTCCTTTCTGTAGGCCACAGAGGCGACCCCGGGATCAAGGGCTCGGGCTCTTCGGCTTGCAGAGAGATCCCTGCGCCACCTGTCGCTCTTCGTGTTCTGTGGCAGGGATGTGAAAAAATCGCACCTGTCGGCTTGGAGCGGTGAAGACTAACAGGGCCACCAGGAGCAAACTAGAGGCTGCTTGTGGAGGCAAGGATGCGTAATGCGTCAGTGCGTGATAAAAAGATCGAGGGCGAGGGGTGTGGTGGCGGTTCATCCAATGCTCATTGCTGCGTTGCTGGAAAGGTTGGACTTGCTTGATATGGAGCGGATTTGCTTTTGCCCAGGATACTACGAGTTGATACTAGATACTAGATTCTTGGTGCTTGATACTAGATGCGGTACAGACGGTGATGCGCACCGATATCAACCCTTAGGCTGCTGTCTGTCAATTGATGCCTACAAAGGGTAAAAAGATCATGGCCGTGGGCTCAGGCACGGGAACATCGCCGACGTCTTGATTGCCGACTGGAAGTTGGGGGCGAAGTTGGGGTCTTTGGGTGTTGCTTCCCCCCAAAGGCTGCCTGAGGCTGGCCTAATCCTAGGCCTGGAGAAAACTCTTGATAGGCTTATAGGCTTACCTATGTAAGGGGCATCTAACAGGGAGAACAGCCTAATAATCCACCTGGCCATCCCCTCACCAGGACGGACACCGCTACTACGTACTAGTACATAGCCACCGTACGGAGTACTTGAATACCTAACACCTTCAGACAAACCTCGCCGTTGAGATTGCGACTGAGACGACGTTGAGTCTGCACAACCGTGATCGCCTTAGCCTGTCGTCTTCACGAGAATCAATCAGAGGCCCTTCCGTCGTCCACCATCACCAGATTGTCGGTGTCTGCATTACGCGAGGCTCGCAGGAACGCGACCACATACTCCGTACATACATTGATTTCTGCCCCGCTGCCATCTCAACATACAAACAGTGGCCAGAGCCTCCCAGTCAATCTCGCAACTGACAACTCGTGTCATTCGAGATGTCGCTTCCGGACCGTCGCACATTTTACAATGGAAAGGCTGTATCCGGCGGACCTTCAGGACCGACATTTCAATCCATTGACCCGTCAACGTCCAAAGTGGTCTGTACAATCTACACGTCTTCTGAATCGGAAGTAGACCAAGCCATCAGATCGGCCAATCTTGCTTTTCCTTCATGGGCCAGTACACCTCCGGTCGAAAGGTCGCGGATTCTGCTGAAAGCTGCCTCGATACTCCGCTCGCGCAACGATGAACTCGCCAAGATCGAAACCATCGACACTGGAAAACCCTTCTCCGAAACCTCGACAGTCGACGTGATCACTGGGGCCGATGTGCTCGAGTATTTCGCCCACCTCGTCGCGTCAGGTGGCTTGAACGGGGAATCGTTTCACCTGCGCGACTCGGCTTGGGTGTACACGTCGAAAGAACCCCTCGGAACGTGTGCGGGTATCGGCGCATGGAACTATCCCATTCAGATCGCGCTCTGGAAGTCGGCTCCGTGTCTTGCGGCGGGAAATACCATGGTCTACAAGCCGTCCGAGGTCACCCCTCTCCATGCACAGTTGCTCGCCGAGGTGTATCAAGAAGCAGGCCTTCCAGATGGCGTTTTCAACGTGGTATATGGTGACGGCAGCGTCGGTTCTTTGCTGACCAGACACCCGGGCATCGCCAAAGTAAGCTTTACAGGTCAGGTCTCGACCGGTCGCAAGGTGGCGGGGGCGGCCGCCGGAGAAATGAAGTATGTGACCATGGAATTGGGAGGAAAGAGTCCTGTCATTGTCTTGCCGGACGTGGATCTCGAGCAGGCAGTGGATGGAGCCATGATGGCAAACTTCTTCAGCACTGGCCAAGTGTGTACCAACGGAACCAGAGTCTTTGTGCCCGAGCAATTGAAGGCCGAGTTTGAGCGACTCCTATTACTGAAGATGCAGTATGTCAGAGCCGGAGATTTGCTGGACGCCAACACCAACTTCGGTCCGTTGGTCAGCAAAGCCCATTACGACAAAGTGGTGCGATACATCAAGCACGGCGTCGAGGTCGACAAGGCGAGATTGCTGTATGGAGGCCTGGGACAGCCGGATCACCTACCGCAGAGCCTCCGGACTGGTTACTGGGTGCGACCGACCGTCTTCACCGACTGCACCGACGAGATGAAGATTGTCAAGGAGGAGATCTTCGGGCCCGTCATGTCCATCCTGACCTACTCCTCGGTCGACGAGGCTGTGCGTCGGGCGAACAACACAGAGTTGGGTCTCGCTGCCGGTGTCTTTGGCAGGGACATCGATCTCTGCCACCGAGTCATCAAGCAGCTGCAGGCTGGCATCACCTGGGTCAATACATGGGGAGAGTCTCCGGCAGAGATGGCCGTGGGCGGATGGAAGCAGAGTGGTGTCGGGGTGGAGAACGGCAGAAGAGGCCTCGAAGCATGGCTTCGCAACAAAAGTACGCTGGTAGACATGGGCGGCTCCGTCCCGACTGTCTTTTCGAAGCTATGAGACTCGACATGAATGAAAATGAAAAATGAAATGAAACACTCGGCCGGAAATATACGTCTGAACGGGCGGACTCTTCATAAATGGTCATTTAACGGGCCAGCGCCTGACTTGGCTATAACAAGCTGTACTCTTAAAGATACCGTGGATATCATGTATCACGAAACGCCGGGTCATACAGTACTCCAATCATAATCAACGTGAACAATTTTCCCATGTCATAGCCTGCACGTAGAGTCGAAACAGCAGACGAACAGAAACCAGGGCTTGATCAAGCCTCATGCTGCAAATGTCGATACTCGTGAACCCATTCGATCAGCAATGAAATCATCCATCTTCTTGTCGTTCATGGCGATGGCAGAATCCATGAGTCTTGACGACATGCTGTCTGGCGTCAACTCTCCATCTTCCTGCCCGGCCTGCTTCTTATCGGTATCAATCCTCAGCTCTTTTAAAGTGCCTCGCCAATTATCTACTTTCGCGCGCGAACGTTGTGGAGGAGTAGCTTTGGCGGTTTCTTGCTCCCAGGAGACTTGTTCGATGCTCTTGAAGTACTGTTTTCCAACCGTCAGCGGTGAAAATGGGACAGACGCTCGCCCTACGCCTACCTTGACCGTTTTCACAAGCATCTCGTCTGTCGCAGCGTCATCGCAGACAATCGTGGCGTGCTCGTGCGTTTGGAGAGCGCTTGCAGTCCACATCTGACTGACGCTTCCTTCGATAGTTTTGGCCAGTGCAAGCGCTTTGTTGGCCCCGAGCACAATGAGCAAGACTTCTCGAGCATCCATGACAGTTTGCACGCCCACAGTCAATGCTTGTTTAGGCACCTGGCTCAGATCGCCCCCGAAGAACCGTGAATTGGCGCGAATGGTATCCTCAGCCAAAGTCTTGACTCTTGTCCTTGACCGCAAAGACGAGCCCGGCTCGTTGAAGGCGATGTGTCCATCCGGTCCAATCCCGCCTAAAAATAGGTCAATTCCACCAGCCTGTGCGATCTGCTGTTCGTAATTGGCACATTCCGCCGCTAGATCGGGAGCGTTGCCATTGAGAATATGCACGTTGGCCGGGTTGATATCGATATGGGCGAAGAAATGCTTGTACATAAAGCTGTGGTAGGATTCCGGGTGCTCTTCGGGTAAGCCGACATATTCGTCCATGTTGAAAGTTACGACATTGGCAAACGAGATCTCGCCAGCCTTGTACCCCTGTACGAGGTACTTGTAGATGAATTCTGGACTGCTACCCGTCGGCAGACCTAGTACGAAGGGCTTTTCGGGAGTGGGAGCAAAGGCATTTATGCGCTTGATGATGTATTGGGCAGCATATTGGGATGCACCATCTGCATTTTCGCGAATGATGACCCTCATGGTCGATGTGTCCTCTCGGTTTCAAGGGACTGTCAAGCAGAAATAGAGGAAGAGTGTGCTGAGAAGACGAATCAACGCAGGTAAGATTTGCTGAAGAAGAAGTCAGGAGGCAGAACGAGCGACAGCCCTTCGACGTAGACGGCGGCTTTTAGCAGAACATCATGAGTGATTACAAGGGCCTGAATGCGGAGAAAGGCACACCAGCCTCTGACGATAGCAGACCATGTAGGGCAGAAGGGTATGATGACTCTGCCACGGTGTAACAGTTGCGTGTGATCCAACTGTCGAACCGCCCATCTGGGCCTCTGGAAGCCTGGGACCTTATCAGGGAGCGACAGACAGGACGACGTGTGCGACCGGCCGAGATCATTGGTCGATAGATCAGGTAAATTTGCCATTGGGAGAGGAGGAGGAGGATGATAGAGTGATACCATAGTAGTGCAGTCGTAGTGGTGGTAGTACTGGAGATAGATAGGTGGCATGGCGGGGCAATATCGCAGTCCAGGTGGGAAAAAGGCGCAGTCACGTGCCAGCGCAGGCAGAGCACCGAGAGCACCAGTGTAACGGTCCGACACCTGAGCCCAAAGCGCTCTGTCCCTTCCACCCCAAAAACCGAGTGGCAAGGTGCCATCCTCTACCCGACCTGGTGCGACCCATCCTCGTCTTCCGCTCATCAAATCCTCTATCTGAGATCTTTCGCCCAGCCCACTTTCTCTCCGTAGCATTGCATCTCCCACTCTCCCACTACTACTCCATTACCACCTCCCGAGTCCCCGACGTTGCAACAAATGCAACATCACCTCGTCTCCCACTTACCACGTTTCCATTTCCTTCGCCTCTGCCAATTTGCTACCTAACGCCATGCGCAAACGCCAGTGCCAACCTTGACCCCCCGAGACGCCCGAATGACTGCATCACTGGCCCTCACGTTCCATACGCGTCCAACGTTCTCGGCTGGCTTTACCGACTCCTGACCGAACCTTTGCTCCATTCCTCTCCCGTATAGCCTGCTCACCGGTTTTTCCATCCAATCATGGTACATGGGCGGAACACGTACATGTAGTCGCCAGATACAGTTATGGCGGCCACCAACGGGGATCTCCCATCCCTGTGGGACGAATCGAGGTATGAAGCATGCCGTCATTGTCCCCAAGCCTTGCCACAACCTCCCAGGCTGACTATAAATATATGACAGACAGCTCGGCCAGCTGTTTATGATGGGATTTGATGGCACCTCCATCACTGATCAAGTCAAGACCTTGATTGAGAAGTACCATGTAGGCTCAATACTTCTCAAGGCTCAGAACCTCAAATGTGCTGCTCCTTTTCACTCATGTCCTTTGCTTATCTCTGCTGCTGTCCGTCCCCTTGAGTGACACTGACGAATGTGACAGCCGCCGAGCAAACCACTCAGCTTGTGCTTGATCTTCAGACTCTCGCCCATGATGCCGGTCATCCTGTTCCGCTCCTCATTGCTCTGGATCAGGAAAATGGCGGAGTCAACAGCTTGTACGATGAAGGCTATATCCGACAATTCCCCAGCGCCATGGGCATCGCCGCCACGGGATCGAAGAGATTAGCCAGGGATATAGCGAGAGCTACGGCTCAAGAACTGAATTCTTGCGGCATCAACTGGATATTGGGTCCCGTGCTTGATGTTCTTACCAATGCCAGAAACCAACCTCTGGGAGTACGATCGATAGGTGATGACCCCCACGAAGTATCTGCGTATGGGGTCGAATGTATAAAAGGCTACCAGGAAGGTGGTGTTGCGACCTGCGGTAAACACTTTCCATCTTACGGCAACCTCGAATTTTTCGGTGTGCCGGATGATGTCCCTACCATCACGGATTCGCTCGAGAACTTGAGCCAAAGCGCCTTGGTTCCATTTCGTACGGCAATTGCCCAAGGAATTGATTCTATGATGGTTGGAGGAGTCGCAATGGCGTCATCTCAGGTCAACGTAATGCATGCCTGTCTTTCGGAGCAGCTCGTCGAAGACCTTTTGCGACACAAGATGCGCTTCGAAGGGGTCGTGGTTTCGGAGTGTCTGGAAATGGAAGCTCTTAGCCGCAACATCGGTATCAGTGGCGGAACAGTCATGGCTTTCAAAGCCGGCTGTGATCTGATTCTGACGTGTAGGACCTTGTCGGTTCAAGAAGACGCCATCAACGGTCTCAAAGCTGGGTTGGATAATGGAATGATTGAACGCTTCCGCGTGCAAGAATCACTGCGAAGGATCCTCAAGATGAAGGCAAAGTACACATCTTGGGAAAAGGCATTTGCCCCCGCTGGGATTGAAAACCTTGCCCGACTACAACCTCTTCATTCAAGGCTCTCCACTACTGCATACAACAAATCGATCACTGTGGTTCGCGACCAGAATCGCTACTTACCGCTGTCGAGAGTTCTCAGACACGAAGATGAGCTGCTCCTACTGACACCCCTTGTCAAACCCTTACCCGCCTCTGCCTTGTATCATCAGATGCAGAGCGAAACATCATCAGTGCCAAACTTTGGGCGGAGTCCTAGTGTCGACACCAACACCTCGATCATGAGTGGCGAACAGGTCTTTCGAGAGCTGGGAAGGTCTTTGGCGAGGTATCGGAACGGTAAGATCTCTCATACTTCGTACACCGCGAACGGAGTCAGACCACTGCATGAGACGTTGTTGGACCGAGCACAAGGTGTGGTTGTCGTGACAGCTGATGCGGGCCGTAACAAGTATCAAAATGCATTCGCCAAACATATTTCAATGTTATGCAAATTGGCTGTTGGACGAGATGGCTCGCCCAAAGAAAAGCCTTGTGTTGTGGTTGCCGTCAGCTCTCCATTCGATTTCTCGTCGGACACAACGGTCGGAACATACGTATGCACCTACGATTTCACCGAGACGGCTTTGAGGGCTCTAGTTCAAGTACTCTACGGTGAACTCGGCCCTGCAGGAGTGCTTCCAGGGTCATACAGTCAAAAGCCCCAGACCAGTCAATCTCGCCAGCAGTGGCTGGTGGAAAGTTTCAGCGAGGAGCGCGACTCCACAGCCCTGGATGTTTTACTTGTTGAAGCCCAAAACGAGCCATCATTACATGCAAATGCACTGAAAAATGCAACAACCAGCACTTTTCTGCTCCACGATCCAGATGTGGAAGAGGCACATTTCGTGGTTAGAAACAGCAGCACAAAAGAGCTGTTCGGTTTCTGCACCACCTATTACCTTCCAAAGACAGGCGTGGGTCATGTTGGGGCGATCATCGTCGACCCTGCCCGTCGACGACTGTCGATAGGCCGTTCGCTGCACGATCGCGCCGTTCGGGCGTTGCTCCAGAAGAAAGGAATAACAAAATTTAACCTTGGTGTGAGATTCCCAAACGTGTACTTGGGTGTTCCAAGGCTAGATCCTGTCGAATACAAAAGACTTCGCCAATGGTTTGCTGCACTGGGCTGGAATACATCGATGTCCACTCCGGTGGCCACCATGTCGTTAACTGACCTCGCAACCTGGTCGCCTCCCGATGGACTTGGGCAAGCGTTGACCAATCCAGAGGTCAAATACGATCTCGTGCACGGCGGAGAATACACCGACGCCATGATGGAACATCTTACCAGGTGTGCACGAAGCGACGTGCAGAGCATCTATCAGTTGGCACTACACAACAAAGAAGGTGCTGGTATCATTCGGGCCAAACGAGCGTCAGACCAAGCGATTTTGGGAAGCATCTTGATTTATCGATCAGGGTCGAGAATCGCCCGATTCATACCATCTCTTTACAAACAAGCCGGCATGGCTTGCATATCTTCACCCGTCATTTCAACCATATTTAGCGACCGAATCTCCATTTTCCAGGGACTTGTATTATTAGGACTCCGTCAGTTCAAGAAACAAGGGCTACAGACCGTCCTGCTCGATTATGTAAGTCGCCCTTCTTTCCGGTTTGGGCTTTGAATTGACCGCTTTTCAGGTCCGTGAAGATGTCACGGTCGATAGCTTGACGTCTTTAGGTTTCACTATCGGAAACAGCTTCGAAGAAATCTCGAGCGATCCAGTACATTGGACCATGATGTCGGCGACTTGAAGTACGCATCGCTTGTGGCTGACATGACTGTCGGTCGTGTTGGACCCTTGGTCTTGATGCCTTTGTGTTCACTGGCTACGTGCGTGTGAGCAGAGGATTGTCTGTCTCACCAATATCTTCAAAGTCATGATGGAATCTCTGACCTTGCACGCTCAGTTCGGACTTGGCCTCAAGTATTACCAGGCTGGCTCGCGCGTGTCTCTCTGGGAACGGACTCGTTAAAGGGCATCTGCAGTATACGCTGGAAGAAGGATAATATTAAAGTCTACGCTGTATCAGTACTATTTACCGATCAGCCCTGCCGCCTTGTGCGCAGTCATGAGCAGCGAGTGGCCAGCTGGAGTACTGTAGGCAGGTAAGCGTGCGATGTCAACAGTCCACAAGACTCACTTGATCTCACCAAACACAGTGGTCGTGTCAAGACTGGCGGCCCTGGATTGGAGGACCAAACTGCACTTGGCCACTGTTTGTCATGATGGCACGACTACGAATTCTGACCAAAAACCCGGTCACTGGATGTGGCTTGCGATTGGGCCACTAATTACTCCGTACATAGTACATATGGGGCTCTTGGGCCTAAAGCCCAGCTGACAAGGCACTCGATGGCAGAGCGGCGAGCCAGCTCGTCGCAGGCTTAACTTCTCCAAGCCATAGTACGGAAGCACGGATCCAACCATGTTAGGAAGATAGTGTGAGATTCGCATCGCCGGGAGGAGCGCTCTTGCGGCAAGACAGTCAATAATATGGTGCGTGTGTAGATAAACGATCTCAGGCTCTCAAGTCTGGCCCCGGAGTCGAAGAAAAATGCGATCCATTCCTAGTGCGGGAAATGAAAATGGAGTGAGTCTCCTAGACCAGCAGATGATTTGCCGCCTCTTACCCGTTCTCATGTTGATTAAGTGGGCGGGTTCCGAGCTTCGTGGGACTGACTTTGCTTGTACCGAGTATGCTATCTTGTTCGGGATGCTTCTCCCCGGCGCAAACCTCGGGACTGCGCTCTGACCGCCACATCAGAGAGCCGTGCGCCTGGCAGGTCAGCCTCAGTCAGCTCTCTGCGTCAGGCGAGTGGCAATAGTTGGTTGTGTGACGGCCGCCAATAATAAGTCGCACAAAAGTATCCGTATGCGGTTTTCTTTCTTTTCTCATGAGTGGGAGGGCTGGTTTGAGAGAGGCACCCAGCCATGTGATACCGATAGGTCAGGAACGAGACAGACGCTGGAATTGATGATAGTCCTCGGCATCGTCGTCTGGACAGGGAGATTGAGCTATGCTATTGCGGGCAAGCGCAAGCGTGTGTGAAACTATGGTTCTGCGTTTGCCAGTCAGGCGGTGGGCGTTGACATGATCAGCAATTGAGACACGGGAGGATCGGACTAGGAGTGGACACTGGACCGAGACGTATGTATGTCAGTAAGTGTAGAAAGTGGAAGCTCTGAAGTTGCCTGCAGTGGTCAGTGTTCACACAAAGAAACAGTGACGACTGACGGATGTGCCGAGTGGGTATGGGCCTAAGCGACCGGGGGCCTCCTAGCCTAAGCCTTCGTGGCTGTCAGGGCTAAATCCCAGCAGGCTTAGCATCGGCTTCCAGGGATGCTTGGGTGCAGTTGATTCGGTTCTCGCAGCGCAGGTGGATGCTTGAACGCAACAAGAGTGAAATTGTGGGCACGGGGCAGACTTCTCAACTTGAACCTTGAGACGTTTGATTTTGTCTGGTTCGGTTCAGTCCAGTCGCATGGGTGGTACGACAAAAGGACCAGGGAGCGTCAGGTTGTGCCAATGGAGGTGAGGGAATTGAAACGAAGGGGAGCGACCGAGGGACGAGCAGTCGGTGATTGAGTTGGTGAGGACCGGTTGTGAACGACCTTGAACGAGTTAACCAACACTGGTTTCACAGATCAATCAGCCTACTCCGGTCTCACAGCTATAGGTCCACTGCCAGTGGTCAGGCAGATTGACTGGATACTACCTCCTGGTAGGCAACAACAGCGAATGAGACATACGACAGCAGACAGTTTGTTCTTTGCTGCTTGCGCACACCGAGTTGCTTCTCTAGCGCCAACTGCCAGCTGCAAGGACGCCCCCGTTTCCTTCTAGAAGGCCGCTACTCTGTCTTCCATCGCCTAAAGAAGCCCCTGGAAGGATTTCCCCTCCAGGCCCCTCAGGCCCACGCACCCACAGCTCTGCGCCTCCTACGCCCCCTCGCACTAATAATTGGCCACTGCGCTGCCTGCGCTGCTAGCTGAAGTCTCGAGACCAGCCACCGCGCATTTCAAGCCTGCTCGGTCTCGTGTCCTGCAGCTGCTGGCCCGGCATGGAACTGTACAGTGTATGCACATGCGACGACCGACAACTGAGTCTCACTTCCGAGTGCGGCACTGGCACCATCCGTCATCCCATCCGTCATCCTTCATTGGTACTGCCAGACTGAACCGGCCGGGGCAAGACAGACGGTGTGCGGTGTACGTGGGTGCATGGATAATGAAGTTCAGGTTGAGGCAGAGAATGAACATGGGTGCGAGCACTGCAATGCAAGCGACGCCCTCCCACGGCTTGTTATATAGGAGGACGTATGTAGCTGTCGAGCTTGCCCCCCATCCATTCTGCTCTTATACCTACTGTGGACGGTTCCTCCGCAGGCAATGCTCTGCCATCTATGCCATCATTGCCATCATCATTGACCCCTTTGCTCGTTCTCCGGTCGGTCGAGCATTATTGACGGCCGCTATTAGTTCAATCAATTTGTTTGCTCGATCGAGTAAAAGCCATTCATTGCTCCTGGCGCATCCCATTCGTCCAGCAATCTGCCAAGGGGCCAACTGGGGCTGCGTGTCCAGCAATCACGGCGCCGCGTCGGTGCCTAAGCCTGAATGCGATCAAGCCTAATTATTGTCCCGCTCCCGCCTCTCCAAACCCACTAACTGGCAGTGGCCTCCGGCTGATCGTGCGGCCCTTGGGCCCCAAAAAAGGCCACAGGCACTGACTGGGCTGTTGCACGGTGCTTAAACTCACCTGTCTGTCCACTGCACTGAAGTGCTGATCGACCACCTCCCATCCGGCCTCACCTGTTCCATTCTCGTTCTCGTTCTTTTCCCGCTCGGAGACAAGGGCGCACCTTTGATGAGCAACATCTTTTACTGCTCTCGAGAATGCCGACGACGACGACGATACCCTGTCCTGTTAGCTAGCCCATCACCTTCCACGCTCTCGCTATTGCGGTCGCATCGCACCGCATCGCATCGCGACTCGATCATCTCCCCTCCGCCTCCAACCTCCGCCTCGGCTTGCCCATGGCCACCACCATGGACGGCTTTGATCCTCTTGCCATGCCATACTTGCACAGCCCGGTGCCGTTCACAGGCGGGAACCTGCAAAACCTGGACTATATGAGTGTGCCATCCGTGATGGATCTGCAAGATCAATATTCCAACTTTGACTCGGAACCATACATGAGGTAGGTGATTGGAAACCCCCTTCTCCGTCCGCCGTCTTGTCTGACTTGGGCCAAAGTGGGGATGAACTGGGCTTTGCGCCTTCCTCGGCCTTGCAACACCCGGCCATGTTGAAGCGCTACTCTTCAGGACTCGAAGACCCTTTTGCCGAAAGCACCATAGCTCAATTCGACCAAGTGCCCAATGAAGGCGTGCCCGAGAGTCCTTCAATCGATCGCGACAGCAAATATCTCAGCTTCTCCATGGCCCAGTACAACTTTACTTTGCTCGATGATTCATTCCGCCGCACATCCGTCAACATTAACGCTCAACTTCACGGCATGTTTTTTCTGGCCGAGTCACAGTGGCCTGCGACAGCTGATACACCTCCACCACCTCCAGAATTGACCTGCTATAGACGGAATCTTTTCCAGATCACTGGCTCAGTGACACTCCCGAGGAATCTCAGATATGTCTTCACCGATGATGGATCCCGGATCCCCATCTATGAATTAGAGCTGGCTGTGTCCGCGACGGAGTCGGTGGAGGGCAACGCGGTCAAGATCATTTCTGTACCATGGAAGACGCCGGCCAGTGGAGATCAGGCCAAACCCGAAGACAAAGGTGAACGAGAGCCTCCCACGATTCCATTGGATAAGATGTCGGGACAGGATCTCGACACCGACTACACCACATTCCCCATCCAGTGGAAGCGCCTACAGTTTCGCATAGCCACCGCAAACAACGGCCGAAGAAAAGAACTGCAACAGCATTTTACCCTTCACCTCAAGATCATGGCGTCGCTGTCGACCGGCGGCAAGATTTCCATCGCGGAGGCCCATTCGGGTGCCGTCATTGTGCGAGGGAGAAGTCCCCGAAACTTTGCGGCTCGGAAAGACATGCCTCTGAGTAGCAGTTCGACGGCTCGAAAACATCTGCCTTCCACTTCGCGGGCCGGCGCAAGCCAGACGTCGGCCCCTCAAGTCACTTCTGCTCCCAAGATAAAATCACCACCGGACGAGCCGGCACAAGTGATGATGCCATATGACACTAGTAACGGCGAGCTGAAATCGACAGAGACAGACACCCACAACTGGATGTCGCAAGTTTTACCCGATCCCCTTCCCACGACCTCTTACCCGGCCGCAATGAATCCTCCTCCGATGCCACCGTTCTCCCAAGACCCCACCCCCGAACTTGGAACCCCGGGGCCATTCCCATTCACATTCCCGCAAGAGATGCCATCAACAAGCAATCGTCCACTGAGTTTACATTTCGGAAGCGACGATGAGGGTAGTCCCTATCCTCAGCAACAACAAGGATCGAGACATTCTTCTCGACCTCCCACTTCGAACCCATCCCCGTCTTTGGTCAACAAAGGTCAGACCGGGACTTACGCCAACCACGCCTCACAAGGGCATGCCATTATTTCAAACCAAGGCACAAGTGGAAGTGGAAATCGGCCTAGAATACACGGTCACGGCATGTCGGTAACGAGTGTCCCCAATTCGACGACCGGCGTGAACAACTCACAGACCTCCATTCCAGGAGTGTCGTCTCAAAGGCCTGAACTGCTTGCCGCCAAATCGAGCCAGTCCTACATTGGCGAGGGGAAAAGTGCAGATGAGCTGTACGAGTATTTCCCGCTGGGTCTGGACGATTGGATGCCACCTGTGGATGCGGTATTCCGGCCACATGTCGTCCATCACAGCGGGCCGTTACCGCCTGATCCACGGTCGCCAGGGCGGCATACGAGCAAACGGTATTTCAGTGAGGTGGTATGAATCTTAATCGACCGGGTGTGACCGGTTGGGCCATGGCTATGGCTATGGCTATGGCTATGTGACTGTGGCTCCATCTATATACATATGGGTGAATTGAATACTCGACGATCCGTTGGTTCTGGACGTCGGCCACGGGAGTATATTGACTACAACTTACACGTACAATCATCTCAGGTCAGAGAGCCTTGATACCCATCTCCATGCGGACTGAAATGGAATGAAACGAAATGAAATGAAATCCGAATCCCAACCGAATCCAAAATCAGTTTCCTTGTAGAGTATTCTATTGTGTCGGTACGAGAACGTCGCTGGCTACCTTATGGTTTGGCCGCTTGTCAGGAGGTGTTGGCCAGGCAGGGAAAGGGTTGGGGCCTGAGCCAACACAACACAAGCAGGCTAGGCCCGTCGAGCTGGGTATTATTTTGTTGTTGTTGTTGTTGTTGTTGTTGTTTTTGTTTCTGTTGTTCAGTGGTTCGTATCCGTCCTGACTATTGACTACGGACTACGTACATAATTACAGATAGTCGTGACGCTAGGTCAAGTGCATGTTTGACTGGTCCATCTGTGAGAGCATACTCCGTACTGTAGGACCGAGTAGTAAGTACTTCATACTCCATACTCCATATCGGTACTTGGTTGTTTTCGGGTACAGTAGTGTACACTTGATCATTTGAATAGCTTACCTAGAGGAGGAGATGAGATAAGAACGGATCATGACAAGGCCGACGGGCCGCTAAATCTAGGTAATAGTCAATTAATCTAGCTGGCTAGCACCAGGTGGTCAAAGTAGGTAGCCAGTCGCTAATAATACCGCTCTAAATGATACACTTGTCTGTACAATTATAGCCCTGATGTATCCGGACTGATAGGATGGGTGGGGTGATCTCCTATGTGTATGTACTCCGTATGTGTGCCTTAGGTACTCCGAGTTAGTCGTGAGCGGTGCCACTCACTCAGTTGGCCCGGCTTGATCTGGTACAAGCGAGCGAGGCCCCTGGCGAGAGGAGGAGGAACAGCCAGTGTGGGAAGGCCAGAGTGAGTGTGACACGGGAGGCTGTGGTTCATTCAAGCGTGGGTAGGGCCTCTGTGTTTGTGGTTGGCTGATACAGTGATGAGGAAGAAAGAAGAACAGATGATGTGATAATGTTTGATGCACAGAGTAGTTTACAATCACAATTACACCAAAAAGCCCGGGGCCATGGAAGCTGGAGAGAAGGGAACGAGCTCCGTATCCGTACAGGGGGAGGTAACAAGTGTTGAGTAAGAGTCAGCGAAGTGGGATGGGGAGGAGATGGAGATGGAGATGGGATGGGGATGGATGGGAGGCTTCTTCCAGGACCCCAGTAGTGGTGGTGCCACGCTAGTCCTGCATTCCGCCCTCAGCATCTTCCTTCTAGTCACCTTCTGGTGGCATTCTAGTTCGGCGAGTCTGACTCCATAGACTTTTCCACCGTCCCAGTGTCCAGTGTCCACTGCCCGCCGTCGGGTCCGGTAGTGACTTGTCGGCGGATCTGCTTGGGTATGATAATGTTACCTAGTATCCGTACCTTGTACCTGGCTTCGTCGGATTTGACCTGACCTGATCTGACCTGACCAGACCGGACCTGGCTTGCTAGAATTCTTCGCGCCTCAGGACCAGGTACGGGTAGCTGTCGGAATGATGATGGTGGCGGTGGTTCGATGTTAGTTCGGCAGCTAACATGTGCATGTGGCGGCGGCGGCGGCGTCGGTAGGTGGTGGGTGGTGGGTGATCGGGATCGATGACAGTCAAGGTTGCTAGGGACTGGAGGCATATGTACAAGATCATGTATAGGCATGCACAAGTAGGCACTAACAGTAGTGCATCGAGCATTTGTCAGGGATCCTGGGTACGGAGCACCGACTAGTAGTAGTGCAGCTTCTGTGCCTGGTAAGGCAGACAAGGCAAGATAAGGTGAGGTGAGGCGACAGGGACTATAGTGTTAGCCACTGCTATCGTGTTAGCCATTGCAGAGAGCATCGGAGCATGCCGAAGACAGAACGACGAAGCCGTGATGTGCCAGGAGTGCCGCTTGTTCAGCCAGGGGTGGAAGCATCGGCACATTTCCAGCCAGGTGCCAGGTGCCAGGTGTTTCTCTAGGCGAGATGGGGCTCGGGTGGGATGAGATGTGGTGCAGTAGCGCAGCAGGTGCAGGAGAAGTTCAGTAAGAGTAATAGTAAAGAACAAGAATAGTACCTAGCGGTAGTGGCAGCAGTGGCAGCAGTGGCAGCAGTGGCAGTAGTACGGAGAGATACAGATGATGCCATGATCACTCCGTACCTACTAACCTAGCTAGGCAGGTGCCTAATAGTACCTGGTACCTACGACCCAAGGTCAAGCACAAGCTGTGGTGCAAGGTGCAAGGAGGCATGCACAATGACGACTCGCGCAGCACTTGCACTTGGCACTTGAAGTGGCAGTTGCTAGTCGGCTGAAGGGGCTCCTAAGGCCTGAGCCAAGGTGCCTTCCCTTGGACCCCAAGAATGACGCCATCATGTCAAGATTGTAGATTGTGCACAGTTCAAGTTGGCCTTGTTATCTCCCAGGCGTGAGAAACGGGAATCTGCTGCCGAAGAGATGTCGGCGATACAGAGTACGGAGTAGGGCCGTATACCTAATCCGTACCTAAACATACAACACACCTACCTATGGAATAGTCGCACCTGAGGAGTGTCAGGATAAGGGAAGGGGACTTGCCCCTCGGCGCATGATATTGGCCAGTCCTATCCAGGCTTAGGCCCAAACTGCACGGATCAAACTCCTCGGGAGCCTTGTGTCCCGTCGCTTCCATGATCGTGCCCAATCCAATCCAAACAGTTGCGGTCCATCTCTATTGCTTCTGCTCCAAGCTGAAGCCGTACTTGATGGCCTCTTCTTTAAAACGACCGAACTTGTGCTTGTCAGGAAGACCATCACCCTCTCAGGCACTCTCACAGACGAGACCAACATACTGCAAGAACTGATTCCATTGTCTTGATCCTTCAAAGCGAGGAAAAGATTCTACCAGTCAAGGTAGATAGAGATGGGAGATCCTAGTGTTGCTAGTCACAGCCGGCGACCCAGTACATGGTAGTACACGGTAGGGACTCGCTGACAGAGAGAGCAAGGCGAAGCGCTCCAAGACGTGACCGGCCATGCTTCCCGATTTCGGAGGCAGACAGTGTGGACGAAGAGGAAGGACTACGGATGCTGTACCCGAAAGCTGGGAGAGTCTAAGTACTCCGTATATGGTAATCATATTGGTTGACATATACGTCAGTCTGGCCATGGTTACGGTTACGGTCGGCGGGCGACGGGGCGAGATGGTGACAGCAAGCAGGCCGCGAGGAGTATAAGGTAATACTGAGGTACGGAGTACTGTAGTGGGAGTGGTGGGTGTGGGTGTGGGTGAGGTTGACAAGGCAGACTGCAGATGCCGCAAGTGGTCAGCCTTGGAGGTGTACAGAATACCTGGTGAGTAGGTAGTAGTTAGTACGTAGTTAGTGGTCACTACTACTATAAGTATGTGTAAGCAACAACGGAGAGTTGACCGGTGTGAAATGTACATTGTATGGAGTCTTGTACCTACCTAGTATAATCACTTACTACTGTTTGCAAGGCAGCCAGTCGGAACTTGGGCCGTTTCCTAGCTCTACTCTGTCGAATATGTAATAGTAATGGTATGTAGACCCTCCTGGGCCCTTGAACGTGGTTGGCATGGTGTCACGGTCACGCGTCACCTGCGATACCCGATACCTCATTGCCCTATGCCGTCCATGGTAGTGGTTGTTCATCTGCCTCGATCGGCATTTGATACATATTCAGAATCCCGAAACAACCGCCCCCAACCCCTTAGCCTCCTGAGCCCTGAGCCCTGAGCCCTGAGCCGAGCCTAAGCCCTGTGACTCCTGCTTCGGACCGATCAGCACATCGGAGTGCTCCGGTAGTCTTCCATTTCCGGCCCTATACAACATCTCCCCGTGAACCATGCCCATGCCCATGGCTGGTGGCTCTCTTGATCACAGCCGAGGATCCAGTCCCGTCCTTCGTGATTCGAGATCCTGCATCGGATCCATGCCGCGCCCGCAACAGTGATGCCGATGTGCAGCTCCAGCTGTCGGGACTAGTATCCTCCCGTCGAACTCCCCCACGCGCTGGCTCGACTGGCTCTCAGCGTCTCAGCGTCTCAACTCGGTCTATCATGACACGACCTTTCAAGGCTGAGCTTCCTCTCACTTCCCCGTTCGAGACCGCGTCACTTGTCTTGTGACCTGGATGATGTCTTGTCTACTGCCCTAAACACCATCTCCTCCGTCCGTCGTCCCGCCTTGTATGTATATTAGCCTTGCTCAGCTCACGCCCTTTGATCACCACTCTCGGCCTGCTGCTTCTGCTTCATTTATTTTCTCCCTTGTCGCACTCTCTCATACTGTACCATCACTGCTACTCCTTCCAAAGCTTTTACCTCATCATCAGTGAGTTAGGTCGGCAGTTTTGAAATCTGCCCGTCTTCCCAACGAATCATTCTACTTTTCATATACTTCCTACCCGCCACGGCCTGCTCTCTTCGCTCTGCCAGCACAATGGACCACTGTCTATCCCGGGCCGTCATATTTGAGGGGATACCCATCACCGAACAGAACCAACGACGCACTTCTACTCCTACTACCACAACTACCACCACCAACCACAATGCCATGACCACTTCTGGCGCTGGATGTTCGGCCGATCATTGCCACGGCTGCAACTGTGGTTGTCGAACCTGTTCATGTCCAGCCATACCAGTTCGACATGAGTCAGACCGAGGGGCTTACGCTCGACAACGGGCTTTACCCATCCCCAGCCCTCACATCGAATTCCATGACTGCCTCTCACCATGTCTTTCGTCAATCGGCACCGACGATGCCTGCGGCCTCAACGGCGAGAGCTTCAACAACAGCTGGGAGGTCCATGACTATTTCAATGCTCGACTGACCGCAAGGAACTTGACTCGGCATCAGAGCACCAACATGCATGCCGATCGCACTCAACACGAAGACGATGATTCAATGATGGACGAAGACAACGAGAATCCATGGCCCGACTTCCTTGATCGAGTCGACAGTCTGGGACACATGTCGCCTATGGCAGAAGACTCGTCAGGCATGATCATGCTAGGAAATATGGACGACAGTTCCATGTTGCTCGAGTGTGGCGGGCGTAGCAACGGCGATGTCTCCGCGTCGAGCCGTGAATTATCTTCCTCCCGGCAAAGTGTCACTGCAAGCCAAATCCTCCGAGGTGCCGGAGCCGTCTTCGCAAACTGAGAGATGGACCTTGACTCGGCTGCCACCATGCTCAACCGAGGCCGACCGAAACATTCCAGGGTTATGTCTATGATGCACCTGTCACGAATTTCCTCTACTCGACCTGCTGATTGCCATGGGCATGGGCCGCTTGCATTCTTTTTCTGCCCTGAGAGTCTCACATACAATATTATCAAGGCCGTGCATGCAGGTCGCGGGTATTGTCTTCCCGGGACACAGGGACACAGATACAGTGTACAATATTCCCCGAGCGATCGGTGGTGTATCTATTTCTTGCAATTGGGGATGGGATGAGTCCCAAGTTCTTGACTTTCGATCATTAGGTAGTTGTTAGTTGTTTGGCTCGGTGTGACAATGTATTTGAAACTTGCACCCTCCAAACCATGTACGAGAACAGGCCATCGGTGCTAAGTCATTCATAGATGTGCATACATGGCATCGCACCGTGTTCCATTATCTCAAGTACCTGTACGGATGATTTTTTGTCCGTAAATTACAGTAATTACATACCAAGGGACATGGGGCCAGTAATCAGGAGTGACGCAGTTTGTCTCCAACTTTGCACCCCTCGCTGCGCTGCGCAGTGCAGAACACAATTCCGGAGGTCGTCGGCGGTAATCCAACATTTACTGTACGCTGTACGAATACATCTACTTCAACAAGATATCAAACTCTTCTACCGCACCCCTGGCACGCCTCTCAAAGCCGTCGATCTTTCTCTCCCGACATTTTCAACTGCGTGTTGTCCTAGGATCTCGAATCTCCAAGCTTGACCCATTTCGTTCGCTTCTGTAGAGCCGGACCCTCCACAACCACCTCGCCTCACGTTATCCCTATCACTCAATCCCTCGACCTGCTCAACCACCCTCACGGACTCCCCCATTTGCTAGAATGGCTCCTCCCGCGATCATCGCCCCGTCCATCCTGAGTGCCGACTTCGCCGCCTTGGGAGAAGCATGTTCAACAACAATCAGCCAAGGAGCCGATTGGCTTCATGTCGACATTGTACGTTGCATTCCCCATATCTGCTGCGAGTCTGGAAAGAGAAAGACAAAGACGATCTCGACATGGTTACCTTGGAGTGTGGGATTGACCTGGGCACCGTTCTCTGTTCGAGCGAGGTCCAGAGAGAACAATGTCAACACTTTCCGCGAGGCAGGTATCTGCTGGGCCTAGGAGAAGGGCAGCATCACCTGCGGAGCTACTCTACCCATATCGGGTCCAATACACATGACTTGCAACAAGACTTGAGCAGTTCAGGCTGACATTTCGTCCTCTGAGGTAACAGATGGACGGCCACTTCGTGCCCAATCTCACCTTCGGGCCCCCAGTGGTCTCGAAGATTCGAACACATGTCGAACGGCCCAAAACTGCGGCTGGAAGAGGCACTTTTGACTGCCATATGATGATTGCGGAGGTAAGACATCACGATTCTTGCTTTCTGTCGTCCTAGATCCCTGCATTTGTGTTCAGAGGTCATCCATCATGTGGGACGCCGGGGAAGGCTGGTGATGTTGATGTGCTAGAGTGAATTTTGTAATGATCTCTGTTGGCCATTGATACCCACCATCCTCATCTCGACCTCGACCAATAAAGATAAGATAGGGAGAGAACAAAAGAGAGAAAATCAATGACCCCGTTGACGACCACCATCCGTTGCTCTGTCCTGGGCGCTCTTCAAGCCTGCCAAACATCAGTCCACCCCATAGACTAACTCTCTTATAGCCACACCGCTGGGCGTCGACTTTCCGTGACGCCGGCTGCGATCTATACTGCTTCCACTACGAGGCTGCCGTCACCAGCGTGGCAGCCACCGAACCCACAGATAAAACCACCACACGGCCAACCTCTCCCAAAGAACTGATACGGTACATCCACAAACTCGGTATGCAGGCCGGCATCGCCATCAAACCCGAGACGAGCGTCGACGTGTTATGGGAGATATTGGAGAATGAAGTCGCCGAGGAACGACCCGATGTAGGTGGGCCCCGTCAAGATGCCTGTCAAGTTCCTAGCGATATTTTATGCTTCCCACAATCCGCTTCATACCTGCGATGTTACGAGATGGCAATTTTGTTATGACTGCAAGCGCTTCTCCGACTTCTACGGAGGCGACTAACTAAGCTTCTGTTTGGCATGAGCTGATGCTAATCTGTCATTGTCGCAGATGGTCCTAGTGATGACTGTCCACCCGGGCTTCGGGGGCCAGAAGTTCATGGCCAGCGAACTTCCCAAAGTCACCGCCTTGCGTGAGAAATACCCGGACATGAATATCGAAGTCGACGGTGGCCTGGGAGAGTCCACCATCGACCAGGCGGCGGATGCGGGTGCCAACGTGATAGTTGCAGGTAGTGCGGTCTTTGGTGCCAAGGATCCTGCGCATGTCATTCAGGTGCTGAGAGAAGCGGTGGAGAAGAGGCGAGAAGGGAGGTTATGATTCCGTTTTGCCGAATAAAAAAGAATATGACAGTCTTTCGGGGCTGGTGGATGGACGGCCATTGCCTGCCCATCTTGATGTCTGATAGGAGACGACGTAAAGCCAGAAGAGGATGGGGAACTATCTATCAACCCATGCACCCATGTATGCTATAACGGTGGATATACACACACATATATATTCCTCAACGAAATTCCTGCCGTTCATCATTCCCTTGGATAGAATGCAGAATCATCTGCTTAATTCCACCCACGGTCCACGATCTACGGTCCACGATCCACGATCACACGCGAGCTATTATATATTTCCTCAACGAAATTCCTGCCGTTCATTCATTCCCTGGGACAGAATCATCTGCCTAATTCCACGCATTTCAATAACCATCGGCCCCCTTGACAACAGCAGCAGCTCCACCCTTCTTGCCAAACATATCCCTCACATCGCGGATCAAGAAGTCGGGCCTCTCATAGGCGAAGAAGTGGCCACCGGAAGGATGGGAGCGCTCGAAGACGACGTCACCCTGGGTGCGGGTCCACGAGGAGGGCAGGACGCGCAACTCCTGGGGCGAATGGGCCAGGCCCAGCTTGACGCCGGCGCCGATATACTGGGTGGTGCGGTCGCGAGAGACGCGGGTGGCCGGGGGGTCCCATTGATGGGTGGCTTCATAGTAGATCCTGAGGCTGGCGGCGGGGCCCATCGTGCTGAACCAGTAGATGGCGACCCAGGTGCACACCTCGTCGTCGGTCCAGGGGTAGGCGTCGGTCCAGTCGTGCAGCTTCTCGTAGATCCAGGCCAGCAGGCCGACGGGGCTGTCGGCCAGCGCGTAGCCCAGCGTCTGCGGCTTGGTGGTCTGCTGGGCGCGGTAGCCGGAGCCCTGGTCGAGAAACCACTGCGTGCGCGCCAGCCCTGCCTTCTCGGCCGCCGTGTACGGGTGCAGCGCGTGCTGCAGGGCCAGCGTGGGGTGGCTCGTCCACGCCGGCGCCGAGCCCTGGTCCATGTTGACGTGCGTCGCCTTGCAGTGCGAAGGGTACCGCAGGCTCATCGCCCGCGTGATGTAGTAGCCCCAGTCGCCGCCCTGCGTCACGTACTCGTCGTACCCCAGACGCAGCATCAGCGCGTGGCACGTCTCGGCGTATTGCGCCAGCGCGAACCCCTTTTTGCGCGACCCTTGGCTGAATCCGTAGTTGGGCAGCGACGGTGCCACGAAGTGGAATGCCGGTGCCGGCTCTGCCGCTGGGGCTGGCGCCGCTGAAGAGTCCGACGAGGTGGTGTTGGTATCAGGGTCGGCCGTCGGATTCGCCAGTCGCTCCCAGATCTTGCTCGCCTCGAGAAAGCTGCCGGGCCATCCGTGCACGAACAGCAGCGGGATGGCGCGCGGGTTGGTCGAGCGTTGATGCACGAAATGGATCTTCAGCTCGTCGTGGCCCGCCACCGGGATCGTCGTCGTGAACTGCGGCATCTGGTTCAGCTGCTTCTCGGCCGCCCGCCAGTCGTGCCGCTCGAGCCAGTGCTCCGTCAGCCGCTTCACGTCTGCCAGCGGCGCCCCGTAGTCCCAGCCGGCCGAGTCGATTTCGTCGGGAAACCGCGCCAGAGACAGCCGGGTCTTGAGGTCCGTCAGCGCCGCGTCTGGGATCGAGATGGTGAAGGGCTCGATGCTGGTGTCTGCCATTTTTCAGGCCGGGTTCGTATGATAGTGATGGGAAGGACGCGAGGCCACAGGCTAATATTCTTGGAGGAGACGTGCTGGTCTCGGTGTCGGTAGTGGTCTTGGTCTTCTGGGGAAAAGGGGGTTCAACCGCGCCCTCGACTGGTGTCAGCTTCACCTACTATTGCTATAATCGATTCCCTGGTTTCATGGATTCATTGATTCCCGACAGCATGGGATGGGAAGCGGAACGCTTCAGGTCGGAAGCAGAGATGCGTGGTCGAAAGACAGCACTGCCGGCAGAACGGATGACAATGACACGATCCGTACTCCGTATCCGTACAATGCTGAGATCCCCCCGCAGCACCCAGGCAGCAACAACAACAACAAGGGTTCATCTTTGTCAGCTCTAGCATCTCTACGCGCCTTGTGACTCAACCCACTCTCTTTTCCCTGCCAGTAGCGGTACTGACCTTGAAGCCACCATCATCAGTTCAGGCAGACGGCCCGCCCTTATACGCGCCCGTCTATCATATCGGGAGCTCAGTATCGTGAGTGAGGATGTTGGAGATCAAATCTTGATCATGACGCTGTCTGGCCAACTACCTAACTACCTACTATATCAACGATGGCACCAAATAAGAGATCGATTTTATTTCCCCAATCACACAAGTCCAACAACACGCAACATCAACACCCTTCCCGAATCCAATAATGTCACGCCCTAGAAATTGAGACCCAGAGGGTTTGCTGCAGCAGTGGGATTGCCCACGATCTTTGACTTGGTCGCGGGTTTTGCCCCGGCTGCACCATTGGGCTTCGCCGAGGTCGCCTTTTTGACCGAGGTGGTAGGCTTTTTGGCCGCCCCGGTCGTTTTGCTTGACGTCTCGTCACCAGGCTTCTTCCTCATGGCGCCTGGGTTTGGTGTCGATGCAGACTTGGCCGGTGCAGAAGAGACGTGTTTCTGAACTGGAGCAGGAACCGCCGATGTCGACTTCTTCGCACCGCCGCCAACTGGCTTCGGCCCAGGTGCTGGCAATGCTTTTCTCGGCGTCCCCCCCGCAATCTTCTTTTGAGGTGCTGAAGTCTTGCTTGTCGTCATCAAGGTCTTGGATGGACTGCTCTTGGGTGGTGCTCGGTACAGTTGAGGATTTGTCACTTGTCTCTTTCCTCCCGGCACCCCCGAGCCCAACCCCAATGGGTTACTTGCCGTTTGTGCCCTGCTTCCATCCGCCTTTGTCCAATCCATGATGGCATTTCCATAATCCTTCACGCCGTCCCCATAGCTTCGGATCGAGTTGTTAATGCCCTGACCCACCCCGTTGATACTGCCTCCTACGGCATTAATCGCTCCACCTGCAAAGGAGCCGGCACTTGAGACCACTCCAGACACGGTGGGAGCAAGAGCCTCAGAGACCTTGCCCAGAACCCACTGCGTTGCCATGGCTTAGGCGGACACAAGTGCAACCGGAGCTTAGGAAGTAGTGGTCGACTTCTTAGGACCGAGCTTAGGAGGCTTTCTCTTAGACTTGTCACCGGCTTGTGAGCTGGGAGGGGAGGTTTCAGCCTTCTCAGTCTTGTCAGCCTCGTCAGCTCTATCGGAGGCAGTGGCTTGTCCCAGTTGCTTTTGCGGGGCCAAGGACTGACGGCTGTGCACCAACTTGTCTCTGGGCAGCGGTCGAGGGGTACGGCTGGGGTCTTCGGGCTCTGCCTTGGGAGGTAGCTTGGGCAGAGTTCGGACTTTCCACTCTGGTTTGGCCTTGGGAGCTCTGTAGCCTCGAGTGGCGGTGACGTTGATAAAGTCCTTGTCAAAGAAGATGTCAAAGGATACGTTAGGCATTGGGATAAGCACTCAGTCAATAGGAGGGACTGAGCGTGTAGGATGGGTTGTAGCTTGGAGACAGCAGAAGAGTAGAATCAAGAGAATGAGGTGTTAGTTAAGAACTCAGCTATTCGATCTGGAGCGAGGATGGGCGGTGCAGAGCAGATATCAGGAATCAAGAAGCAGGAATCAGGGTCTGGTTTGATGCAGTGGACGGGGCAGCGAACGTCATAAGGGGCTCGCTGGTCGCACCGCCACGACCTCGATATCCTGTTTCTGCCGCCTTCATCCCTGTCAAAACAACGAGTCGGGACGCTGCTGGCTGGGCTGCGGCTCACTGACGCTCCTCTCACTGCTCACCGATCGCTGATGGCCGCCGAAACAAACGATCGGCCCAGGGTGCCAGAAGCGGACATTTCTGTCATTTGCTGCCCATCTCCCCCTCTCCAGCGCCCTGGACTGAATCGACCAGCGTCAACGCCACAATGGATGCATGGATGCAGCTGGCGGTCAAGTCATCGGTCGAGACGGAAAGATCTTCCCAAAGCCCTGTCACCTACCTGTCGACCTTGAACCCCTTCGTACGTCAGCGGTGGCGTTCCCCCATCTCGGCCGTTTGCAGGTGAATTCCATTCTGAACATTTCACTGCAATGGAAACAACTGCGGCCGTGGGATGTTTTGAAGACCTAGCTACCAAGATGTACACAAAACCTCGGCGGCAGGCTTCAAATTGATAGTCATCCAACATGTCGGTGGTCAAACCAGGCCTCGAGCCTGCCGCAGGCTTGTCTCTCGAGTCAAGGCCAAATCGTCCTGATCGCGTGCCTTTGAAAAAAGGGGAATATTCAATAGCCTCGCGCGCTCTGGCATTGTCTACGTACTTCTTGTCCGGAGCCCTAGCCATCAATCTCTCCCAGTTCCTCGGGACTCCTCTGTATCTCGTCAACCAGGACTGGTATAACGCATGGATTGCCTTCACCAAGCAGTCCTTTGGGCTGCTCACAATGACATTGACTCAAACCTTTGCACCCACCAAGGTCATCATCTCCGGCGACGCGTCGGTTCGCGGTCAACTTCTGCAGTCAACGGACGGCAATCTAGTCCTCGACTTTCCTGAAAGGCTAGTCCTCATTGCAAACCATCAGATCTACACGGATTGGCTGTACCTGTGGTGGATAGCATATTGTAATGGTATGCATGGGCGGCTATACATCATCCTCAAGGAGTCGCTCAAGAAGATCCCCGTGCTAGGATGGGGGATGCAGTTCAATCAGTTCATCTTCCTCAAGAGAAAGTGGGAGCAAGACAAACCCAGTATGGCCAGCGCTTTGCAACGACTCAACAATCCCACAGATCCCATGTGGTTGCTATTATTCCCGGAGGGTACTAATCTGGCCCCGAGTACTCGTGCAAAGAGTGCTGCGTGGGCGCAGAAAACCAGCATTCCCGACATGCAACACGTACTTCTACCACGCAGCACCGGGTTGCGCTTCTGCCTCGAAGAACTCAAAGGAACCGTCGACTACGTGTATGACTGCACCATAGCCTACGAAGGTGTGCCACGAGGCCAGTTTGCACAAGACATCTTCACGCTGAAGGCAGGTTACCTCGAAGGTCGACCTCCCAAGTCCGTAAGCATGCATTGGCGTCGCTTCGCAGTCAAAGATATTCCTTTGCATGATGACAAGGCCTTTGAACTCTGGCTCATCGCCCGTTGGCGGGAGAAGGATTTGCTGATAGAACAATACCTCCAGACAGGCAGGTTTCCTGCGGACAAGGGTGCTACAAAATACAAGTCTGGCAAAGTTTTGCGAGGCTGTGGACACATGGAAGTTCCCATCAGAGCAAGCCACTGGTATGAGTTTCTCCAGATCTTCGCCCCCATGGGCATTCTAGCCATGGTCCTCTACATTTTTTACGGCGACCTGCCCAAGCGCTTTTGGAAAAGCATCAACAAACAAGCTCTCCAATCTGGAACGGAGGACATCAAGCAAGCCGGGCTCAAGGCCGGCAAGAACGCGAAATCTATGACCACATCGCTCGGAGGCCTGACGCTTGATTCTTTCTTCGAGCCGGATCAGCAGCAAGAAGCGTTCAAGTCTGGAGCTCTAGCCGTCCAGAGCCTCCTCAACTCCCCTTCAGCACAGACTCTGCTCAGCCGGGCCGACTTCATGCAGCAATTCCTGTCGGACCCACAGAAGATGGTGACAGACAGTATCACAAGTAAACAACAAAATTTCATGCAGCAGATTGCCATGGAGGAGGCAAGGAGACAACAGAACCGCGTATCAGCACCAACAACTGGTCCGTTAAAACCAATCGCGAATGGGACGGCAGGTAAGAAGAATAAATTCTGGGAGGAATTAGAAGCCGAGAAGAAGAGTCGACATGGCTCAGTCGTGTCGGCTCCGATCTCGTCAACCACTAAGAAATCCGGGGGGACATTTTGGCAAGAACTCAAAGCAGCCGAAGAGAAGAAGAAAGCTCCAGCAGTGACAGAACGGGCGATGAAGAGGTTGGGTGGCCAGAAAGGCGGGTTCTGGGACAGCTTGCAAGCTGAAGAGAAGAGTCGACACGGCACGGTGGTAACTCTGTCGAGTAATGCCTCGACGGCGGTGGCATCCGAGAAGTCCGCGTCGACGGCCAGTAAAGGGTCTGCGCCGAAGCTGGGGACATCCAAGGCGCCTTCCACGGCTGGCACAGGAAAAGGCGTCAACAAAACCCCTCTTACGAAGCCGGTAGCCAAGGTCTCGAATCAACAGCCACGGCCCGTGGTGAGCTCAGCCGCGACATCTACCAAACCAGCAGCGAAAAGCGGCCTCACGCCGGTGCCCAAAGCGAAACCGGCATTGTCAACGTCGACTGCTTCTACCAACAAGACTGCTGCGCTCAAACCGAAACCGAAACCGAAATTGAAATCGACCACGGCACCTCAAGTACCTTCGACGATCAAAGCCTCGCCTGCGAAGACGTCGACTCCAAAGGCCCTTCCGGCCGCACAGAACAAACTCAACACCAGCACCAAGAAACCAGAGACTCGGCATTCAACCGCACCCGCCGTGAAGAAACCGACAACCACATCCACGCCTAAGCTGGTTCCCGCTACAAAGAAACCAGGTTTCGCATCGAATCAGACAAAGGCTTTGGCAGGGGGGAAAACGAAGGTGGCGACGACGACGAAGAAGAATGGTCCCAGTCCACCGAAACCGAAGTCGTGATAATAACAGTGTTCTCTGAGTTGTTGAAGGCGAATGGGATTGCATTGTTCAGGAATCCTGAGTTAAGCGAACGCATACCTCGTGTACCCCGTCACGTTTGTGCCTGGAGGATCATTGCTGCATGCATCTTTTAGCGGTCCATCCCTGTACTCTACGTTATAGTCCAGCATTGAAGCCAAGTGATCTACAGTCCTGGTCCTGACCCTGGTCCCGGGCTATATACCACCTACCTCTTGTACAGATAATAGCCTGAGCCTTGTGTAACTGGTGACGTGCTATTGTACCTGTATCTGACTCTGTACGGTATGCCAGGGTGTGACGGGAAATACAGTAACGCATAAGGCTGACGAAAGTATTGTACATTCAAGACAGCCTCGTGGGGTATGTTCTGTGTATGTATATGAATACCTAGGTATGTACATGTATATAATAGATAAATATATGAAGAAGACCTTCTCATCAAGAGAGAGTATTTGTGATCTGACAGTTGTACCCCGTACCCCGTACCCTGTACCCCGTACATCACCACGCAGTAGAGGTAGAGTCAGACTCTAGGACAGCGATAGGGATAGTGACAGGGATAGAGATAGTGATAAGGATAGGGATAGGGATAGTGAAGGTCTTCAGAAGACAATGGATGAATGAATGAGCAACAACTTGTCGCTTTCACGGTGTTGGTGTTGGTGTTGGTGTTGGTGTTGATGTTTGACGCTTCTCTCTCCCATTTGTGGTCCTGTTTGACGCTTCTCTCTTACACTTGTGGTCCTGTTTGTCGTTCTGTTATACCTAATTGCCATTGTCCCTGTCACTGTCATTGTCACTGTGCAGAACAAACACCAGCCCCGGTCAGTGTCACTGGCACTTTCACTGCTGCATGTTCTGTCATATGTTCTGTCATATACATATTACATATATCATATATCAATCGCTCGGGAGTCAGATCGGTCATATACATACATTATCATGTATGAACCGCTCGTGAGTCAGATCGGTGAGTGAGAGATGCTGTCCAGCACGGGCAGAGGGTATAAATTAAACCCTGTTCAAGTTTCGACTTATAGATACCGTATCCTGTCTCGTTGACAGCATTTCACAGATTCGCCTTTCTCATCATACCGATTGACGCCGACGACAAACTCACCTACTCCGGCGTACGTTTATGCGACATACTCCCACACTCCGGCGTACGTTTATGCGACATACTCCTGCGCTCCTGCATACGTTCATGCAAGCTGTGAGTGCCTGGTAGGACTGGAGTGGGAGTAGGACTGGCCTTGTCTAGTCGTCCAGACAAGAAACAAGCCACTCAGCATATCCGGGACATTGCTGTCCGTCAAGTCTCTCGTCCCTCGTCCCTCGTCCCTGTTTCTTTGTTTCTTCCTCGCTAACCTTCTCGATCAGTCGATCTGATCAAGATCCTTATCACCCAATCTTGTTGCGTACTCCTTCGTACAGACAGTATTCAAACCCCAATCACTGTACAACAAGGAGACAACAGACAACAAACTGTAGACAAGATGGCTCAACCTCTGCCTCTTGCTTCCTTGTCCGCAACAAAACTCAGAGCGTAAGTGTAAGGAAGCAAAACATGCTCCACATACCTTGTCCATCTCCGTGTGTGTTGTTCTTGTCAGTCGATCTGACCTGGAACACGATGCTAACACGGACAACAATCTAGCCTCAAGACCTCGGAGACCATCGTGATCCTGTACAAGCAGACCGCCGACGCCGAGCCTCTGATTCTGTGCGAAGCCTTTCCTAAAGCGGTTGCCACGACCTTCTCGACCAAATGGAAGTTGGACTTTCCTCCAATCAACAAGATGAAGGTGGCCGATCTTCAGAAACCAGCAAGGAAATCAGTCAGTGTGGTCGGTGGTCGGTTCAACATCCACAAGGCCATCCTCGGCTGGATGTTATCCTGCTGTAATGGCAAAGGAATCCAGCGATTCCCATACCCAACCCACAAGGCATTCACCTACTTGTACTTGGCTCGGGCTTGTGCTGCCATCATTGGGTGTGAGTATCTTGAACAGGAAGTGAGCAAAGCCATGGAGCGTATGGCGCATACTCAGATCCACTCTGAAGATGTCCGAGCGTTGTACCTGCTCACTCCTCCGGACAACGACATGAAGAAGTTCCTCGCCGAGCATGTGGCGTCTCGCATCTGGGAAAAGAGACTCAAGGCGAAAGGGGCATACACGACACTGAGAGAAGAGATACCAGAATTCAACAAGGCCATTGACGACATTCTGCACGGGAAGAAGGAAGAGAGAGAAAAGGAGAAGTTGCCAAGGGCGGCAAACGACAAGTCAATTTTGGCTAGTCACAATCAGGCCTGGCGTTCCAATAAAGCGCAGGGTTGTCGAGGAGAGATGGGACAGGGAAAGACGCCAAAACTGAAAGGGGAGGCAGTCAAAACTGCAAGCGTGGAATAAATGGTCGACCAGCTTTTGCGCGTTTGGACCTGGAGGCTCTTGGACTTACAAAGAACGAACTCAGTGGTCAGAATTGAAGAGACTGCTGTTTTCCCGTATTGCAATATTGAAGATTGTAGATAGCTCACTCCTGACCACTAATTACCAAAGGCAACGAGGGCAAAGCAGACTAACGCAGGGACGTCTGTTGATATCGTCCTCCAGAAATGGATTTTGAGCCATTGCTTGACATATTCGATAGTCTGGCCTTTCTTTTCCACCTCTTCGTCGCAAGCCCATTTGATCTTCTGGCTGATAGGGTATACGAATGCGAAATGGCCTAGAGTGAATGCTGCACCGGCTAGAGAGAGGGAGCGTTTCGGACTGCCTTCAGGGAAGTATCGAGCAGCGTAAATACCCCCGACGATGGAGGGCAAGGTGACGGAAAAGATTCCGGCTAGCCCCAGAGGTAACCAATTGGTCCAGAACAGGCGGACCGCCTTGCTGCTTGCGGCGAGGTCGTCTTTAGACTCTTTGATGAAGGGGTAGAAGATGGTGGGCTCGAGGAGCGCGTAGAAGACGGTCAAGGAGGATGAAATGAGAGGGATGGCGACGGTGATTCCGACGCCCAGTGTCTTTGTGGTCGACATGGTGTGCAAAAGCCGCAATGGTAGTACTAATTTACGGAAAACTTATCAGAGGTAGAATCGTCTGGGACATAAGGACGCAGTTATATCGTATCCGGAACAGCACGGAATCCAAGGTCATAGAAATGGCATCACGACTGACGAGGTGCAGTCGATCATACGATCATACGAGGTACGAGGTGGAGAAGCGGGCGCATGCATAAGGCTCCCTGAAGGATCATACCCCGTACATGCAAGGGAATAGTGGGCTTAGGGGCCTGAGGAGCCTTTGTCTGCTGTGGTGCTCTACTATGCCTTACCTAGAGGTACCTAGAGGTTAGGTATCTGGAGTACTGTACATACTCCGTATGTTGTGCAGTGTGCAGTGTGCATGGATGCAACACCTACCCGGCGCAGCTGCACCGTTGTCCGGAGAATTTGTGACAAGCATGAAGCCGACGTCCAATGGAACATGGAATGTGTGCTGTCTCCTGCAGGCTGGTGTGATACGAGCTGCAGGTCGACAGGCGTGGACAGGACAGTAGTAGTAGATACTGGGTAGTATATGGGTGAGACCATAGGAGCCATGCCACCATGGAAGACCATCAGGTGTTGACCTATATACCTACCTACCTAACACGCCCTTAGGAGGGAATGGACTGTCTTTTAGGCGATGCCTAGCTAACCTCCAGGGGCCAACGAACATGATTGCCCCCCCTACGCACCTACGCAAGGGGGCTCCTAAGGCCTTTTAGTTGAAACTGGCTAACGGAAAATGCCAAAGCGGCTGCCATTTTTAACCGGGCTAACGCTTCCCGTGTCATCTAGTGCCTGCTACCAACCTGCTAAGCCCTGACGCACTCTCGATCTCCACCGCAGGCAAGATACAGGCGGTGCAGGCAAGATACAGGGGCTTCCCCTGAAACCCACCAGTTCCCGTCCCCAGAGATCCATCATCAAAACGCCAAAAAGAAAATTCCGCCACCAAGCGACGCGTCCAGGCTCTAATCCACATGCAGGAAGTTCCAGGGCGTACAGTCCGCTGAAGAATCGCAACTGTCGCGCGTCTCATGCAGGTGTGGGTGGCATATGAGATTGTCGTAACGTTTGGTTCGTTCCTTAGCATCCCATTCACTACTGAGTACTTCAGCGCTCCCCCTTCCCAACACCGACATCCGTCCGTACCCAAGCACGTACGAGTTGACCATTTACCGTCGACCAAGTCTACCTAGGTAGAGACATCCCGACAGATACCACCTCCCTCGATCAACCCTCGCGGTCCAACTGTGGCGGAACTGTCACCAGAGTCTACTACGACAAACCGTTCTTCACTACCTCGAGGCCTGCGCCGATCACACCCTTGCCTGGCCTCTTCTCGCCTCTCCAAATTTCAACTCGACATCCTCGTTCTTGATCCTGGCACTAGTCCACTTGAGTCTATTCAGCTTTCGTCCACCTCAACAGGTCGGAAACTTTGTCTCCCAGTGTGGCCGTCAAGAAAACTACTCCGGGCCCGGGAAATAACGCCGACCTGGTTCAGGTTTGCCTCGTCGTAGTCCAACACGCCGTCCTTCCCCCTTCTTCTGTGTCAAGGGAGTCAGAAGAAGTCTCCAGAATCAAGCTCCCTTTGAGCCTGTCACTCGGGAGCACTGCCAGGGTATTTTGCATTGGATTGTTCTTCACAGAGTATCCTTACGCAGGAAGAATGCAACTGTGAAGGATTATCTTGGGTTGTCCAAATCCCTCGAATTTGACCTGAACTGTCCAAAATTCAGCCATGCCGCCAACTGGATCTTCCGAGCCTTTGCGACCGCTGGCGGATTACTTCTGGATTGCTGGACTGGATACGCAGCAGCTACTTGAGGCGTTCTCTTATTCAAGGTGGTCGCATGAAATTTCTGACACTAATGGTGTTGTCGAGTCTGCAATCAAGGAAGAGGCCACTGTCGACAACGATGAATCTTCAATCCTGCAATCCCCTCGAACCTCTGTCCGCCATTCCAGGCATGACTCTTATCAGCGACTCTCCCAACTCTCCGATGAGGCAAGAAGCGCAGTTCAGAGTTTTAGCGATGCCACTCGTCCACACAGCAATCGAGGCAGCACTCGCAGTAGTGTTACAGTTCGGCCTGCTAGTCCGTCCCCAGCCGCTCGAATGTCCACCGCGTTCACCGAAGTTGACTTTGAAAAAGCCATGAAGAAGTTCACCATCGACCGAGAAACCTTCTTTCTGGACCTCAACTTTAATCCGTCCAAGCCGTCCGAACCCTCCCAAGCCTCCCAAGCCTCCAAACCGACACCATCGAAATCACGCCCCAAGACGCAAAAGATTGTTGTTCCTGATGAGCCGAGTCCGCCTTTAAACCGTAACTTTGGCAGCATTCGTAGACATCTTTCTTTCAAGGATATGTCTAGTGCGAAGCGCCAACCGTCTCTAGCTCGACGGACATCTACTAGAACAACGCGCAGAATGAGCAGTTACAACTCAGTCATACCTGTTCCGGAGACGTTGCACAGTCCACCCGACCAGCATCCTTTGGCGAGGAAATTCCAGCCGGTCCTACTTGACAGATATCCTCGGTCAACTACGATCGATAAAACCAACGGAAGAAGCCTATTCCCGGATTATGTGCCTATGTTTGCGTTCCCAAACGACATCAAGCTCGTCTCTGCAGAAACAAAACCAAGAGCTACTTGGCATGAATTCTCAATGACGGCAGGCGATAATTCAAGACTCACTGGAGTGTGTATTACTGTCTGGGTTCCTGTGAGCCGCCAGATAGCCGTGGATTTGGAGAAGAAGTGTGATGAATGGCGAAAAGCGCATATGTCTGAAGCAGAAAGAGAGATGGCGATCTCACTGGCCGAAAGATTGACTGTTGAAAGCGCAAAGTTGTCGCGGCTGCTAGCGCAGCTTCCTCAAGTATCTCACGATTCGGCAGCCAGAGAAGAACTGGAGGATGAAATTAGCGCGGTCGAGGAAAAGATTAGTGTCATGTCGGACATGCTGAAGCCATTACGCCACGGTTCCGTTTCAGAGATCCAGGGGCTGTCCACCAGTGACACGACGTTTTGGATCCCGAGGGTCTATGGGATTTTGGGCAAAGATGGCGCAATGGCCAGTTTCTGGAGACAGTGGTTACGAGCGATTGTGGTTCCTATGACGGACGGCGGCATCTTGCGAGTGCCAGCTAGTTCTCCCAAGGTCGGCATGTGGCAGCCGCTGGAGCGATATGTTTCCACCTTGTGCCTCGAGGCACCTTCGCCGACATCATCCAAGGTTCAAATACAGACCTCTATACGAGAACTTCATCTCTACGCCAAAAAGGAAGCTGCGAACGAACTGCCTGGAAGTCGGACCACTGACCTATACCCGCTGTTTAAGACACTCACTATCCCTAACATCATTCTCCTTTTCGAATATGTTCTGGCCGAATCCAGGATTATCTTGCTTTCATCCCACACTTCAATGCTTCAGCTTGTCGGCAGAGCTATCCTGGAATTGATTTGGCCCCTAGTGTGGACGGGAGTCTATATCCCTGTGCTTCCCTCACGGCTAGTACAAGTGCTTGACGCACCGTGCCCTTACATCTGTGGCATCAATCGCAGCTACGAGAAATATGACCTTCCTGACGACGACTATGTTCTTGTCGATCTCGATAAGAACGAGCTGCACAGCACTTCGCCCCCACCTTTTCTGCCTAAACAGCAACGGAGAAAGCTTATGTCTCTGTTGCATCAAGCTGCACCGCTGCATCATAGCTTCGGTGTAACGCCTGGTCCGCCCGCATATGCCGTCGAGACCTTTCCATTTGATGCATTCTCTGGGGAACTCGACTCCGTGTTCACTGCAATTGCCAGGTCAACAAATTTGGATAAGCTGGTCAGTCTCAGTTCCTCCTCCTTTGGTCCCTCTGCAGCGTCGGACACGATACGACGTGCTCCGTTGTTGAACGTCTTCCTTGCCTCCGGCCCGGCACGGGGGAAGAAGAGCATTGAGCGGCCGATGACATCTTCAACCGCACGCCAATCAAGTCAGACAGGTTCTGATGGATATTCTCCAATTGTCGGAAGCTTTGGTCTCCCACCTGCGTCTAGAAATGACTCTGGATATGCATTGCAGACTTCGCTACGCGAAAAGAGGTCGGGTCATTTCGATTCACTCTCTAAGCGCAGCTTTTCTGGGTCTAACCACATGATGCGCAAGGCCAGTCTCCCGTTCGTGCGACACAATGCAAGTCCTTCAGCGACCTCGTTGTCTGACATGAGGAATGGGTCGACCTACGCGGCCTCTACATACGCCCAGTCAACCTTGGCGGCATCTACAATAATGCCTGGTATGCATGTTCAGCCTGCAATCAATTCTGAGGGAACATATTGGGCCGAGGGCCACTGTCTTCAGTGGAAAGCTGAAGATGGTCCTTCAACCTGTGTGCTCTGTGATGATAAGGCGCAAGATGGATACTACCGATGCTCAGGTTGTGGGTTTGTAATTCACGACCGCTGTGCTAACCAGATCACTGTCGTTTGCTCCGCTGCTTTCTATCCTGATCAGGTTCGAGCCGCCTTTGTTAGGTGTCTAGCCAGCTTGTTCTACACATATCGGAAGTTCATGAGTCCAGCACGTCCAACAAAAAAGAGGGTTGGAGCAGTGTATGCATTCGACAATGAAGCATTCATCAAGAGCCTCCCTCCAGACCATTCTGCTTATATGGAGATGCTCCAGCAGACTCAAGCTTGGAACGAATTCATCATGGAGCGTGAAGAGAAAGCTTCGAGTCCAGAAATTGCCTTGTTTGACGCTATTATAATGGCAAAGCGAGGCCGCGCGGGCTTGCTGCGGTCCGGTCTCCCAAATATCGGTCGCAGTCGCAAGAGCTTTGTACAGCGATCGGCATCAGGAGGTCCTCCGAACGACGTTCTATCAGATGCCTCTCAGCATCAGTGGCGAATCATTTCGGTCTCGGGTGGCTCCAATCGTTCAGATCTGGGCCCGGCGGCTAAAGGACGCGACTACCATGCCATCATTACACGAACACCGTCCAAGTTGGAGGAAGGCCTTTTCAAGCAGGAAGAAAGCCTGCCGGAGTTGCCAACGATCCCCAAAAAACCACGACCGAGTGTTCTCAACGGCAGATTGAATGGACTTGGCATGAACGCACCATGATTTCGGTCGAAACCCCAGCAAGTATGAATAAGGACGCCATTCCGGTCCGATCATCTGCCGCCGTTTATACCGCCCTACGACGAGACAAGAGGTTGCCAGTGCTGAGAGAACCACGCTCCCCCATGGAACTGCGCCATTGGATCGCAAGCTGGCCAAGGACCGCCCTGCCGTCCCGTCTCATACTGTTCTTGAGTTCTTCCACTCCTTCCTGCAGCCCTTCCACCTGTTCTACAACAAAAGCAACTTGAATGATATCTCGAGGGTTGATAATGGGATTGTGCGGCGTAAGTCCACTACCCTTTTCAGAATCCCAGTTGAGAGGGGTCGACCTGAATGGCGCTTTTGGTTGAAGCTTGCTCTCTTCCAGCACAATCGTTGTGTCCGAAACATTTTCCAATTGAGCTTCCAACGCATATCGAACCAAAGTCGTTCTGCCATATGGCCCGTGAGTCTTATCGAGGACCTCGATCGGGCTCAACTCGGTGGCCTTGGTCCGCACACTCAGACACGGCTGAGCGAGGAACTGGTACAATTTTCGAAACGACCTCACTCGCCCGCTGGTTGCCTGGCCATCACCTGCTATTGTTTCTGTATAGGTAACGTTGACGGCAAGAACGTGGTTGCCTTCTTCCTTTAGGTCAAACCGGATAATTCTTTGCAACGCGGAACCAGGCCCGCTTTGGTCATCTTCTGGTGTGCCGGCCGTGTGAAGGTCTAGGGGCACTGCCTGGGATGGCGTTTGCATTTCTGCAAGGATTTTGGTTCCGGAAGCTGTCTTGGAGGTGTTGCTCGGCAAGAGTTCGTTATTGGCACATAAGACGCAAGAGAAAGTCTCGCCGACGTGGGCGGAGCCAAATGAAGGCGGCAGAGCCAGGTTGTTGGATAGGATGAACTCCTGGTCGACCGCCTCAGACGGGTATGCCAGGGATGCCACATGGGGGATTTCGGCGTCGCTCTCTCGCGACAGAGGATGTTGCAGCGCCAGGGAGGGACGGGAGAGCCTGCAGAGTTTGGATGAGAACGGCCGCCAGGATTCCCAGAACTGGGGGACAACCTTACCTTAGAACTTACATAATTGTATTAGCGGTGAATATTGGATTTGTAATGCAGAGACAACATCATATGGGTTGGATCATGGACCTACCTTTCAACGACACGGAGTGCGGCTCCTTCGGGAAATTCCCGGTATCAGCTCGAGGTCGAGCCATGACCAGCTCAAGATTCAATATTAATTGGCCCGATCGGATAGAGTCGTTAGACGGATGATGAGCCCAAGTAAGGACCGGCGGTGCTGAGTCTCCGTTATCTCACTTCAGAGGAGCGGCGACTACTTGTGAAGGGGGCGACCAGTGGTAGTCGCACCATTGCGAGTACAGTCGAGATTTTTCAGCCGCAATAAGCAATACTGGGCTTGGAGAGAGATGGAGGGCGACGGAAGCCTGATATCCATATGATGGACTCGAGAGTGGTTGAACGAGGCTGAAGCATGAATGCAATGCAGTGCATAATAGTAACGTCGGACAGGTCTTGGCAGCTCACGTGCCTCGACGGGCAAGACTAGCCATATAAGTGCTAGTCTTGTATTGCTTTGCGTTGCCGGGCGACGCCCCTTCCAACACCAACGCGTCACGATCCTCAGCCCCAGCACCGAGTTTCTCGAATGTATCCGATGTTACACTTATGCTTAAATCAGCCAGCAACAACAAGGCACAAGACACGCCCTTTTTCGAGACTGTAGTACCCTGTCAAGCGTTCCGTTTTCTATATTCTCACCAATTGACTAACGATACTCTCAAACATGCGTATGACTCGCGCTGCTTTGCGGGCTCAGGCTCATGACGACACTGACACTGAACTGCACCCTACAATTATCCACGAAGATGGTGACGCGGATGCGCTGCAGAACAGCAATAGCGAGGACTCTGATGGCGCCAACCACGACCCTTACTCTTCGCGCCCGGTGTTGAAAGACATCACGCACGATAACTACACAATTACCGAGGATGTCAATGCCACCGAGAAACACACTAACGCTGTAGACGAAGAGACTGCGCCTGCGCTCCCGAAGAAAACTAGGGGCAAGAGAAAGGGGAAGCCGAACAAAAAAGAGAAGGAGGAAGACACAAGTGTCGAAGACACTAGCACCAAAAATGAAAAGGAGGCAGATACGGAAGAGCAAGCATGGGGAGTTGCTGAAGACATTGGTTCTGGGGACCCGAGTTTCTCATCTGAAGCTGTCAGGAACCAAGAGCGGCCCCAAGAACCGTCGCACACCGTTTCTGAGGAGACAGAGTACGGCAACAAATTCATATCCGAAACGGTCAGCGATCCCATGCCCTGGGAAAATGTAGTCACCGACCAGCTCCCAGTCAGTGAAGTTCTGGTCGCGCCCGAGCCGGTGCAACCCAATCAACTTCACGACTTTACATCCACACGCAGTGACTCTCTGCATAACTCAACATCGGCAGCAGGAGATACTGGTAGCGATCCGCCCAAAACACCTAAATTCGATCCATCAATCCACGTACCAAACGACGACGTTGCGACGCCAGCTACGGATACTGCAGAAGATTCCTTCGTTGACAAGATCAAGACTAGGTCTCCAAGCAAGATACAAAGCTACACAGAAGTCAGCCCTTCCGACTGCTCTATCGAGAACACCATGACACGCATATCGCGGATCGAGGACTCTGTTGACGCGATCGACGCCTTAGAGGACGCGATTGAGAAGGTCTCTGAAGGTTTGCCAGTGTTGGGCGGACTCCAGATCGAGTCTCCTGTCAAATCTCGGAAGAATACACCCACTCGCCAGCCTGCTCAATCTTGTACCCCTGCGCCAAGCGCTATGAAGACACGCCGAAGTCCAACAAAGAATTCCCATATTTCGCCTACCAAAACAACCACTGTTGTGAGGTCTTCCGGCCCAACAAAGCCGACTATTGTACGCCCATCAGCTCCAAAACCAGCAAGCAAACCAGTAGCTATGACAAAACAGGCGAAGAAACCTATCATTGACGGCAACAAGCCTAGAGAATCCATCGCTTCGTCTCATCCAGCGTTATCGTTCTCGAATTCCCCATCCAAGGGGGTTTCAAATACTTCGCAGAAGCGTGTCCCCAGTACGAGACTGTCCACGACAAAACCTGCCTTTGTTCCTGCCAAATCGTCCAAGCCACCCACCAAGCCCACATTCTCTTTGCCTGGGGAAGCCATCTCGGCAAAGCTTAAGGCTCAGCGAGAAGAGCGCCTGAAACGAGAAGAAGAGGCAGAGAAGGAGAGAAAGCAGTTCAAGGCGAGGCCTGTACCGACCAAGACCTCCCGCCCAAGTGTCGTACCCAGAGAGAACAAAGCCAGTCAGGCGAGGATGAGCCTCTATGCTACTGGAGTAAACAAGGAAAACATTGCACCTAAAGCGGCTTCTAGACCGGCGGCAGCTGATCCCAAACCTCGGCCCTCGTCATTCTGTGCAAAACCAAGTTCTGACCAGACAAGGGCCAACTCGGGCATTCGACGTGCGACGAGTGTCATGGAGAAACCGCTCATGGCCAAACCTCGAGTTTCATCCCTACAATTGGCCTCCGGTCAGAAGTCCACAGTTACCAAAGACGATGTGGCTCAGCAAAAGGTGAAAGGCAAAGAAGTGTTCAGTCGGAACAAAGCCGAGATGGAGCGATTGGAAAAAGAGAGGAAGGAAAAAGAAGAGGCCACTCGTAGAGCTCGTGCCGAGGCGGCCGAACGAGGCAGACAGGCGAGTCGAGAATGGGCGGAGAAACAGAAGAAGAAAATGGCCACGCAAGCTGCTGTGAAGGAGTCAGGAAGCCACGATGGCAACTTTGAGACGCAGTCACATTCTACCGCGGTAGCTGCCTCCTCCTAGCTTGGTCTTGGAGTGGGAGTGTCAATGCGATGAATTGTGTCTATTCGGAGTAATGTCAACGATCTCCCGCAACGGATGGTGCCTGCCCACTCCGGTGGCGTCAATCCGTGAGTGTTGTTTGCGTCTGGAATGTCGCGTCTTGGAGTCTTGAAGGCTGGTTTTGACTGTGTAGCGCAGGTGTTGGATGGGGAAGGGAACGAACCAGTGGCACTGCCAGACAAAATGCAAATGCAACGGCAATTGCGGTTGGAAAATTGATATCTCTGTGTGAGAAATGCCAAACCGAAATCAACTTTGGATTACCCGGAGATGTGTCGGGGCCTACATCCAGCAACATAGCTACTAGGTACCCATTGAAATGGTTCATCACCTATGTCACCTTTGACAGTCACACCAACAGTAACGGTAATATTACCTGACGTTGATATGGTAGATTTACTAGCACAAGTTCTGTACCAACCCACTTAACCTATCTCCTCTGTCTTTGGCTGTATCGGTATCCGAACCAGGGGGACTGGGAGCTCTGGCGTCGATTGGCTGTTGACCCTCCGCCCTGGGTTTGCGCCGGCGATGTCTGCGTCGTCGCCCTCGCCCTCCTCTGGAGGTTTGGGTACTTTCACTGTTCGACCCAGTGCGTCAGCCTGGTGCGGCATTGCGGATACTGCCAAATGGGTTGACTTCATGACGGGGGGAGGAACAGGAAAACGACAGAACCTTGGAATTCTGGGAAGCCCCTGGATCTGAGTCGCAAGGTGGAAGGAAGGATAGCAGTATATACCACAATCCTGGTTGGAGTTGTTATAGGGCTGTTAAGGGCATACGTACTCGCAGCCATATTGATCGCGCGCAGCACATTTTCCCAATTCGCCAACACCAGTGCGACACTCTGTGCGCCGTCTTTCAGCGTGCCGAGTTTCTCTTCTAGCGTGGCGAGCTGCGTGGCCAAATTGGCGCTCAGGTCGCGCAGAGCCCGGAGATTCTCGAGTTCGGTGCGTTTCGATGCGATTCGAGTCTGCAGAAGGGACTGAGACTGTGAAGATTGACGCAGCGTCGAGGAGTTGTTGCCTGCACTGCCGCTGGCGGTGGCACTGCTGTGGGAAGTAGACGAGGTCGAAGGGTACATGTTGGTGAGTCGGTGCGTGTAGGACATGGTTGTGTGTAATATTATCTTTCGAGAACGTCTGAGATTGCGAGGTGGCCTGGTTGTGTGTAATACTATCTTTCGAGAACGTTTGAGATAGCGAGGTGGCCTGGCTGTTCGAACAGTTCGGCCGGAAAGAATAACGTCTCGAGATGGGTTAAAGTCTAGGAGGGCTTGGGATTTGGTGGTTCAGTGTGAGTTTGGTGTCGCAGGTTCAAGCGTGGTTGAGTCCCCAAACGCACGCATCTCAAGCCAGCATTCAGTATGGCGACTGTAGCACATGCAAACATCAACTTGTGTACGGATACGATCGGGGCAAACGCGGCCAAACGCGCACGTCTAGGTAAGGTCGCGGGTCGCGGAACACAGGCGCGCATATCAGACGGATAATTAGGACCACTTAAGAGGGGGAGCCAAGGTTGCGCTACGCCCAGAAGGGTGATTTGTTGATATTCACGGGCACTGCCTTAGTATTGCTGCTCAGGCTGCGAACCAATTCGAGTGGAGGAGTCAGCGATTGCTTGATTGTTGTCTTGACCACCACCTCCTGAAAGCCCTCGGCTTCAAACCCGCCTGCATATCACCTATACAGCATTTGTAGCCTTGAGTGCTGCCCTGGGCTGTCGGATCTGCTGCGTTCTAAACCAAGATCCTCACTCCACCTTGGCATGAAATATACGGGACACAGCAATCGGCGGAAGGCGTGACATGACTTGGTAACCTTGACATGGCGAGACTCAACGATGCCCCTGCTCCTCCTCCTGAAAGTATTGATGCGCGTACGTTCCTGCCGTGCAGAAATAGCTTCGACCTCGATCGCTGACAGAATGCAGTGAAACGGCGCTTCATTCGGCAGAACCGCGAGATAGCTCGTGTAAACTCGACCCAGTCCCAACGCATCCGAAACCTCGAGACGGAAATCTCTCGACTCGTTGCCGAGAACATATCTCTCCGCGAACAAGCGATCGCCGCGCAGGCTGAGGCGGGCCGATGGCGCAATGCGAACAATGTGAACCGGGAAATTCTGGATATGAAAGACAGAATGGAGAGGAAAGTCAACGAGCTGTCGCTGTTGATTGCAGAGATGGGACAGTTGCCCGAGAAGGCGGCGGAAAAGGGACGGAGGAAGAGTGGCATGCGGGATCCGAGAAACTCGACAGACCAGGGTTGGTTGAACAGGCAATCGGTGCGAGAAGCAATTGCCAGTGACAGGGAGCCATATGATGGGAGACTCCCCGTCATCCAAGAGGACAAGCTCTATCCACGGCGAACACTGGAAACTGCGGAAGTCATGGCCATAAGGGATGAAGAAGCTCTGCAGCAGGCTTCTGAGTCGCCCGAATTGGGTCCGCCACCGGTGGCACATTTCGACGTGGCCGAACCAATTGCATTCGGCTCCTCGGGCGCTGTTGACTACGACAATAGTGAAGACTCGATGCCGTTGCCTGCCGCATCAGAGAAGAGACGGAAACGGCGCACGAGCTCTCTGCTACAAGATATGCCAACCGAACCAGTCTCGGAGCCATCTTTGCCTGCTGAAGCCGGTCCCCAATTACTCAAGTCAGGAGCGAAACGGAAGCTAGATCTCACGGAGCTCGAGGAGCAGGTGCCTCTACCTCCCGGAGAGAACGACGACTTCGTCTTCCAACGGAGACAGGCGATTTGGAACAACCCAGCTTCAATCAAGAAAGCATCCAGGTTTACAAGAGCACCAGGACGCGAGAACGAGAAACCGACCGAGACAGACGGCAGCTCGCCCCAGAAGTCGACAGGAGGGGCGAGGAAGATTCTTGCTCCTAAGAGCACGAATTCTCCGACGAAAAGAAGGGTTCAAGTCTCCGAGAAATTTGGCAACCTCAAAGATGATCGAGATGGGGAACAAAAACAGTCTGTGAATGCATCACCACGCAAACGGAGGGTTCAACCAGAGTTCGAAGTCCCCGGTATTGTTCTAGATGCCAACGAAGCAGTCGAGCCACACAGTCTGCCGCCAAAAACTCCATCCGCACAGGAGGCCGACATACTATCCCCTATCTCAACCGAGCCATCAGCCAGGCCCACTCACCATTCGCAAGAGGCTGCTGTTTTGAATTCGGTGGAGGACGTCTTGAACGGTAGTATTGGCAGAGGGTCCCGCCGCGCACGAGCTGCCGTCAGCTACGCCGAACCGAACCTGAGAGATAAGATGAGAAGGCCTGGTAAAGAATTGGTGGGCGCCGTTGAGGGACTTGCAAAGAACAAAGACAATCCTCCATCTGCCCATGCAAGGGGCTCAAGCATTGACCGAGCGCCATCAGAAGCGCTGAGCGGAATCGACACGAAAGACGTGGTGATCAAAGTCAAGCAGGAGAAGGATACGAGTGAACAGCGGGAGAGGTGGAATGAGCTCGCCATGCCCGTTTCAAGTAAGAAAGAAGAGCCCACCAGTCCTTTGAGGGATAAGGAGAGGAAAGAAATTAGGCGTGATAAAGAGCACCCAAACATCGAAGCAAACCCGCTAAAACAGATCAACAGGAGACAGCGTTACAGCAATGAACTGGAAAAGGCCGTGGATCAAATGAAGATATTCGATCCTCCAACCGCTTCTCCCATTGAAGAGCCCAAAAGTCCGAACGCCGCTAGAGACTACACGAAGACTGCATCTGCAGCAACATCAAAACGAAAAGTTTCTGGGAGTGCGATCGGGAGAAGGCATTCCACTCAGCCAACGTCAGCTTCTTCGCTCAATTCTGCCGCTGGTGATGACAAAAGGGCTTCGAGAACGTCGGAATCAACGTCGAATCTCAAAGGACAACTTCCACGACCCAGCTCAGCTACCAGCTTGCGGCAGCACCCTGTGAACGATATCGAAGACAAGCATCTGAAGCGTTCACAAAGCGTCAGTTCTAAGTTGAGAGCAACGCGCGCCGAGACGGATGAGCCTGATTCGGCCAGGAGTGTCAGTTCCAGTGCTAGAAATGAGAGGATCACAAATCGGCGGCAGAGTATGATGGTTTAAGGCTGTGACGATATCCAGCCGGTTGGGAGATATCGACCCTGCCTTCGTCGACAGGGAATTACCGTTTAGCCAAGTCTCTCTTTGGGAGGTGGTCTGGATTGGATATTTGGGTTGGCTAACATTGGCAGATTGGTGGCGTTTGAAATGGTCCGTCGTTTGTGAGAGCGTGGCGTTGGGAGAGACCGAAGATAACCCTCGAACGAGAGAAGAATAGATCTGCTTTGTCTCGTGTTTTCGAACACTACTCCGCTCCTGGCGCATGCTCATTTTGATCAAACTCGTGCGTTAAAGCATTAAGTCCCTGGTCTTTCCTCGTGGCGGGTTCAGGTCGTTTCTCCATTGATGTTGGAATCATCAATGCTTCGTGACATGCCCATGATGACCTCGTCTAATCGTTTCACGTATGCTTTCATCTCCCTTCTCTTGGCCTTCCTCTTCTCCTCCATGTCCCTCACCTTCTCTGCCAGCACTCTGATTTCTTCCGCCTGTTGCTCCTCGCCTCTCCCAATTCCTGGTAATCGGGAGATCAGCAGCTCGATTTGCTGCCCCTTCTGCACCAAGTCCTCCGCCAGTTCCCGTTGCGCCTTGGCAAAAGTCTGCGGTGGAACAGGACGCAAGGGATACGCGGAGCGATCTGTATCTTCGGGCCCCGGTTGTGGCCCAGAACCTTGTGGTTGCGACTGGTCCCCGCCGGGAGTCTGCGTGGCTGTGGTCGCGGAGGGTGGGTAAGTGAAGGGGTCGTTTGGGTCTGGATCAGGTGCAACCAGGGGATGTCGCTGTGACAAATAGCTGATGGTCGAGAAGAATTGAGTGAGTAGTTGGTCGTAGCAGGTTTGCAACTGGGTGAGGATGTCGCTGGACATGTCGACGGTTCAAAACTTCTTGGGTGCTTGGGCTTTTAGGAGATGCTAGCAATTCATGGGAAAGCCTTCTCCAAGGCGGCGGTGATAGCAGCTAATCACAACTCTCGAGGACTAGCGCCGTCGACCTTCGAATGTGGACGCGGAGGAGAGCAACCTCAAGTAACGTAGGAAAGCCTCCAGCAATAATACGTAGTCATGTTAACACGTACTGTAGGAGTGGTGGTGGTGGTGGTGGTGGTGGTGGAGAAAGACTTGTCCGGAGAATAGGAAGCGGATCTCCGCAGGCAGGACGACGTGATCTGCTGCAAGCCCGCGCAATTACATATTAGGTCAGCCTTGCGGACGACCGCCACTTCCTTCTAGTAGTCTCTTTCATGTTCGCCGCCTTGTAGCTCGACATTTACTTCTCTCTCGACCCTTGTGAAAGTACGCCGGCCCTCCTCACTCTTGTGTCGGGAAGCAGCGGGCATGTTTCCTCACGTCGTTGATAGCCCCGATCTCCCTTTCCCGAAGTTTATCGACCGAGCCAACCTCCACCTCTTGGACACAGGCCGGACCTCCTCGGACCTACACGCGTGGAAGCCATGCATCAGTCATTCACGGGGAGCGCTCGCAGGGCACGACAAGTAAACCTCTCCGGTCGACAGACTTTGAACCCCTGGGCTTCATTATCAAACTCACAATCCAGTTCGAACCCTGTTGCCCAGGCGCAGGCGGAACGATTGAAGAGACAACTTGAAAGAGAGAGACTCCATGCCGTCAGGCTCTTACAGAAGTTATGGCGGGGGTATTCTGCTCGGAGGAAGCAGAAATCAATCTGGAAACAATTGTGGGATGAGAATGAGCAAGAGAGATTAGAGTCGTCGGGCCCGCTCAACTACAGGTCCCTCATCGAGGCGAAGGAAGAGATCCCCGTGTTTCAGGACCCGAATCTACTCCTCCTCCAAATACGTCTGCTTCTTAGTTCTCAAGATTTCCGGCGTGGGAGGCTTCGTGACAAGATGGACACACTCAGACTGCTTTACTTTGGACAGGCACTGCAACGAACTATCGAAACGCACCCTTCGCGACCTGATTTTGACAACATCTGGACACACAATCTGTCTGCACTGGCGTCAGTCGTTGCTCGACACTTGAAGAGCATGGTATCTGGGGAATCAACCCATGCAAAAACATCCTATGGTCCTCGATTATTAAAGATGCTTATGTGGCTCGGTGAAATGGTGCCCGACGCCATGGCCAGGGAAGCATCGACATATTTCGACGTGATTGAGATTGTGCTGCGAACGCAGAATACGCTTACATGGCGGGAGTGCGCGACAGAGGCAATAGTCACGCTACTTAAGTCTCCATGTCACGGACGACAATCCGCATACATGGCATTTGCCAGGATAATTTTGAGTCAGGACACGTTTGCCAGTGATAGAGATATACTGAATCACCTTGCATTGGCCATTGACTTGGATGAACTCTCAGCTGCCATTACGAAGGAAGTGGAGGATGCAGAGGAGGACACGGAGCAATCGCTAAACACTACCCGACTATTGTGGCAGCTGGCCCACCTCATCTATATGCACGATGCTCTCGCAAAAGGATATGGGGGACAAGATCCATATATCGAAGCATTGTCGGCACTGTTAGGGCAATGTGCAAATGACATTGCAGAAAGGCTGGATCCAGCAGACCAGCAGGTGTTTGGTCGCGAAAGCAACAATTCTGAACCTTTACCAGCATTCGTGCGGGAGATGATTCTAAGAATACCTCAACAAGAAAATGTTCGAGCCGTTCTACATGAAGTGAGCACGCCCATACCTCCCAGGACAGGCGGCGGAGGGTCGGAGTTCGAATCCGCAAAGAGACTAGCGAATTTCGCAGTCTCCTTACTCAGAGCATTCCCTTCCAGAGCGCAGAAGATACGAATGATTTTGTACCAAGGTTCAGTCTCGTCTGTCGGGGATGCAGACATATCGACCATCCAGTATTTCTGGAGGACGGCCCGAGCAACCAGTGTGTTCAAGAAGACTGTTCAAGACCACCGGAATGTGCTCTCGCTGCTGAGAGAAGCAGCCCCAGCCACGAATCAGATCGGTCAAGCTCCGTTGTCTAGGGCGGAGGTTGCTCTTTGGCGAGACGAATGGCGGATAATCCTACTCTTTCTCGAACTTTACACCTTTGTGCTAAAGTTCATGGACGACGATGATTTCTTCGCATTGGACAAGCGCCGTGTCTTTGGTGCCGGGCCAGAGGCGCCGACGAGTTTGATGGCAAGACAGGGTGCTCTGCCTCTGGAAGATGTTGCACTGATGACCACGTTTCTAAAGAACTTGGTCTTCACCCTATACTGGCATGCAGTCGACTTGGTTCAGAGCAACGAACTGGAAGAGGAAGCTAGTCTATCGGCCTTGTTTGGAAGTCCAAGTCAGTCATCGAACAAACAAGCGGAAAAGCAACAGCAGATGTTGACTGGAAATGGAGTCTCCCAAGAGTATCTGAAAGGCTTGGTTACCGGCCTCTTGCGAATGCTGCATGAAAGAGACTCGAGACGCTCTTTTGTGCCTGCTGACCACTGGCTAATGACGAATCAAGTTAACATGACTGGCTTCATCTCGTCCGTGGTGGCAGAAGAAGAGAAGCGGCATGAGCTTGCTGGCCAAGATGAAACAGAGGAAGAAGACAATGATGAATCCGACAAAGCCGCAGAGATGGACCTCACCACAGGCCAGGGAGCATCCGACGCTATACTGAGCAATATGTTCGGGATCCGCCCTTCGCATATGCCTCGGACGAGAGCTTCACGAATGGTCGACCGCATGGAACGCCAACGACAGCAAGCGAGAAAGAAAAGACTGCTTGAGTCGCTCGCACCTCGGCTGGAAATACTTCGCAATCTGCCGTTCTTTATTCTGTTCGAAACACGAGTCCAGATCTTCCGTGAATTTGTCTACCGCGACCAAGTTCGTCGACGTGACGGCGCTGTCGATCCTGATAGTTGGCGAATGCGTGTAGCAACCAGCACCCAAGGAAGAGATGTCGACGGCCGTCCTCGCGGACTTGATATTATAAGCCGACATCATGCTGAGATCCACCGCGATAGTGTCTTTGAAGACGCGTATGAGGCTTTCTACCCTCTTGGAGAAGCACTCAAGGAACCGATCCAGATCACATTCATCGACAAATTTAACAGTCCCGAGGCCGGGATCGACGGTGGGGGTGTCACGAAGGAGTTCTTGATGAGCGTGACTAGCGAAGCTCTCGATCCAGAGGCCAAACTCAGCATGTTCAAGCAGAATAGACAGGGCTACCTATATCCGAATCCGTTAGTCTACCAAGAAACTGCGGAATATCTAAAGCATTTAGGCATGATGCCCGGTACGGGAGGATTTGATCATCCCATGGCCGAATTTCTTCGGCACTTTCAATTCTTGGGCCGCATCGTGGGAAAGTGCCTGTACGAGGGAATCCTTATCGACGTCAACTTTGCCGGCTTTTTCCTGCTAAAGTGGGCTTTGACTGGCGGTACCACTGTGGGCTCGAACGAGTCTGCCTATCGAGCCACCATCAACGACGTCCGGGAGTTTGACGAAGAATTATACAACGGACTTCTGAAACTGAAAAATTACCCGGGGAATGTGGAGGCCGATTTCGCACTCGATTTCACAGTCACAGACACCGTAAGTGTTGGGAAGGAGAATGGGAAGGAGATCACCCGTACCATCACCACAGAATTGATTCCGAACGGAGCCAACACGCCGGTAACGAACTCCAATCGACCCCTGTATATTGACCGCATTGTCAGATACAGGCTTCAGCAGCAACCAAAGGCCGTTACCGACGCGTTCCTCAAGGGATTGGGTCAAATCATCCAGCCAATGTGGCTTGCCATGTTTAACCAAAAAGAGCTACAGAAGCTCGTGGGTGGAGACAACTCTGAACTTGACGTTGACGATTTGCGCCGAAACACACAGTACGGCGGTGTCTATACAATCGGCGACGATGGCCGAGAGCACCCAACCGTCCAACTGTTCTGGCAAGCCATGCAGGAGTGTTCAGATGAAGACAGAAGGAAAGTCCTCAAGTTCGTGACGAGTTCATCCAGAGCGCCGCTGCTTGGGTTCAGCCATTTAAACCCCAAGTTTAGCATCCGTGACTCGAGTGATGACCAGACTCGTCTGCCGAGCGCCAGCACTTGTGTCAATCTCCTCAAGCTACCAAGATACGGAGAGCTGGAGACAGTCAAGGAGAAGCTCTTGTATGCGGTCAACGCCGGCGCCGGCTTTGATCTATCCTAGGAGTGGCTTTCCGTGCATTTCTGTCTACTCACGACATTACGGCCGTTGTGGATGAGCTGAATAAGCCATGAGATGGGCGTTGGCTGCATGAGAACCTCTTCGCAGAGTGAAGGTAGTCAAATCCTTGGGCTGCGCTTTTGCATCTCAATAAATTACATCAATTCTCTTTCGTATGGTTTGCCACAGGACATGCTCAGAGTCGTCCGATGTCAGAAGGAAGCCTGACAAACCCTGAATATTAATAATCTTGGAGTGCGAGGAGGTTCGTTGGACCTCCTGGTCAACTTCTTACTCTGCAATGTCACTCCACGGTAGCCCAAGGGCCCAGATAATGAGAAATGAACAGCCAGCCAGCAATTTGTCCTAAGCCAATCAATCGTACGGTCCCATATCAAGGGACATCAAGTAGAGATCAAGTAGAGATGGACTTCGTGGACCGGGGAACGGAGATGGGCAAGGCTGAGTAGGTAGGGAGGAGCACATCTCTGCCTGTCGACATGGTTGGGATTGGCGACGCCCGGCCCGGCGAAGGAGAAGCATTTGAGATTGAGGCTTCGTACCCTTACCACCCTTTTAAGGGTTACGTACTACATACCAATACTGCCCTCGAGGCCTGAGCCCTTATAAATTGGACGTGTAACCCGTAACCAAACTTGAACGAATGCTTCAAAGTTCAGGCAGTCGAGTCGAGCCAAGCCTGCTGTGTAGGTAAGGAGCCTTAAGCCGTCGCTGGCGGGCGAATGGCATGGAGGGTCTTGAGCACGCCCCCCACGGCTTATGTAGGCTAACAGGCCTCCTAAGCCCCTCCCCCCAAGCTTGTAGGCAGGTACCTCCTACATACATAAACCTTAAGGTACCTGAGGCAGGGAGGCTGCTAACGGTACCTTGCTGTCCCCATGTGATCCCTGTACAACCCGGGTCATCCGCGCTTTGGCACCTGTGGTAGGACAGGGCGCCTCTGTCCACGCCCCGGCTTCTCGTGGCATCGTCTGGGGCCACTTATCACTTGTCGTCCGTACAAAGGTACTAATTACACTCGCTTCGGCCAGAGATGCCTGATTCCAAGCCCGCTCATAGCTAAACCACTTTCGTTCCCTCTGAGTTTGTTTGCCAGACTGTGACGCCCGACGGCCCCTCTCAGTCTTCTCAGGAGCCAAAAAGCTCAGAAGTTCAATCCCGGCCCCGCGCCCTGCTCAGAAGGGCTTCGCTCTCTCCATGTCGGATGCGCGGGAGACAGCCTCGTACCCCAGACGGTCATCAGTACCCTAATCCTCGTTCCCTTTGGTCTCGCACAGCGCCGCCACCTCTTCCCTCAATCGAACTTGAGACCTTTGACGGCAGCTACCCGTCCCCATCCTCCGACAGAGACGGAGTTTCACAGCGACTCCGAAAGCGACTCCTAAAACTCGAAGAACTAGCCGAGAGAGAAGAAATGAAGTTCTCACACAGCATCCAGTTCAACGCTGTTCCGGACTGGAGCAGTAACTACATATCCTACAGCAACTTGAAGAAGCTCATCTATTCTCTGGAGAGACAGATCAATAAACCGCAGGGAGAAGCACAAGATGAAGAAAACACCTCACTACTTGGTGGGTCGCTCGACCCTGATACCACCTTCAAGCGCATGCTTGACTCGGAACTGGACAAAGTGTGCTCCTTCTACCGGTTGAAAGAGCTCGAAATTTTCGGCGAGCTCGATCAGTTCTTGAAGGACGCACAAGATTACGAGGCCGAGACGCAAGATGTCAATATGGACGATGTTGTCGACACGGAAAATCAGCGCAGAATGAGCCGGTCGCAGAGTGTCTTCAACGCCCCATTTCGGCGAAAGAGGAGGAGGTCCACCATGAGTGTGAGCTTCGAAGAGCCAGAATTGGAAGACGACAGCGATAGTGACGCTGAAGACAGCGCGGCCATGCTCAAGAAGAAGCCTTCAATGAAGCCAAGGAGTAAGAGTGCGTTTCAGACTACACCCGATCTCTCTGGCATGGCCGAGTCTCGCGAAGATCTCCGAGCACCAGATACCTCCCCTTCCTTCCTGAGAAGGAGACCGAGTCTCGCGCTCGAGCTGGATGCCAACGACCCCGGTCAAGTATCGGCCTTGTATGATTCGGGCATTACTCTGAAGAAGAGGGCAATCAGTCTGTACGTCTCGTTGTGCGAACTGAAATCTTTCATCCAACTCAACCAGACTGGGTTCAAAAAGGCCACCAAAAAGTACGACAAGGTGTGCAATCGGGATATCAGGAAGAACTACATGGAGAAAGTGGTTAATCCATCGTACCCCTTCCAGGAAGCCACCTTGGGTCATCTTGAGGAGAACATCGCAAAGGTAGAGAAGGTGTATGCAGATATTGTGACGAAAGGCGACCAGGACATGGCTCGAAGGGAACTTCGACTTCATCTCCGCGAGCATGTCGTATGGGAGCGGAACACCGTCTGGCGAGAGATGATTGGGATTGAGCGAAAGGCACAAGCTGCAAACCTCGGCATCAGACAAACCCTTCTCGGAGGAGGGCAGGATCCTTCACGGGTCCGGTTGCAAGGCGATCGAGATGCATCCGAGTCAAAGGAGATTGTGACACCGGTTGGGCGATACAGGTGTCCAAGGTGGCTGTTCAGCTCGACGTTCTTTACTCTGGTCACCACTCTAGCCATCTTCCTGCTGTTACTTTTCGTTCCTATCCTGAAGAAACCGGAACAGCAGAACTGTTTCGCCATGCTCATCTTTGTTTCGCTGCTTTGGGCGACCGAGGTGATTCCTCTTTTTGTCACCTCATTGCTCATCCCATTCCTGGTGGTGGTCCTGCGAATCATGCGATCCGACGACAAACCTCATCAACGACTCGACTCGAAAGCAGCGACCAAGGCTGTTTTCGCCGCCATGTGGACACCGGTCATAATGTTGCTGCTCGGCGGCTTCACCATCGCGGCCGCGCTCTCCAAATATCACATCGCAAAGATGATGGCCACTTTCGTTCTGAGCAAAGCCGGCACCAAGGCCAGGACTGTGCTCATTACGAACATGTTCGTCGGCATGTTTTTGAGCATGTGGATCTCGAATGTCGCCGCGCCTGTGCTGTGCTTCAGCATCATCCAGCCAATGCTGCGCAATCTACCCGCAGACAGCAACATGTCCAAGGCTCTGATCCTGGGCATAGCATTGGCGTCGAATATCGGCGGCGCAGCCTCCCCGATCGCATCACCCCAGAACATCATTGCGTTGCAAAACATGAAGCCTAGTCCGAGCTGGGGCGTCTGGTTCTTCGTCGCCTTGCCCGTGTGCATCATCAGCATCGTGCTCATCTGGCTTCTGTTACTCGTTTCGTTCAAGCCAGGACGAGGTACGACCATTGTCCCCATACGACCGATGAAAGACAAACTCAACGGCGTCCAATATTTCATCATCTCGGTCACTCTAGTCACGATCGTGCTCTGGTGTACTTCTCACCAATTGGAAGGGATATTTGGCGACATGGGCGTCATCGCCATCATCCCCATGGTTCTCTTCTTCGGCACGGGTATCTTGACCAAAGAAGACTTCAACAATTTCCTATGGACGATCATTATTCTGGCTGCCGGAGGTTTGAGTCTGGGCCGTGCCGTGTCCTCGTCAGGTCTTCTACACACGATCGCCAAAAGTATTATCGAGAACGTGGAGGATTTGTCGGTGTACGGTGTTCTCGTGGTCTTTGCAGCTCTCGTGCTCGTTGTTGCCACATTTATCTCTCATACCGTGGCGGCTCTGATCATCCTCCCGCTCGTACAACAGGTTGGGGCGAGTATGAAGGAACCTCATCCGAACCTACTGGTGATGGGCAGTGCGTTGATGTGTAGTGCTGCTATGGGGCTGCCTACTTCGGGGTTTCCAAACATGAGTGAGTATCTCCCTTTTCTTTTTCTTTTTCAAATTTCGTCCAGCCCTCCTCACTGTCCCTTTCCTGAGCCTTGTGCAATTGCTGTGAATTATTCCTCTTCGAGGGCTTTATACCAGGCATCTAGGGACACATACTAATGACTTGTGCCAATCCAGCCGCAATCATGATGGAAGTCCCCGAAACAGGCGTGCGATATCTCCACGTCAAGCACTTCCTGACCCGCGGCATTCCGTCATCGCTCCTCACGTTTGGCGTCGTTATAACGGTGGGCTATGGCTTGATGGTGGCTACAGGTCTATAAAAGAGGCGCCTGAGATACTTGTTTGAGCTTCATCTAGACTTGCAAGTTCGGCGTAAAGGATAGTTGGATTTGCGTTTAGGAGTTGAGACTGGGATTTGCGTTTTGGCGTTGAGACGGCCTGTCAGAGAGCCGTATAGAGAGAGACCCAGTACTTTTTTCAATACCATACACGGCGTGCGATGTACCCTTGTGACATGGACTATGCATAACTATAACGATGGGGGACATTAAATCTCTCATCGACCCGGTCTTTTGCAGTGATAGTATAGTGGTTATGCATGGAATGGCATGAAATAGCAGAAAGGGAAATCGCAATCTCGTGCTTGTGGAAAAGCGAAGGCGCTCGCTGTAAATGGTGATCCAAACAGATGGGTCGGCAGCATCTATAAGAGCTCTTATTATCTCTACCTCTACCTCCATCTCAACATGAACTGATAGCTTGCACCTTGTACCTTGTACCTTGTAGCTTATAGCTCCACAGCAAACCGCTCCCTAAGCCAGCCTCCGTAACGATAGAAGAAGAGCGGCAGTGGAAGAAAAGCCACGGCTATAAACCCTAGGACGCTATTCCCCCAGCCGAGTCCCAGGTCTGCATACAAAGACGGCGCGGCCAATGGAAGGAAAGCTGCAAACAGAAGTCGGAGAACGACGTTTGCAGCCAAGGCCGAGGCGGCAGCTTCAGGGCCAAAAGCATCGACCAGGTAGAGCTGCGTTGGCATGATGACCCAGAGAAAGCCGAATCCAAAGAAGAAGGTGCCGATGATGGGCACGATCCAATGGGTCTGCTTCTCGGCCGCCCAGCCATACCAGAAGATGCCGACGGGCACGGCGGGCATGACCCACATCATGGGCTTCAGGCGTCCTTCAGGTCGGGGTGAATCTCCCAGTGTCTTTTGCAGCTTGTCGCTCACGGTGGCAAAGGCCCCGAGAGAGACGGCCATTCCAATTCCAACCCCGAGATATGACAGGCCCGAAACGCCGGCGGAGAAGTGGTATTGTTCCTCAAACACGGTGGGAAACGTGGTGAACAGCATGAAGAGGAGGCCGAAAAGGAACGCGCACAGGAGGGAAAGGAGCAGCACGATTGGCGACAGGATGAGAAGCTTTGTTGGTCGAGTAAGGGCGCGGAGGAATAGCTGGCGGGGAGCCAGGCCTCGATCCATCTTCGAAACCAGAGCAGCATTGCCACTTTCTTTCCGGAGCCGAGAAGCTTTCCATCCGAGCAGCACGGCGGCATTGGTCTCGCGGAGGAAGAAGATTGATATGGTAAATGATACTCCTGCCTAGGTCGAACCGTCAGCGACTGGAGAATAGTAGGGAGGGCTTGAGCTCTGGGAGACTCACTAGGATCGTGATGATCCAAAAAGTCCATCGCCAGCCAATTGATTCGGACACAAAGCCACCAATAATTGGGCCCAAGACCTTGAACGATGGTCAGTGTCATGACGGTGTTCAACAGTTTGCCTGGGGGGGGAATGGGAATGCCACCTACTGGTCCCAGCAGTGGTCCCGCGAATAACAGAGACATTACCCTCCCACGCTGAGCTGGCGGGACGACGTCGGCGACGGTTCCTCCGCCAACTGTCAATGGGCCTGAAGAAGCACATCCGGCAAGGAATCGAAAAACGAGAAACATGCCGGTGTTTTTGGCCAGCGCACATCCGATGATGAAGCCAATGTAAATGACATTGCAGGTGTGGTAGATGACGAGGCGTCCATACAGTTCGGAGAGCGGTGCAATGACCATTGGGCCCACGGCGAAGCCGGCCAGGTAAATGGACACGGTGAGACTGGTGATGGGGGAACTCGTGATATGGAACTCCTTAGCAAGCGCGGCAGCCCCAGGGGCAAACATTGTCGCGGCGAGGTTGCTGTATATTACACCACTGGTAGTCAGTCACAGTCTGGGATTTGCTTTTGCCAAAGGAGCGCAGGAACAGGGACAGGAAGTGCCTTACGCAGTGAGCAAGAAAATGGTGGCGAGGACGACTTGGGTCATGCGTTTCCATGCTGGCCAGTTCCGCGGATTTTGGGCATCGTCTGGTCCATCCCAGTCGACGACATTGCTATTGTCCTTTGTCTCTTGTTCAGTTGCTGTCTGGTCAGGCTCGGGCTCGTGCTCGGGCTCGCTGGATTGTTGGTCATGGTGGCCGTCTTCGTCTTCCGATATGGATTTGGAGATGGCGGATTCCAAGTCGGCCGTCATGATATATGCTATGCTGTCGAGGGTGAGGTGACTTGTGACTCTGGCGCGTGTTCTTCACATAACTCTTGTCTCTGGAGTAGTCTCTCGTTTATAATGCACTTATACTTACTTGGATCCATCTCTGCTCGAATATATCTCTTCTCGATCCGTGAGACCTACCAGGGGGAGTTCCCGTTCCATTCGCGGGGTTAGGAAGCCTAACTCCTTTAATTCCTGTGTATGTGAGAACAGGAGACATCATGCCGATATGTGAAGGCAGAAACTGAACCGGGTCGGACGCGGAGGGTCGGAGGAGGTGGAGGAGGCATCGTGAGCGTGGCCGGCATAGAGACAGGACAGTTGAGGTTGAGGTGGAGGGTCGGATGGTCGGAGGGTCGGAGGATCATTCATTGCTATCTCCATTGCCTCTCGGTTTGCGCCGCCAGACAGCTTCGTTCTCTTCTTCTCTTCTTCTCTTCTTGAAGTGGCTGTGAATCTGTTTGGGAGCGGAGAGCAAAGAGCGGAAGGCGGACAGTCACACGGTGTCATGGCCGACAGTGCGCACCGCCCGCGTCCGCGTCCGCCGCCAAATCGACGGCGAGACAAAGTCCAGCTTTCCTGCGACCCTTGCAGACACCGAAAGTACGTGCCTCGAGCTCGAAAGCCATCAGCAATCAAAAAGTCGAGTCGTGCCCGATTAACTTGGCCAGGCTGAGGTGCGACCGACAGCTCCCATGCGGAGCTTGCTCAAGGCGTGGTCTCACCAACTCCTGCAACTATGCGACGACATCGACATCGACATCTTCTTCTACGCCCGATGCTCCTGCTCGCCCGTCCGTTCCTCCGCGACAGTCCACCACCACCACCACCACCACCACCACCACCAGCCTCCATGCTAGAATCTCGGAGCTAGAGAGCCTTGTCGTGACGCTCATGGAAGGCCAATCACTCCCAAGTCCGAGTCCGGCCGCACCAGCACCAGAATCGTCGAGACCAAGCTGCTCGCTATCATTCGCAGATGTGTTGCCTGAGATCCGGAGACGGAGACCACAGAAATCCCAATCCCGGGATGAAGCTGCATGCCCATGCCCATCCCCATCCCCGGCTGACCCTGGCACCCTAAAGTCGCGCGAGTCTGGAACCGGAACCAGCTATGTCCAGAGTGCCCATTGGGAGGCCATCCTATTTAAAATCAGGGGACTGAAGGCGGGCTTGGTCACGGATAGCAAGGCTCCGCCCGGTTCACACTTGTTCTATGGCCCGAATCGTCATGCAACTCGCGATGAAATCCTGGCTGCTGTTCCGCCTCGTCCAGTTGTTGACCGCCTCATAGCCCTTCACTTCGATTCCTACATTATCACTCCGTGTCAGTACATCCAGGCCAGCTTTCTTTCCGCTCTCCGAGGCATTGACTGTGTGCTGTAGATCTCATTCATGGCAAGAAGTTTCTCCGAGAGGTGGGTTCTTTCTAACCTGGCCGTCGCAAGAGGCAAGCAGTCTGACATTTGACCTGACGTTCGACCAGTACGAAAGCTTCTGGAAAGATCCGTCTGCAACTTCCATCGCTTGGATCGGCCTCATGTTCTCCATGTTATGTATTGCTGCGCAGTTGCGGACCTTCTCTGTTGACTTCACCGACGGACGAACCGAATCGCTCAAGGCGGAATATCTTGCCATGAAGGATGCCTTCCGGGAGAAGGCCGTTCAGTGTCTTATTCTGGCCAGGTATACGACGGGAGGGCCATATATCCTGGAAACCCTGATCACGCTCCTTACTGGAGAGGTTATACTCTTGAAAGATGGCACTGCCGATGGCTGGCTTTTGATCGGTATGATACTTCATCTAGCAATGCGCATGGGCTATCACCGGGACCCAGATCACTTTCCCGGACTATCTCCGTTCGAGGGCGAGATGCGTAGACGCATCTGGATTGCAATCCTTCAATTGGATTTCGGTCTCTCCTTGGAGATTGGCCTTCCTCGAAGTGCCACAGATACGCACATGGATACCAAACCGCCCCGTAATCTGCTCGACTGTGATTTTGAAGAGGACACGACCGAGATGCCTCCGCCGAGGCCAGAAACAGAATGGACGCCGGTGCTCGGTCTCATTGCAAGAGGGCGACTGATATCAGCTCTCGGCTTGATTTGCGACGTCAATACTGATATTAATCCCCCGTCCTATGACGAGGTCATCAAGATCGACGCACTCCTGGAAGACGTGCACAAACGTGCTATTCCGCCTGTGCTGCGCTGGGAAACTAGACCACACCCCATCACGGATAGTCCAAACCTGGTGGTACAGCGGGTAGGTGTAGAAACGACCTACCACAAATCACGCATCCTCCTGTACCGGAGAGCTTTGGTCAGCCACCCAGTTCGACAGCCTGAAGAGCGGTCTCAAGAGCGAGAGCGGGACAGGGAGTCGGTGCGGATTTGTTTGGATTCCGCACTCAAGATTCTATCCTTTCAACAGATGCTTCATGAAGAGTCTCAGCCATTTGGTCGTTTGTCTCAGCTTAGATGGAAGGTCACCCATATTTTCAACCAGGATGTTCTCCTCGCAACGAGCGTGCTCTGTCTCTACCTGCAAGACGTCGATAAATTGGAATTGCCTGAGACTGCGACTGCAGGCCAGACAACGTGGTCATCTAGGGCTGAAGAGATTCGACAACAACTCACCATCTCGCACAAGATTTGGCGTCAAATGAGTACGTCATCGGCCGAAGCTGGAAAAGTAGCCAAAGCTCTGAACATCGTCCTTGGAAACACAGAAGAAGCGTTTGCCGAGGACGGTAGCGGGCTAGAGCCTACTTCTTACGACTTTCTGCCGGAATCGGATTTTGATGCCGTGGATGGATCTCTGAATGGATTTGGCGGCGCAACGCTCAACAATCAATGTGAGAGCCCTCCGAGTCGAGTGGTCATGCCGATTGGATATGATTGCAACTAACAAAACCACTTGACAGATTTTCCTTTTCCTTCTGGCTTCTACTCTCCTCTCACGTTTTTTGATAACGTGCTGGAAACCGGGGGAACATGGAACATATAATCTGATTGTTTTGCTGTTTTTGGGCCGAAGCACGTAAAGCTAACATGTTAGCCTCAGCTAACCCAACCCTTCGGATCGAATGGTCCAAATGGCCCATAGTTCTTTCAGTTCAGTTCAGCTCGCCAGTCCCAGTTCCAGTTGCAGTTCGTTAACTTATATGCGTAGTACGGATACTGCAGTAAGGTAGTCAAGTCAATTTGCGCATCGTCATCGTCATCGTCGCACAGGCACAGGCACAGGCACAGGCACAGGCACACCCCCTCGAGCGGGGAGGTAAAAGGGGTTGGGTTGGTTCGATTGTGACAAAGAGAGACTCGCTCATGCTCATGCTCATGCTTATGCACATGCACAGAAATTTAATATTAGGCTTAGGGTGTCCCGAATCAAGGGAGGGACAGTTTAAGGATAGAGAAGATCTGGAGACTCAAACCCTCTCCCTCTACGCGAGAAGTCGGAGGAACCGTTCGATTCGGACGGGGTAGAGTGGTATGGTAATTACTAAAATACGTTGCAAGGCTGCTTCTCCTATATAATATATATAAGTAGTTTCTGCCACTAGCACCAAGTCTAAGATCCACAACAGGGCCTTCAAGGATCAATCCCCATAGATCCGTCATCTCTTCCGATGAAGCTCAGTTGGTTTACAGTAGTAATAGTAATAGCAACACTTCCGATTGTCACAAGTTGGGCCGTGCTACAGTATAGCCTGCTCTATATCAGCGACAGTTCACGAGGAAGCTGACCAACTCACCGCTGAAAAGGCGAATCTTACAATGTCGACCTGCCTCCAATGCCGCGTTAGAGCCTATGTACTCCCATAGCTCCAAGCTCCTGCTAGCGAGTACATGAGCATCTTGGTAGTCCCATAGGTCCGTTATGTTATTCAGCTTGTCAGTCGCCACATGTGTTGTGCTTAAGCCTGCTCGCTGGTGAGAGTCATGAGCAAACTCCACTTCATGTGTTGTCTCCATGGCATATTCCAGCCCCGACGCATGAACGAGTATGCTCTCTTTAGGACTTCAAAGGTAACCAATAGGATGTCGTTGGTGAAGCGACCACGGAAGCCGGAGGCTGTCCGATGCCACGAATCCTCACCCAGAGACATGACGCGGTCCAGTGAGCCTTGTGGACATCCTTGCTCTTCTTGGTTTTTGTTATGATGCTGAATCCAAGTACCTAAAATAGAATCCCTCGAATACCTGAGGTGCAACCCTTGAGATTCCGAAGTAGTTTATTGCGGTCGACGGGAATATAAGCACACGTAATCAGCCTGCCGCCGAATCCTCGGTTTTCTTGCTTCTCTTGACAAAGAAAAACTGGCCCCTCTTCCTACTCGCATATCCCTCACCCATCTCGAAGGGTGCGACAATCCGATCGTCCTGCCGAGGCAGTTTCTCGGCGGTCCTGGTGGGAATCTCCTTGCTCCAATCGACGGGGACTTTGCGCCTGCGTATGGTTCCGTTCACGCCAACTTTTTCTTCTAGTGACAGGTATTCCTGCAGCGACTCGAGCGTGAATGCGCGCTCTTCGCGAGCGTCCCGCGTCTCGTCACGCAGCGCGACCAGCGGCTTCACGCCCGTGGTGTCGACCTTTTGGATTTCTTTGACGAAATGGAGCTGTTGTTGGAGGGTTCGGAGCATGTCCGTCTGCTCTTGTACCGATTTGGGAGGCGGCAGCGCCGAGAGACGGAGAAGGTGGTGTAATTTCGATGGCGTTACTTCAGACTCGGACTCTTCTTGCTTCTTCAGATCAGGTTTGATTTCGGACTCGGCATCATATTTCTTCCTATCGGGTTCAATGTCCGTCGACTGCACGACCGAGGGCGGCGGCGGCAACAGCGAAGACACAGACCACGTAGGGGTTTTCAGGAGCGATGTGATCTTCGGGTCGATCTCGATCGATTTGACCAGCCGCAGAATCTTGTCGCGGTCAGGACTCGTGACTGGGCCGGATAGTTCTGTCCGAATGGTAAATGGAATCCGACTGATTCGAGGCATGGTGGCCTGAACGAGTTCCCAACCAGCCCAACCTGGTGTCGACTCACGTGGAGTGCTGGAGCGTGAAGCAACACAAATAGAGTACTCGTACAGTAGTAGGTATGGAGCGAGTTGAATTGGGGAAGCACGTCTCGCAGGCATGTGATTGCAGTTAAAGCGGCATGATTTCGTTCCTGCGCGGGCCTAAGCCTCCGTTTGCCTGCCTTCCTGCCGCCTGTGCAGGGCTCCAGGCTCGTCCAGCACCCCAATCTTAGACCGTTGTATGTTGTATTGATCATCTCGACCAAGCGAACCATATCCTCGACCTCTACGGAGCCCACGTAGGGACCAAGCGAACCGTAAATCTTGACGATACGTTCTATCCGGCTTCACTTTGCTCTTGCCAACAAGAAGGGCATTAACCCCAATCTCACATCCATTGATCACAACCAGCTCGACCCTCTCCCGAATCATGGCGCAAGATCCTCGAGCATTGCTGCAGAAAGCCGATAGAGCCGCCCAAGGCGCCTCGGGTGGCTTTAGCTTGTTCGGCGGGCGAGCAGAAAAATGGGAAAACGCAGCAGACCTGTACACACAAGCCGCGAATGCATTCCGGGTACAGAAGCAGAGTAAGCCCGCACGCAAACCGGCATGCCTATCTCGTCCTTGATACATTCTGACGCCGGAAAGACTAACATTTCTCGTCCTTCTTTTCCTTTCCAGACTATGAAGCCGGCCAAGCGTTCGAGAAAGCAGCGTCGATACAACAAAACAAACTCAACGAACCCGACGACATGGCCAACACCCTGACCGAAGCATTCAAGGTATACCGCAAAGACTCGCCGCAAGACGCTGTGCGGGTCCTAGCGACTGCTATATCACACTACACCACCAAAGGCAACTTTCGTCGTGCGGCGACGCACCAGCAGAACCTGGCAGAAGTATACGAGATGGAGCTTGGGGACCAGAAGAAGGCGCTGGCCGCCTATGACACGGCCGCGCAGTGGTACGAGAGCGACAACGCCGAGGCGCTGGCGAACAAGTTGTACCTGAAGGTCGCCGACCTGGCCGCCCTCGAGGGTGATTACCAGAACGCGATCGCGAAGCTCGAGGCGGTCGCCAAGTCGTCGCTCAACAGCAACCTCATGCGCTGGTCCGTCAAGGATTACTTCCTTAAGGCGGGGATCTGCTACCTTGCCGCTGGGGACCAGGTCGCAACGAAACGCGCGCTTGAACACTACAGGGACTTGGATAATGGGTTCGCCGGCACACGGGAACACATGTTGCTGACGGACCTGGTCGCGGCTGTCGAGGAGGGCGACCAAGAGGCCTTTGCGGACAAGCTGTTCCAATATGACCAGTTGAGCAAGCTCGACAAATGGAAGACGACGCTGTTGCTTAGAGTCAAGAATGCCATTGAAAAGGAGGAAGAGGATTTCTCATGAAGAACAGACCAAGAAATGGGCAACGGTGCAGATAGTGGCATGGATCAGGCAGTCTCAGACCATTGAATGGGCTCTGCAACGAGTTACGACTAGGCAGGATGTGACGGCGTTGTTTAGGGTGTCCTGACTGGACGCACATCACTGTACTTCGAACCGGAGACAAGGTTGGACCTATGAAGTCCAGAAAGCGAGTATCGCATCGACATCGACATCAACACGGAATTCGCATTACAGTCGCGGTTTCCCTTTCCAGGAAACAATGTGTTCTACGTGCCCAAAGTATTGCATTGCCGCCGACCTTGCAGAGTGCCATTTCCTCCAAACCAATGCCTGCCCAATGCAATAGAGCGCTATGTCGTACATATCTATCATTTTGCGGGACGCGGGGTGGTCGTGACATGACCGCCCGTGCAGGTGTAGCTTTCTTAATTTTTTTTAATCCCAGCCAAAGCCGCCGAGATGCCAGAAACCAAATCGGTACATCCAATTCTATTTTTCGTTGCGATTGCTTACATGTTGTCATTCCGTCAACACCAGGTGAAGACGGGTGCCTTGCTCTTGACCGTCTCCAGCCTCTCGACAATGACCTTGCGTTTATTTTGTTCCATGTCGCTGGCAGCGGCGTAGCCCAAGTCGCCCTCAAGATCGTCGCCTTCGTAGAGGATCGCCGGGGATTTGCCGCTGCGGGTCGACAAAGATCGTTGTCTTCGCGAGCTCGACTTGGAGGTGGTTTCCCGACGAGGAAACTCGAAGCTCAACCGGTTTCTGCTTTTTGCGGTTGGACGAGCAGGGAGCGTGGCGGCACTGTTGCCCAGGCTGTTCCTAGCTTCCTTCGCATAGTCCGCCGCGTCGAAGAAAGGGCCACCGCTGACAGGACTGACAGGACCTTCTTCGCCAGCCAAGTAGGAAAGATCTGCACCGCCATCCTCTCGTGTGAGCTCGAAGCGGTTGGGGTTGGGTAGGTCAGGAGTCAGTGAGCCTAGCAGGTCGGGTTGTGATGCCTGTCTTCCAGAGGGGGCGGAAGAGTAGGATGCTCCAATGTCCATCTCTTCTTGTTGGTCGTAATGATGGTGTTTCCTCCTACTCATCTCGGCAGAAGGCACCCGCAGCGGAATCGCCACAGGAACGTCGACAAGGTCGTCCCAAACACAGATCCTTGTGCGTCGGGTCAACTCGAGTGGTCCATGATCTTCTTGTTTGAGAGTCTCCACAACGTTCCATGCCTGGCCTTTCATGACGGCAATCTGCCGCGCAAACATGCTTTCTTTGAAATCGGCATCCAGTGCAAACACTCTCCGCAGCGCCAATTGAGTCTGACTCCACCAAGCCGTGGAAGTGAGCAAAGGCAGGAAATGCTCTCGAGTCTTCTTAGAGAAGGGTTGTCCAATTAAAGAGACAGGAAGGAACAGCCAGCCGAAAGGAAAACTCCTCCACTAGGGTATGTCAGTAGAGCCTAGATAGAGATCAAGGGAAGACTCACGGCATCCGGATGTTTCCAGGGCCACGACAAACTATTGTCAATGGCCCCAAGTTTGATCGTGAGGTGACTGTCATCTCGAGCATTTGAGGGAGTGCCTGACCTGCTTTCCATGGTTTCGTACCTCCGATAAGGCCTTGAGGTATTGGATTCAGGTCGCGCGGGACTCACGGATTTGGATTGAGTCGTGGTGTCTCCGTCTCGAGCAGTCCCATTTTCTTTGGGCGGCTCAACAACAAGAGAGACTTCTTCCGTCTTCCAGTCGATCTTGATCATCCAATTATCCAACCCTCGATCAGTATTCCGCATGATATAATCTAAAATGACGAGTTTTTCTAGCTCTTCTCGAAAAGCTTGCTTTATTCTCGGGGTCCAGTGGAACTTGGGTGTCTGCTCTTCGAGCTGCGGTGACATTACTGCAGGGGTTCCTCCATCGTTGTCAGACGGTTGGCCCCGGACAGGAAAGCAATTCGACAAGGGTCTCCTTTGTCGAGTGTGTTCCAAGTCTGACCGAAATTCCGTGGCTTGATCAGGCCAGGGATTTTCGCGAAGAAATATGTTTGCATCCTTGAACCCTTTCAGGAAGACCTGGAAACTTCCCACTTTCGCGGGTAGGCTTTTCTTTCCACCCCAAGTGCTTCTCCGCTCCCAGAAGTCGTAGTAAAAGGACTTTGAAGACAGCCAGACCACGTCTGTGTAAGGGACCAGATTCGTTCTCAACTGGCAGTCGAGAACATACGCAGCAGCCTCGGAGACATATGATAAATTGGGTATGAGACACGCTCGGCCGAAAAAGAAAGGAAACAGATTTCTGTGAATCCATTTCGTCCACTTCGGATTCCTCGAGGCATATGGCTCTTCGTCTTTGGGCTTGAAAACACCGACAACTTTCCCTTGGCTATTTCTGGCAAAGTAGCTGCCGGAGCTGCCTTGAGATATCATTTTGGGGTGCACCCCTTGTTCCATCGCAACCCTGACGCTCTCCACGATGGCATCAAACTGTGCCTTGCCCATACGTTGCGTGTCGGCGGCTTCGTAGGCGGCCAAATCCGCAGCAGTATATGGACGAACCTCTGGAGGCGCTTGGAAGACGGAATGGTGTATTTCCAAGTGTTCCTCCTCATGGGTCTTGCCCCTGACCGAGTTGATTTTGAACTTGGAAGCGATCTCTTCAGCCCATCTTTCTAGTCTGGCGTTGATAGCTTTAATGTCGACGCCTGAGGAGTTACTCCGCGTCCGTCGTGTTGCTCTTCGTCGGTCGTGATAGGGGCGGGAGCGCATGAGTTCTCGTGGGCCAGGTTGAATGGAGGCATACCGCGTACTGAGTGGGGTATTGTTGTAGATTTCATCGCCAGAGTCATCGTCGGCGAGTGGCCCATCGTCGTCGTCGGCTTGTGCAAGGCGAGCATAGCCAGAGGTCGGCCTATGACGAGGCATGGTAATGGCGTTGGCCCTTGATAGGCACGGTTTGAAAGGTTGGACGACCGTCTACATGCCGACCACCAGCATTCTCGAGGCTGGGAAGAAGGGCATCGGTCGGATGGCGTGCAGTCGCAGGCAGGACAGGGGATAGACGGCACTCCTACTACGAATTACGTGCCACCTTCGAGAATTCACGGGGCTCGAGGGCCTAGACTGGAGGTCCAGTTAAGGGAGCTGCGGCACAAGCTGATTGGGTGGACGAGTTGATACGGCTGAGCACAATGGTTTGAACCGCCGTCGTCAATATAGGGTATAACTATGTGCTATGTTCTTCTCACTCATCTTCGTTCTGTGTTGCAAAGTACATGTTGGCTCGGCGAGGCACAGAGTAACTCTGTTTGACCTTCTCGATGGTCTAGAGACACCACAACTAAGATCTTGTATAGCTTTTGCTAGTCAACGACGAGCCTAAGGCCCTGAGAGGCATTGGAGCTCACGTAATACGTAATATAAGAAGCTGTGGATGGGCTGCGATGATAAACAGCATCTTGCCAGCCACAGGGAAGGTAGCCGCCTCGCAATCCACACGTAAGGCGCGTGTCTAATATCCGGAAATCTCAATGAGTTCGAGAAAGACGTGACTGTCAATCTCGGGACGCGGAGCCTTGATCTAGGTTGACGCGTGACAGTGCTGGCTACCACTTTATTTTCAGGGATGAGAGCACTAACATTGCGAATCCTACTGGGTCACGTCTCGCTGAACGTGATGGGCATCGAATGGGCAGTGTGGAAATGGGCATGACAGGTGTCAGAGGGCCTTAACGGAATCATCTGGGCGTCACAATCGGTCAAACCTGCCGCATAACGCTCGCTCTGCAATTGCCCAACGTCCGTCAACTTTCAAGTCCATCAAATCGCGAATTGGTCAGTGAATAATGCAGATATGCGTGACTGAATTCCGGCGGTTGCTCCCGCCTAAATTTCAGGCGACGGAGCCAGTGGCTGTGCCACGCGCGCAGAAAAAAAAAGGAGGCGCACCAGAAGCGGCACCTCCACCGCGAGATTGGACAATTTCGTTTGTTTCCCCAGATTTGCAAAGGGCCGAATCAGCGCCAACTGCGATCGCGCGCTCCCGGGTGTAAGTCTTCGTGGTTCAGAGACCAAAAGCTGCGCCGTTGAGGGTCGACAAGTACGCATACTACATTCTGCTCCGTAGAGGATCTCTTTACGTATGGCCGCGCCACGAGAGCCGCCAGAGACCAGATATCCAACTTGCCTGGGGAACCCCGGGCGATTGGTTTTACTATTACGTCGTAAGAAGGTCCCATCTCGACAGACGTGTCTAAGCTTAGACACGGCACAATTAGACATTGCTCTTTAGCCTGACGGGCGGGACCAATATTCTCCTCGGCCTGGCATCCTCGATTGTAAGACCCCTGGATCTGAGATTCGTATTGGGCAACAGCAAAAGGCTCGAGGCTCCCGCCTATCGATACTCGATAAACGTTCTCTTGCATCTGCAGTCTCGCGATACATGCCTATCCTTTCCCGTTAAGAGTGTCCACGATTTCGATCCTGTGAAGAAACAGAACCTAGATACCTGCTCCCCACCGATTCCTTTCATCAGCTCACCCTGTTGCCCGTCGAGACCACGTTCAGGTCTCACACAACGTCGAACACGGCTTCCGCAGTCGCACCGCCGCTCTTCCGGGCCTCGCCCCTCGACCCTACGTACCGACCACCATCGACGCCATTGCAGGAATCAAGACTTGACGAGTATAGCACATCGAGAAGGGAATACCACCGAGGAACCTCACCGTTACCGCCCTCGGCGAGATATGGCAAGGACATACCGCGGCCGCGGTCGAGCGCTCTCCCCGGCACGGGTGACTTCTTTCTGCGTCAGCCTGAAGTCCACGGAGGAGGTACGACCCTGGGTGTAGGGGTTGCGAGGCCATATCACTCGGAGCCACGACCTGCTCTGCCGGCACTGTCCACCTTGACGTCCCTAGCAGCCACCGCGCCACCGATGAGGTACGAGATGCAGTGACAGGACGAGAAGTCCTGCCGGCGGGATGAGAGGAATACCACGTTGACATTGCATACATCACAGGTCGTTTTCCGCGAGCCATGCATCACCCTCTCCCATGGGCTATTACGGCATGATGGCGGCGGCGCCGACACCAGGGATCGCTGGAAGTGCACCGGTGAGTGAATCTGCGGTGTCTTGTGCTCTCTGCTCTCGCGAATCTGGGGTGGTGGTGGAGCGGTGCTGTTATCAGTGGCATCGACTACCGTGATGTGACTTCGATTTCCCTGCCACCTGAATTTCTGCCTCTAGCGCCAAGCTCCACGGCCGGCGGTCACGGGACTGTCGGCCCGTGCTGATAAGCACTATCGCATTGGCCCCCGTCCAAGTCCGCCCGGTTTCCCTTCTTTATCTTATCGCCCTTCCCGTCGCAATCGATAACTGAATCTTCCCAACTTTTGTCCTCTTCACCCTGCGCGCGCGCGACCGCATCATGGCTGCTTCATTACCTGGGACTGACCATAACCTGCCCTTCTCGCAGCCTGTTTGTCAGAACTGCCAGACCTCGACCACCCCCCTATGGCGACGCGACGAAGCCGGTTCGGTCCTCTGTAACGCTTGCGGACTTTTCCTCAAACTCCACGGCCGACCTCGCCCAATCAGTCTCAAGACAGATGTCATCAAGAGTCGCAACCGAGTCAAGACTTCGAACCAAGGGCCCAAGAAAAAGGTGAGTTGTGGCGCCCAGGCTGGAGAAAGAGAAAGAGGATCTGACCTGACCGATCGCAGTTGGAACAAAATGGTCTTCACACCGGGCAATCTGACCTGGCAACTCCGCCCAATGGAGCCAATGCTCATCGACGCGTCTCACAGATGGCCGCTTCTGTAATCTCTGACCGGTCGCGTTCCCCCGTGTCGCGAACAGGGACGCCTGTTGTTCAACATGATCCGAACATTGCACCGCAACACGTTTTTGATGGTATAGTGGCAATGCCCGACCACCACTTCGCCAACGGATCTCCCTCCCTCCCTCCTCTCAACCAACCCTCTCCTAGCGCCCTCTCCCTCAGCAACGAGCGGCATCTTGAACTACCCATGACCTACGATCAGCTGATGACCGCGAACACCAACCTCCGGACTCGAGTGTCGGAGCTGGAAGTCATCAACATGGTCTATTCGGACAACGAAAACAGCATTCGCAAGGAACGCGACCGAGCCATTCAAGAACGCGACGAGCTGAAGCGGAAGGTCGATGATTTGGAGAGACGGCTGCAAGAGGTAAATGGCCAGGAAGGGGAACCACGATCGAAGAAGCCGAGATTGTCCAGCGATTCGCGAGAATGACTGCGGTAGAGTCGAGAATTGTACGGTCATCATCCATGATACCCAAATCCACGATTTTCTTTTTGGTGTCTGGGTAGGTAATCGGCATGCCAGGGTTTAATACTTAATATGGCTGTCACCGGGCCATACAGGGCAGGGCAGGGCAGGGCAGGGCGTTAAAGGGTTAGCACACAGACGAAGCCAGCAATGGTTGTGAGCATCTATTGGAAAAAGGGGCGTGGCGTTGACCGCAAGGTACCAAAAATCATGTACTGATGATCCTGGGAGGAGATGTCCATACTCTATCGAGCCAACAAGGCTCTACTGTTCTTTTTCTGATCTTGGACCCAACCGCACTGTCATACTGTCTCCGAGTCTATTCTGTGCTGAATGTTCTTGACCAGCCCCGACCGCGAAACGGGGGAATGGGTGAGGTTAAGGGGTATGTAAGTACTCTGGACCTTGCCTACAGCATTTTATGTAGGTAGCTAATAGGCGAGCTCCGTCCTTTATGGCCGCAGATCCGAAAGAGAACCTTATGTCTTATGTACCTAAGCCTCCCAAGCCTTAGCCGGCGGTTCTCACAGGCGGCTCAGCATGTTCCCCAATGCTCCCCCCGCACAGGAGATCGCATCAACCCCGGTGCCCCCAGCCTTACCCACGCCGGCAGCATTTACTGTAAGACCAGAATTGCATATAACCTCGGGCCCTGCCAGTCTCTATCTATTCTTCTCGGACGTTGGAGGTACGGAGATTTATATTTGTTCATTCACATGAAAGGTTTGGTTTCTAACCTAGTCGTCGCCTTCTCGCCAGACAGCTCTCAACGCTCAACGCCCAACCCCAAACACGTCAACCTCGGCATGACGGCTCCTCCTCCTCCTTCTTCTCCTCCCCACGTCACGGTGCCTGTCTCTCCGTTCCGCCGTCCATCCTCGTTCAACTTCGCACGCGATGTCGTCGACTACTGGGCACAGAGGGATCCGGCGCAAGTCGCGCTCTACTGGACGGACCAGAATCTAAGCACGTCGAGGCAATTCACCTACACTCACTTCTCGCGGCAGTCTCACCGCGTCGCGACTCTCCTCACGTCGCTCGGGATCAGGCAAGGCGACATAGTCATCCTGATAGCGCCGCGGGTGCCGGAATGGTGGGAGATCGCGACGGCATGTCTACGCGTGGGGATCGTGTTGTGTCCATGCACCACGCTCCTGGTGGACAAGGACATCGAATACCGGCTGCAAGTGTCGGACGCAGCAGCCTTCATTGGCGATGAGACGGCGGTCGCCAAATGCTTGAAAGTAAGGGCCAATTGTCCGAAACTGCGGGTGGTGGTGCAGTTGGATGGCAGTGGCGACGACAAAGTCCCTGCGGGCGTGCACGACTTGCAAGCCGAATTGGCAAAGATCCCCAGTGACGGCAGCCTCAGGCATGTGGCTGTGCCTAGTACCTTGAAACCAAGCTCTCCGGCCCTCATCTTTTTCACGTCCGGCACGACAGGCCCGCCCAAGATGGTGCTACACACGCAGATATCGTACCCTCTAGCGCACGCCTTGACGGGGATATACTGGCTCCAACTGTCGCCGGGAAAGGTCTACTGGAATCTGTCGGAACAGGGCTGGGCAAAGGCGGCCTGGTCGTTCTTTTCGACGTGGAACTGTGGCGCCACGCTGTTCGTGCACGACGACCGCCTGGCCTTCAACCCGCGCCGCACGCTGGAAGTACTGCACAAGTTCCCCATCACCACGTTGTGTGCGCCGCCCACCGTCTACCGGCAGCTGGTGCTCGACCAGAGTCGACAGTTCTTTGCCACCGCTCAGGGCAAGCCGCAGGCACTGGTCCATTGCTGCGGAGCTGGCGAGCCATTGAACGAGGGTGTCATTCGCACTTGGAAGCAGATGACGGGTGGGATTGAGATCTACGATGGATACGGCCAGACCGAGACGATCGTCGTGTGCGCGAACCAACAGACTAATCAAGTCAAGCCCGGCAGTATGGGCAAGCCGCTCCCCGGGATTCCCTTGACAGTGATTGACTCGGAGGGAAACGTCACCCAGGACGACGAGGAAGGGGACATTGCCATTGCCGTCGCTGCTGCCACTGGCACGTCGAATAACGACAAGGAGTCGTCATTTTTCGGTATCTTCGAGGGCTATATTGACAAAAAGACGGGCAAGCTCGACACCAAGATCAAAACCTTCCCGAATCGGAGTAGGTATTTCATCACGGGCGACCGCGCGAGTCGTGACGCCGACGGCTATTTCTGGTTCGTGGGGCGGAGCGACGACGTGATCAATTCGAGTGGTTACAGAATTGGTGAGTCAGTCAGTCAATACGTTTGTACTTTTCTTTGCTTTTGACATTCTCGTCACCACTGGTCCTCTGTTTTGCCTTTGTCATCACGCCACGCTCTGGACTCTCTCTCTCTCTCTCTCTCTCTCTCTGTGTGTGTGTGTGTGTGTGTGTTTTCCAGGTGTCGTGTTGTCTTAGAAACTGGAATTGGAATGAGGAAAGCGACATTGAAAAGAGACTGACGGCAGACTCACATCGACATCCATCAGGCCCCTTCGAAGTCGAATCAACGCTGAAACTGCACGACTCCGTGGTCGAGTCGGCCGTCGTGGCCTCGCCAGACCCGCAGCGCGACGAGGTGGTCAAGGCCTTCATCGTGCTCACCGACGCCGCGGCCGCCGAGACAGCCAAATCGCGCGCAGCTCACGATGCGCTCGTGCGTGAAATCCAGGCCTTTTGCAAACGCCACGCCGCGCCCTACAAGTATCCGCGCAAGATCGAGTTCGTGCCCGCCAGCTTCTTGCCCAAGACCATCAGTGGCAAGATCAAGAGGGCCGAGTTGAAAGCTTTGGAGAGGAAGAGGTATCGAGAGGGAGGGGGGCAGGCGCGGGATACGAAGTTATAATTCGGGCTGCTGCAGGTACTTATATATATATACATATACATACTATGAACGTGCCTGTTTCATGTCTGTCATACACATTGCACAACTGAGTGGAGACTGGGATTGTCTTGTTGATACATAGGGAGTAGGTGAGATTGTCTTATTGATATATATATAGGGTGTAGGTGAGATACTACGTAGGAGGTATTGTCTTTCAAAATAGGCCCGAAGAGAGGATCGTTTCTCCGTATGTCGGCTCTGTAAGTCGAGGATCATTTCTCCATATGTCGGCTCTGTACTCTGTAAGTAGAGGATCATTTCTCCATATGTCGGCTCTGTAAGTAGAGTGAGTGAGTGGCTTTCAATGCCTCATCTTGATCTTGACGATGCAGGGACATGACGTGCAGGGCCCAAGATAGGATACGAAGCAATCATCATCATCGTCTCCATCTCCCTTTCCCTTTCCAGCAAGGCACGTATCATCTCATCTCCCCTTTCCAGCAAGGCTCGCATCATCTCCATCTCCACCACCCTTTCCAGCAAGGCAAGGCACGATCAAGCACGAACATTATCTCCCCTGGACTGGCATGGCGCGTGAAGAGAATCCTTCCCTCGACTGCGTCGTATCTCGCCAAACGCATCATTGGCTTCACCGCCCTCTCTATCAGCGGAGATGTTCTATCGCTGCCAGCCAGGTTCAACACCTCCGATACTGTGTTCGGCGCCACACTTTCATCTGTCGCGACAACCTCGCCAGACAGATTCGTTGCCATGGTGAGCGGTGCTCGGGACCACCGCCGGCATCATGATCATGATAGTGAACACGGTTGGAAGCAATATATTCTCACACGGTTGGAAGCAATATATTCTTGCTGGCTCTATGTCTGGGTGGGACGATGGGGATCTGGGAATCTTGCTGCGGGTCACAGCTATCTGCATGTTGCTGCTGCTTGTGATTTTGTTCCGGTCAACCCGAATGGTGAGGGCTGTGATGTTGATCGCGTACCCGCTTCCTGGTCCTCCAATTCGCCTTATACAAGGTCTGAGGCATGTGCTGGCATGGGTGTCACACTGGAATGCCAACAATCTCTTCTCCCTCCTTGCCGTCCGGCACGAGGTCCCCATATACTGTGAGAGGGATGACGATTTCAAAAGTCTCACACTCCAGAGTTTCCACTGCTACGTTGATTGCGCCTCTTTCATCTGTGACCACCTCCTCCAGTAGGGCCGCCATGGGCTTGACTTCTCCCTCTTCGTCTTCCACAGGTCTGATGATCCCAAACTCAAAACGAAGACTCCATTCGTGGTTGACGCCAGATGTCACGAATGTGGGAGTTGCGGATGCCGGTATACTGGGTGCAAATGTCGCCCGGTTCGTGAACAAGATGTTTTCCGACCGAGCCCAGTAGACTTTCCGGGTGATCCTATTGATGGTCGCCGCGGATCTCACTGCCAGTGATGGACTCACTTTTTCGGAGGTTTCGAGCGTCGATCGAAGAGAGGCGCAGGGGACTTGGCCTTCGGAGAAATCGATGACTGCTGTCACCGTTTCCCCGAGCCTGTGTAGTGGTCGGTCGAGAACGACGACTGCCACTCTTAGCCCATTCCGGGTAATCTCGAACCGATTGGGGCTGGAGTCGCTCCCGACAATTTGGTTGCTGTAGAGGATCGCACGGTTGATGGCTTGGATAGCATTGCTTTGGCCTCCTGAGTCCTGGTTGCTCAAGAAAGCTTCCGTCGTGCCACTGCTTGACTGCCGTCGCCGGTTACGATCCAGGAGGGTGTCGACAAAGAGGAGGAACTCGGCAGTGGACTTTTCATCCGATTTCGACGTCGACTTTTCCGCCTCTTCCTCGCCCTCCTGGGAGGAGATGCATCCGACACGAGCCAGGTCTTGGAGAACAACATGAGGTTGCATCAGGTCATGGCCAAATATTTCGCCGTCATAGTTGACCCCCGAGAACACCCGGATGGGAATATTGACTTGTCGGACAGCGTATACATCTCGGCTTCCCGGTAACCCTTGGACTCCCACGGTCAGGTTGTACGATATTTTGATGGCTTTCCCTCGATGACTGGCAGGCAACCCACGAGGCAGGGGATAGACGTAGGAATAGCTTTGCTCTTCGCCCGGTTCGAGATGCATATCAACGAACAGCAGCGATTGCGGAGTAGAGAGTAAAGGGATGGCCCGGGCATTCTTCACGGTGTTCATCTCCTTGACACTGCTCATGTCATCTCCGCCCATCAGGCTATTTAGTGAGTCGCCGAGATTGTTGAGACTGAAATTGCCCAGAAACCCACTGCTGGGCCGGGCCTTCTTCACCCCAACCACACCACCACCAGCTTGTCCACCGAGAAAGCCTTTGCGCTTGACCTCTTCGAAGTGAGCCTGGTCGATCAGGGAAGCATCTAGAGTAAAGTTTGCACTGAGTTGAGCATACCCCATCAGAAGACTGACAGCTTGGGGCTTCTGTTGGGGCATCATTGGCGGCCTACGAGGAAGAGTAGTCGAGTAGTCGAAGAATGGTCTGTGGTCCGATAGTATGGAGGGTTGCTCAGACATGAGAGTCTCCTGAGAATGGTTGCTCAGGGAATAGAAATCACCGCTGCTGCGCTCGCTAGCAACTTGATTTTTTCCCGGGGTGATGCGAGCGGCGAGCCCAGTCGAATGGGAAGATGGATTCTCCTGTCTTTCTGGAGGAAACTTGAAATCCGGAGTGGACTCGCGGCTCTGGCTAGTGCCTTGCGATAATGGACTCCGGCGGCCTCCTTGTGGTGAAAAGAGCGAGCCTGTTGGGGGGCTTTGGCCATTCTTGCGTGGCGCTGCTGTGATAGAGGATGAGCAACCATGATACCTCCGCGATAGCAACTTTCGTCCCTACATACCTTGCTGAGTTGCGATCGTGGATGATCGTTGGTGACTGAGTCTCTGCTGTCTTGCCCAGCTGCCTCCGCCCTCTTGCAGATCACCGGTGGCGGTGGGAGAGGTGACCGAGATGATGGAGACCGATCGCTGATGCTGGTGACTTGGCCTTTGCAGCTGTGTTGGGCGCTCGTCTGGTGAGCCCGGGCTGTAGGAGGCGGTGGCTCGATGGCGGCCCGGGGGTTCAGTTGACTGATCATAGTGGCTGCGAGCCCGTCCATTCTGATTCAGTCTTGCCGCCGCATTCGTTCGGCTCACCTGGGCGGCAATTTGGCTGATGCTCTCCCGCCTGCTTGTGCGTCGCGTTTGGGAGGCTGGAGTGACGGGTTCTGACAAGGTCGCGACATTCTTGAACGTGATAGTGCACCGAAGCTCTTCGCCCGCAAACACCGAATGTTCATGAAAGCGGACGACTACATGAATGTCCGAATGCATGCCACGCCTGGGAGGCTGGAGGCTCAAGGATCGAGGATCGAGGATCGAGGAGATTGGATAAACAACTGGGGTGATATGCAGGGGTGGAGGATTCCGCAACCAGAGTTGGTGCAAGAAGACAGTTCGATGTTGAACACGGGAGAACCTCGGCCACTTGCGAGGTAGATGCTGTATCCGTACTCCGTACTGAATCAATCAGTATTTACACGTACGTGGAAGAGGTATGTCGAACCCGAAGGCGACATTCAAGTTACCTGGTAGGTACTTGACTCACGATCGAGGGAATAGCCACCTAATAGCTAAGATCTATGGGGTCGTCGATGCCTGCGACAACACTATCTACAATTTGCCGCGAGAGTGAGGTCCGGAGACACTTGTAGCCTCGATGCCGGATTTTGCAAGAAGCTACCTAAGCCATCGACAAGCCTGCTGACGGTGCCTGGTACAGCAGGTATCATGCCACTTTGACGAGGCCGCTTGGCAAGTGGCTGCGAGGGATTGTCCTCTACGGGTCCGCTGAGCACTCAGGAAGGCCTCCTAAGCCTTGCCGCCCGTCCCTAGTCTGGCACATCGGCCTCGTAACCCATGCAGCACAGCACACATCTGCCAGTCCGGTTGGCTCAAGAGCGCGACCAAACGGCATCATGATGTGACTGTTGAACGGCTGTTATCGTCCGTCTCACTGATATTGGACGTGCCATGTACACCCTGCGCTCACACAGAGATCCCTACTCGGGTAGCAAGCTTTTCTGTCACCCTGCCCAGTCCATTGTTGGCATAGAAATCCATCGGATATGTTCCACCTTCCTTTTCCCAGCCTTGTCTCTCGCCCAACACCACCAAAGCCTCATACGGCGTCAGTAACGGTCGAGGAAACGCATAGCCCCAGTCAATGCTTAACCGAGGACAGGCAATCTGCACCCAGCAGTCCACGTCCTCGAACAGGGCCAGCTTCCCCGGGAAGATCTCACTGAGGAGAAGGTTGACATATGGTATGCCCTGTTCGTTCAGATGGCTTTCAATCATGGTCATTGTATGAGGATTTCCCTGCCGCCCCAAAGCACCCAGTATCAGACCCCACTTCTTTGCTTTTTTCGCCGTGTTGATGGCAGCAGATCGCATGGCCAGCATCTCCTCGTGGGAATATGTCTCTCGGGTCAGTTTGCGCGAGTATGGGTCGTATCGATAGGCAGGAATATCGGGATTCGCAATCATCGCAGCTTCCAGGTGGAAGTGGCCGTCTCCCAGGTAGAGTATCAGATCAACGTTTGCATCTGGAGTGATTTTGGGAGCGGTACAGCCCAGCACTTCGCCCTTGCTCAATGGCATGACTTGGGGCACCACCAACTTCAGACCCTCGGCCTCGAGCGCCGGTCTGATTGTATGCAGGGTGGAGTTGAATTGGATTGTACCCACCATGGCGATCGTTTTCCCCGGCGGAATGTTTCGAGACAGTGTGCTCACCAGATGTTTGATGTCGATAGAAATGTCCACGAAGATGTAGAGGGTGGCGATCTTGCTGGACGACACCGGTATCAGGCAGCTGTGGGCGTAATGGACCAGCAGATCGCAGCCCAAGGCTCGCGCTGTGTAGTCATCGATGCAGCATGCGCCATATGTGACATCGCCCATAATGAGAGTCTCCGTCCCGGGACAAAACTGCGTCAGGATGTCGGAGATGGTGGTGGCGAACATAAGGAGGCCCTCCGGGAATTGAAGGGCGACTCTTTTCGCCTGCAGAGTCCGGATTCGGTGTATGGTTTTTGGTATCTCGAAGCTGTAGTTGTGAGGTAGTAAGCCGACGGCGGCCTGGATGTCGGCGTCGTCGAGGATGTCTTGTGGCACTTGATTCAAAGCCCGCGGCGTCTTGCGCTGGGCTGTCTCTTGTTAGCATGACTCAAGCCGGAGGCGTATGGCTGTAGAATTAAATACCTCTCGCAACGACAGCAGTCGTCTCCTCCACTGACGAACTTGCATCTTGTCTCTGTCTTGCCTGCGCTTCTGCGGTCCTCCTCCCCACGAAGCGTCTCTTCGGGGTCCTGCTGGCGGGGATGTTGTCTCCAGATCCCGGAAATGCGCCCGGCATCGACGGCTGCTCCGTCTCCATCGTCAGTTCAAACAATCTCAGTCACTCATCAAGGCGCCAGGTCTTGGGTCGGTCATGGTCGGTCAGTCAGTGGACTTGAAAGCGGCATCTCAAAATTCTCGCGATCATCTCCGAAGGCGCAGCCACAGAATGCGGGGAAGAAATACGACACCTACAGAATTAAAAGAACAGCCTGGCGGCCGCATCTTCATTACCGTTACTCTGTATCTGTATACGGTATCTACTCAACCCTCTCCCTCCTCCCCCCCCGCCTCGAACCCTCAAAGACCATGGTCACGACATCCGGCTTCTCTAATGCGCCTGTCTCACGATTCCTGATCCTTGGCTGCATCTGCACCAGCATCCTCTCCTCGGTTCTGGGCATCAAACACCTCCTCCCCATTAAACCCTGGCCTCACCTCTGGCCGTACCTGCAGTTCTCGCGGCTCCTGACATTTCAGACCGCCTACACATCGTCAACAGAGCTACTGTTCTCCGTCGCCCTCTTATACCAGTTCCGCGTGCTTGAACGACTCTGGGGCAGTCGCAAGTATGCGAGTTTCATAGTGGTTTCTTTTTGGCTGCATGTCCTGCTTGTCCCAGCGCTCTCTCTAGTCCTGAAAACAGCCACTCTCGGCGTCTACAACTACGTTCCCTCGGGCTTGACTGCTGTGGTGTTCGCGGCTTTGAGTGTCTGGGGAGACGAGATCCCACGGCTATACCGGTACAAGATCGTCACAGGCACCGGCACGACGTCAACGTCTGCTGGCAGCGATGCTACCCAAGCACACCAAGTGCCCGGGATTGTCCTGAGCGACAAATCCACGACCTATGTCCTTGCTGCTCAGCTGGCGTTGAGCCAGTTTCCATACCAGTTGATGCCGGCTGCAGTGGGATGGGTGGTAGGAAGTGCTTGGATGGGAGAGCTGTTGCCCGGCAAGCTGAACAGGTGGAGGGTCCCGTCATGGATGGTGGGGGAGACAAGCAAAAGGAAACAACGTGGGCAGTATGAAGGGTTGAGGAGGAGACTGGAGGAGGAAGGGAGCTCGGCGGATGGAATGAGAAATGTTAGTGACAATGTGCATGCCGGACAAGATGATGGACGGAGAGGATTTGGGAGGCAGATCATGGGATATTTCACAGGGTCTTGAGAGAATAGATCCAAGAATGCGCAGCATCGTGTATCATGCATCATGCATCAACCTGAAAACTGCTTCTCTCAACTGATCAGTTGCGTATGCTGGAACCCCAAATATCCGCTTTGAGCCCGGTGGAATGGATCTTTGCGAAACAGAAGAGAGGTACAGGGGACAGAAGTAACTCTCAAGCAACCAGCACGCCGCGCGAGACTCCGTAGAGCGCGCCGATTCCCTTTTCCAGTCAATTTTCCAAATCCAAATCCCAATCCACATCCACCGGATCCGATAGTATACTAGTCTTTTACATCGACGACCACTATTAGTGAAGACGCCCTCGCCCGTTCCATCGACGACCACTATGAAGACGCCCTGGCACGTTCCATCGACGACCACTATTGGTGAAGACGCCCTCGCCCGTTCCATGGCGTGAGATGGAGACTGGCGCCATACATGTACAATACAATATGCTTTTAGCAAGCAAGACTCGAGAGTGAACCGAACGACCTATCGCGATAGAGCATCGTTCGCCGTCGTTCAGTTAGTTTAGTTTGTGATGTTTGATCCCAGACGGATGGATGTTCTTGCTTTTTGTCTCGAATTGAATGCCACTTCAACTTCAACTCCAGCTTCCCCGTCTTCCTCAAGAAGCCTTGAATCCCAGTTCAACTTCAACTCCCCTGGTTTTCTTCAAGAAGCCACTCGTTCCGGGTGGTGTAGTAGTGGACTGTGATGGATTGTGCCAGTTCGTGTAGTACTGGACTGTACTGTGATGAATTGTGCCGGGTCGTATAGTACTGGACTGTGATGGATTGTGCCAGGTCGTGTAGTACTGTACTGTGATGGACTGTGCCAGCTGCGAATTTTGCGTGCGTTGATCAACCGAAATGGGACTGTCATACGACGCAAAACAACGCAAAATGACGGGCATCGCGATTGTCTGTCCTTCTCAGATACAAGGCTCGATAGTGTCCCGGCTGGTACTACCTTCATCCACTCACTCGTGCGTCCTCCGTGCTGGAGAGGAAGAGCGGAGTTTGATGGGTCCTGACGGCTGACGTTTCTGGTGGGCGAGGCTGGGCCGTGCTGCATTGATGAGACTTTGAATGGAAAGCAAATATCGGGAATTGATGGCATTCCCATGCAGATCTAGGATAGGTCTAGAATTGGAGGATCGATAGCATTCTAAGTGGAAAGCTTGTTCGAGGGTGCCACGCGGATCATGTCTCGAACTCGATTCCTGAAGGATCCCTCAACGCTCGACGGACCGTACGAGCCGAGCAGTAGCAAAGAAGAGCAAGTGTCGACCATGACCTTGATTCCTCGCCAACACTTGAATGCTCACGCTTTGTGTGACAGCGGATGAGGAAACTTTGTTCCTCCTTCACTCGTACGAGGTCCCTGTCTTGCGTGGTGTGTATTCTGCAAGGAAGGCCTTCTCATCCATCGCCCAGACCTCTGGCCTGCTCCTCAAAGGCCTGTTTGTACCTCTCGACGGCGTTGGCGAGACTTTTGATGGTGGGACCAAGCAGCTCTTTAACCACGGAGCCGCCGCCATGGATGGCGCTATGGTCGAGTCGATGCCTCCGCCCGGTCTTGCGGAACCGCTCTTCCAGACTGCGCTCCTGAGCTCGAATATGCTCCTGTCTCTCCTTCTCGGCGTCCTCGGCGATGATGTTGATGCGGTCGAGTGCTCGATTAATACTTTCCACGAGCGAAGCCACCTGGTTTGCGCGGGACGCGTCTCCAGAAAGAAACGCATTCCAGAACTGCCTCAGGAATTCGATTGTCGTGGCGTGCGTGATGGTCAAGCGGTCATAGATGGCCGTGCTGAGGCCAGAGGCTTCAGGGATCTCCTTCGTCTGATTTCTATGGGCTTGAATCAAAGAGAGAATGTGGTTCATCGCGGCCGCCGAGCCAGACTCTGACCGCGACATGTCGTCGTCCATCTCCTCATCCTCGGCTTCGTAGGCCTCGATGGGGATAACGCCGGTCCCTGGCTTCGGGAACTGGCGCACAATATCGCCATGGATGTCTTTGATGGCCTTGGACGGATCGAGGCCCCGGAATGGGTTGCTGTCGACTCCATTGGCCGGAAACCCGTCCTGAGCTGAGCGGCTGTCGGAAAAGAAGCGGCTCTGGTCTCGGATGTTCAAGATGATCCGATGCTGCTCTGGGTCACCCTCCAAGTCGCGGAGTCGAAGCCTCTCATATTCAACTTCAGTCATGCCAATAGGAGCCGATGCATCGGTATCCGACGGCGTGACTGCGGCCATGAGCTTCTCACTCAGGGCATTCAGCTTGCGGATGATGGGTGCCTTGTCCAGAGCTGTCGCTCGAAGTTCGCTGTCAGGCCGATTGCCCTTGCGTTGACTGTTATCTTCTTCGTTCCCCTCTAGATCGATGAATTTGGGTATGTGCAGGTCAGTAGATGTCGGTCTGAGTCCGGTTAATTCGGGATGGTTGAGGAACTCGTCCGTGTCGAGGTACTTGTCTCGAGACTCTTTGGTCGGATCGAACTTAAGACCGCGCAGTTTCATGAACAACTGGCTCTGGAAGAATCGGGACCAGAACTCGACTTCAGATTTGCATCGGTGGGGTACGACTTGGTCGTAGATCGTCCGCATGATTGGGTACTGCTCGAAGATGGCACGCACATGATCTTGGGTCAAGCTGAGTTTGGTCCCTCCGTCTTCGCGCCGCAGCTCCGAAAAGACGTTGTACTTGCCTCTGCCCTGATTTTGGGCTATGGCATGCGCCCGCAACAGATGAACTCGCGAGGACCAGAATTGTTGGGTGAACTGCGTGGTGGATATGGAGTCCGGTTTCAGGCTCAGGGCTTCCAAGAACGTCCTCCGCAAATTTGGGTCTTCCTGCATGAGCGACTGCTGTAGCTTGACATCGGTGATCAGCCGCTCGTCGTCCTCCCATAGATTGTTCGTCCGCCCACTGCCCGAGATGGCGTTCGCGATCGTCATGGCCGCCGATTGGCCGCCGGATGAAGCGGCGGCTGCGGCATTTTGAGCGGCTTTCTGGGCTTGAATGACACTTGCCAGAGCGTCCTTGATGGCGTTTGCCTCACTTCTTGGGTCATTTGGCGACGTGAATGTGAAGACATAGGCCACCGGTTCCGACTGGCCTGGAGTCTGAGCAAATATCTTCAGCATCACCTTGGCGCTGGCTTCCGGCGTCTGTTGCAGGTTGGTGATGTTTGCTGCAGACAGCACCAAGGCAGGCGCGGCGTCGGGCGGCTGTGCGGGAGTCCATGACACTGATTTGCGATCTTTCGATATGGCCAGCAGGCCCGGTTGTTTCTTGTATGACGCTTGTCCCTGTGGCGGCGCCATCGCGGCGTCTACCGATCAACAACCTCTCTCGTGGAGAGTCCCGACCCGCCCAAAAGACGGATGGACTGAGATGAACCCCAAAAGCAAAAGGGCGAACTTTGCATGGCGTTCAGAATGTCCAGTGAGCAAGCACTAGACAGGCAAAATCATCTCGACGCGAGAGCGAATTGGCTTGGCTTGTTGTAGGGCCTAGTTGTTAGGTCACTTGTCAATATCGATATCACTCTGTCAAATGAGGTGAATCTATCGTCAATCGAGGGTGCGTTAGAGGTTGGAAGTTGGAAGTTGGAAGAAGTCGAGGTCGAATCTTGGTTCAGCCTGACACTGACAGAGGACTGCTTGAAGTACTTTATTGATGCCAAGGCTAAGCTTGGGAAAACTGCGGGCGGGCTGAGCCTGTTTGGGGAACCGTGTGACGCCGCCCTAAAGACCCAGATTCCGTCAGATTGAGATAGAGATCAAGATCACATTCAATGTCCCTCCTCCATCCTCTACAGCTAGCATTTGGCACAGCACCAGTTAGAAACTACAGCAGACACTGGGGCCAGCCGTACATGACCCAAGGTATTCTATTCAGATGACCATCAAACATAAATCATTGGTTCTCAAGTCAAGTTATATTGTCTATTGTCTCTTGTACATTCCCTGGACTCTGATTTGCGAGCCTTGATGACCCATTCATTATACGACCGTGACCGTCCGCTTTACTTCAGCTGGAGAGCGCTGACGAAGCTCTGAAGTGGCCTTTGGCAGTTTTGCAAATGCCACCCAGACAAACAGCGCACCGACTGCAAGAGCAAAGATGACATTGAGCAGGTACTTGATGCCGAAGCTGTCTGCCATCAGCCCGACGGCGAAAGGCGCAAGTCCCGCCCCGACTTGGCCCAGTGCCGACACCGCTGCGACGGCGCCAACCTGGGCACGTTGGGGGAGCTTGGAAGACAGCAGCAATAACCCAGAGGGGAATATCGGACCACAAAACAGACCGCTACCAACCAGCAGGAGCAGAGAAGCAGTGACACTTGTCACGACTGTGAACAGCACCTGCAGGACCATCAACGATCCTATATAGCCTGCAACCGCCGTCCTCACGCCGATGTACTGAGTGAGCGGACCCAGCGTGAAGCGACCGGACGTCATCCCGATCCAAAACATGGACGTGGCAAGAGACGAGGTGGTTGGTTCTGCATGGCGGGCGCGCTGCATGAAGACGGCAATCCAGTCGGTGAAGCAACCTAGACGATGTCAGTGGCTGGCGCTGGAAGCAATACAAAGGCTAAGGGCCCGGAGGGAGTCTGTTCTTTGATCGCGCACGTACCTTCAAGGCCGACGTAGAAGAAGCAGAAGGCGCCACATATCCACGTAGCCCGATGCTGGAGTGCATTGCAGTTGTGTGGCTCATCCGACTCGCCATGATTCGCGGTGTATCTGTCTGCATTGTCGAAACGGAACGCCAATGCGAGCACAAGGAGTTCCACAACCAGTAGGATGCCCTGGAAAGGTCCAGTCAGTGAATATCCTTGAGCTCGAGAGAAGAGAGAAGATGCTACTCACCGTTGTGCTGTAGAACTCGTACCATTTAAAGCTCCTCTTCAACATCATGTCCGCCACCAAAGGACCCAGAATAGACCCCAGCGAGTACGAGCCATGCATAAAGCCCTGAACAATGCTAGCATAGGGTGCGTTGGCTGCCCACGCAGAAAACCCTGCGTCTGAGAGTCCGATGCCGAACCCCATAAGGAAATATCCCGCCAGGGCAATGGTGAAGGACGGACCTGTCGCCAGGACAGCCATTGCGAGAAGGCGGACCACCGGGGATAGATATGCAATCCCTCTGAGGCCGAGACGGCCATGGATGAGCTCGACTATGACTGTGGAACAGACATAGCCGAAAACCCCGGTAGGGAAGATCAGTGATGTCGTGCCAACCTTGAGACCGTAGAAGTCGCCAATCTATGAAGCATGCAGGTCAATCTCCTCGCCTCGTCGTTACTGGCAGACTGGGGAGTCGACTCACCTCGGGCAATAAGACCTTCCAGGGGTCAGCAACTCCAAGACAATTGTGGTTCACAACGGGCATGTACTTACACCTATGCCAGTCACAACTATACCACAGACCAGAAAATTAAGCATGACAGCCATGAGCTTAAGGACCGGGAATGCAGCGGGATCGAGGGCGATGTCTTTGCCACTCCTCTCAGATGCCAGGCCATGTGGCGGATTCTGCGATGATTCAGGAATGTGGGAATCGGGTTCGAGGAGAGGTTGTCGTTGTCGCTGTCGCTCTGTCTCCCGGAAAGGCTGGGTATCCGGCCGCTGCCATGGGCACCGCATGTCGACAGGCCCCGGGCTATGAGGAACGGCGATTCATGCGAAGTTGAAGTTGATTTTCACTCCCATCATCTTCCCATAACCAAGGAAATATGCAAGAGCAAGACTCGAGGGCAAGCCAGGATGGGGATGGATGTTGTAGCCTCTCAGATCCAAGGCGTGTACTCGGTACCTCGACAGAGAGATAAGTATGGCCAGGTACCTCGAGTTCTTATCAGCAAGCAACATGACATCAGGCTAAGGTTCCGTAGGCCTTGCCTGAGGCTTAGGACCGAATAAGCCCCTTAGCCTTAGGACTTTGACACCAACTGTTGGATCCACAGCGCACCGGCCTCCTGAGGCTTAGCCCCTGTCTCCGAACCGGGCAGGGCGAGCCAAGGTCTGTCATAGATAAGAAGCTGTCTGTCGCTCTGCTCACCGACAAGACTCCTACGACCCTGGATATGTGTTCGGACTGACGAACTTCGGAGGCTTTGCCCGCGCATCAAGCAGTATTGAGTATTGGGACAAGCCAAGTCGAAGTAAGAGAACCGAGATACCACGACCGTGACAATGTTGCCTCGACGGCTAGAATCCCAGCCAGCTCCTGATAACTGACCTTTCGAGGAGCCTTGCTACAAGATCTGATGCTGGTGCTGCAATGCGACACTTGTCCTACTCGAACTCGACGATCTTGTGATGTTATCGATGATATATATGTGATATGATATGGATCGAGACAGCGTTCGCAGACTCCGTCCTCATCAGCAGAAATATTCGGTAACCGGCCCTAGGAGAGAGGTATAGTAGTATCAATTACTTCCGGTCCTAGAAGAGAGGTATAAGGTAGTTCACTTACTTCCAGCCTCTAGAGTGAAGTCACAGAAGTCATACACACCATGGCCACGCACCCGGCACCCTCCTGCACGGCATCGCAACACCAACACCAACTTCACTTTTTCATAACACTAACTTCACCAACCACACTCTTGGCGACCACAGTCTCATATTCATACAGGTGATATATCAAAGTACCAGAATTCTCCTCAACAATTCCAGCCCTGTTGGCTTAGTGGTTAAGCACACTGCTTTAGCAGGCTACCTACACTAAGTCATCTCTGAATTGGGGGGTTCGACAAATGACTTTCTGAGTCGCTTCTTGACATGGTATTTCTCTCTCCGAGGACCTCTACTGATTCCCTGCTGCGCCGTCTGTAAAGGCGAACCTTGCGGGGATGTGACAACTTAGAAGAGTTACCAGCTGCTCAGAGCTGACAATAACGAGGGAATGCCTATCGAACCCCTACTAAAAAAAAAAACCTGGATTTGATTCTAGTTTTCACTTCTCTAATCAGTTCTTCGGGGCTGGTTAGGGAAGTGTTTTTGTTCTTTGCGCTCTTCACGGGGTGCCGGTTAGGGAAGTGTTTTTATCTCGAATCCGTTCTTTACGGGGTACCGGTTAGGGAAGTATTTTTGTTTTTTGCGCTCTTCACGGGGTTGCTGGTTAGGGAAGTGTTTTTGCTCCCTGGAATATATGTTCTGGGATATACATCAAAACAAAAAACAAGGCTGGAAGGTCATTGTATTGATATGAAAGGCAGCAGTCCAAGTTGGTATATTGATTACCTTGGTAGGTACCTTAGTCATACGTCTGACGGAGGTTGAGCTTGAGGCTGTTCTGTATAGACGTCTACTGCCAGTGGTGAAATCAAATTGGATCCAGTCCCATCTGTCGCCGACGGCTGAGAGGGCTCGTCTGTTGTCTATCCGACATTTTTGCAGAACACTACACTGTCGAGTCACTATCTCTCTGTCTAACAGTCCATGGGCGGAATGCCGAACGCTGATAGCAGAAACCGTTACAAATTGACATTGCGATGGTATCGTAGCAACATCCTCATGAAATTCAATTTCTATTGCAGCTCGACCAACCGGTGACACCAAAGCGACCAATATACATAATAGATTCTAGATCCTATCCCATCGTAGAGACCTTGATCATCTAGTTTTCCCAATCTGTCAGTGTGGATGTTGGACATTGTCGCGTCGGTCGAGGCCCGGGCCTCCTCTCTATTATGTCTTGACCCAACCTCCTCTCTATGTCTTGACCCGACCTCCTCTCTATGTCTTGACCCGATTCTATTATTGAAGGCTCATTCTTGACTTGTATATTTGGAATATTGCCGCCATCGCGACCCGTACCTGAAGATCAAGACGGGAATTGGAGCCGCGACCAGGCTGGCGGCGGCAAAGACGGTGAACCCCCATCCATAGCCGAAGCGATCTACCAAGGGCTGCGTGGCCAGCGGGAGGAAAGTGCCCATCAGGCATCTGGTGACGATGACCGCGGTCACGGCCGAGGCCGAGTGAAGCTTGAAGGCGTCGACTATGTAGGTATACACCGGGATCATACCCAGCATCGCGGTAAGTCCGAGTAAGCCTAGTGTGATGATCAGCAGCCATAGCGGCAGCCGGGCTTGCGCGGTCCAGCCGTAGAGGATGACGACGAAAGGTACAGTGAAGCCGCCGACGATGACCAGCGGCAGACGGAACTCGGGCAGGCCGACCCCCTTGTTTCGCTTGCGCATCTGGATGTAGATTCGGTCCAGGAGGCGGTTGATGATGACGACGCTAACGCCGGAGCCAACACCTGCGAAAAGATGTGAGTCAAGATTCGAACCCAGATTGCAGCCCCGGTCCTCGACCGAAGAAAGGACGGAGGAGAGCGATTTGAGGCTTGTCTTCTTGCGTGCTTGCTCACTTACTGAAACTGACAAAGGTCGATCCCGTCATGGCCGGCGATAAGCCATAGACGTCCTCAAGGATGTCCGGGAGAGAGGTGGACATGATGTAGAAGTAGGCAAAGACCATGGACCCGAACAGCGACAGGATCTGTAAGACGGACGAGCTGTAGAAGACGACGGCCGGTCTCATGATCGAGTCCCAGAACCTGTGTTGCGTCTCGGCCGTCACGTCCGCGGCGAAGACGGTGCGGAGCCGGGGATTGTCTGTTTCCCGCCGCAACCTGGCGGCGCGGCGCTTGAGGATGGCCACCTTGTACGTTTCACGGAAGCAGGTGAGGAAGGCGACCTCGCAGCTACCGGCTAGGATCACGCTCATCCACAGGACCTGGCGCCATCCCAGACTCTGGGAGACCGCACCCGAGATGACGGGGCCGACCGCACCGCCCAACAGGGGGGCGATCATGACTATGCTCATGGCCGAGCCGCGCTGGTCGGAGACGAACATGTCGCCGACAATGGCGGGACAAAGGACGTTCGAGGCCACTGCAAGCCCGGTCAGCGCCCGCGCGGCAATGAAGAGCGGCGTGCTCTGGCACAGCGCGGCTAGCATGGTCGCGGCGATGAACAGGACGTTGGCCACGTTGAAGACCGGATACCGCCCGAACATCTCAGACAGGGGCGCGATGAGGAGCGGGCCAGCAGATTCGCCGAGTTCCCAGATGGTGACGAGCAGCACGCTGGCCGACTTGCTTGCGTGGCCATGGCTCAGCTCGAACACGATTTGGTTCGCCACCGGCACCATGGAGATGCAGGTGAAGGTCCTGCGGAGAGGAGCTCGTCAGTGCCTCGTGCCAAATCAAACCAGGAAGTAGGAGGACGCATATGTGGGAGCATACACGGTGAACGCCATGAAGGCCAGCAGCGCGACAATGCCCCATTTGTACGCCGCCGGCCAGTCCAGCGGATTCTCCTCGTCGCCGGCAGGATCGAAGTCTACTATGACCACATCGTCCGGGGAGGATGGTTTATTGTCGGCATCTTCGTCGGCGCTCGGTCTGCGTAGCAACGGCTGGGTCTCGTCTGTTGTGGCCATGGTGTTGTACTACCAGTACTGCATCTTGAGGGTTTGGGTGGTAGGTCCCCAAAGTATGTGTATGTAATACACACTCATCGCCCAGACAGCCACACCAAGCACGCAATTAATAATCGCCAGAAAACTCGATCACGCCGTTCTCACGCCCTTCGCACGATGCAACATCGATCTGACCGTCTGGCTACAAAGGCCGTACACATGATTACTGATCTTACTTTAGGTAGTTGAGGCCACCTCTCTCGCCCAGCCTCACGCCTGCCTGAGGCAAGGTCGAGAAATGTAATAATGAACAATAGTAATACAATAGAATCAATCTCCAGCCTTGGCTGGACAGCCTCGGATCTTCTCGACCTCAATCAGGAGGTGTGGCCAGGGGCTGTGTATCTAGACCTTCTAGCCCCATAGTCAATATCGTCATCTGCCGGGTCATCTTTGACCATCGTCGTTGATCCGCTCACACTACATCCGGCGACCAGCAGCAAACTTCCGGGCAGTAATTCGGGTGGTGTATGCTAGATGGGCCAGTCGCGGAGATTCGAATTGCCGCCAGCATGTTCAACGCAGCAGACCCTTGATCACGAAGAGATACCCCAGCTCCTGTCGGGTGCATCCTCCATGTCTTCCAAGGCGTCGGCTCAACGAGAAGTTGTCGTCTGTGATGACCGTACCCATCCCTGAGCGTGACGGCGTTTGCAGAGGAGCAAGCTGGTGCAGTGCCCTACCAAGGTGTCCATGGCCCGGATCAGGAGTTACTGACCGATGTACGGCGATAAGTCAGCGCTCTACTTCCCTCCACGCCCCAAGTCGTGATGCGCGCTCGTAATTCCGTGCTGGTCAACGTTGGGACCGTCTTCAGAGCTCCAATTTCTGGGGTTTTTGTCTGGGAGACGATTCCACGAGTTTGTCTAGGGCCTCAACCTCCTCTTTCGACAAGAGCTGATGTTGTTCCTCCGCGGGCCGTGACCGAAGCTCAACATCTAAGCCAGCCTGTTGCAGCGTTGTGACGAACAACTGCGCCCGGCTCATCTTCTTCTGGGCTTTGGTCATTGGTGGCAAGCCTTCACGTTTCCGTCGACGCCCTTCTTCTGTCAAGGACTGCTCTGCCTCCTGCCGCGCCGATTCGCGTATCCGTTGCAGCTCTGTCCGCAGCCTCTGGTCAGCCGCCTGTGGTTTTCTCTTCTCTTCGCCAGCTTGTAGACGTTGCTGCTCTTCTTGGGCTCGTAGTTGTCTTTCCCTTTCGGATTCAGCTTGCAGCTGCCTCCTCTCCTCCTCTTGGGCTCTTCGTCGTTCCTTGTTCTCCATCACAATTTCCAACTGTCGTGCCTCTTCTGCGGCGATCTCTTGACGTCTTTGCTCTTCTCTTTCCGCTTCTAAACGAGCCCTCTGTTCTTCCGGTATGGCACCCCATTCCGCTTTGCGCTCGCTGTCCGCTCTTTGGTGGTCCACGGTTTCGTCGTACTCGAGCGGGTTGAGCCTAGCCCATTGTCTCAAGAATTCACGTCCGTCCACTTTGTCCGGCGTGTATGAGGTGCCATCGGAACGCTCCTGGACTCGAGTCGTACGTTCCATCTCCAAGGTCACGAACGGCGTGAGCTATTGCAGGGTTAGCGACGAATATTTCTACTCAGAAAAGGCCGACAGACCGAAAAGCCCTGGGTGTCGGGTGCATTGAAATATGGTGTTTTCCGCCAGTCGACAACATAGCCACCGAACTCGGTGTGCGAACCCATGGATCCAGTTCGGTTTCCTCGATAGAATCCGCGAGCGACATCTTTGGTGGTGAACCGGAGGCGGGCACAGAGCTGGGGCGAAGGTCTGACCATGGTGGTAAAAGAGACACGGGCAGGGCCCTCGTCTTCCTTGCTGCAACAATAGTGGTGTCTTGGAAATCTATTGCGTTGCGAAGCGCTCGAGGGAAGCAACGCAGGCACAGGCACAGGCACAGGCACAGGCAGAGGTACGGGCAGCACAGACTCAATGGAAAAGTTCGGCCAAAGCCATGGAAAGTATCCGTACGGAGTAGTACTACTACCAAGTGGCACCTAACTCCCGTCTGTAGTGGCGCTATAGATTAATTAGGATTAGAGGACCACTAATACTAGTACTTGCCGCTAACCCATTTTGGGACGAGATCGATGCCGCCCTGTGTTCACCTCAGGCTCGACGTCGTGTCTTCCGCCTACCTAGGTACTAAGTACCTAGATCTCTCGAGCGGCTTCTTGCTTCGATGTGTTCAAGAGTGATATTCCTGGAGGATGCAGCTGTGTTTCCAGTGAAGTTCTCCCATCTTCTGTTTCACAGTGCCTTTTCAGTCGCCGAGCAGTGATTTGACCTCATCTGGTGTGCTAGCAGGTTGGAGCCTCCTTTTATCCGATTTTGGCACATTTGGGCGGTGGGAACCAAGTGAATGAAACCGTTCTCGTTGGGGGAGTCGGACACCATGTCTTGGGTGTTAAGAAGTCTCTCATGCAGCATTCTGCCCTCTTCCAATCTTCCAAATCATCTATCAGAAGTCGACCGGGATATGCAGCACCTTTGAGTCTGATTGTGTTAAAGAAATCGAAACACTCAACTGTTGGGCGGCAACACGGTGCGGTGGTCTCTCGTTCGAAGTTGATATGAAGCGATCTATTGCCCCCAGATTCTTGAATCCCAGGAGAGCCGTCTGAACCCTGGGGAAATGTCTGAAGGTCGGTGATTGTAAAATTGTTGAGGCCATCGTAGAATGTTATGGCGGACGACCTTCTATTTCTAAACGGACTCCTGGCACTAATATTCTTCGATCCACAGTTGTCCGTCTCCGAAGGCCAGCCAGTCTGACAAGTGAGGCCTTCTGTGCAATTAAGTTTTGGGTGCGAATATAAATCGCAGTGTTTTAGTTTTTTGGGAGTGGTTGAGGCTTGATGCATGACACCACAGATGACAAGTATCGCACAGAGGACAAATAGCGAACACAGCTGAAAGATTTCCATTTTAGTCGCCATGATGTTGAAGAAGATTAATGAGGTTGAGAAGGTTGGCGTAGACAGCCTGACAATATCACAGGTTGGAACAGAGTTGCCCAAGTCTGAGAGGATCAGAAAGTGAGAGTTGGAGAGGAAGGGCGAACAACTGAGAGATGAAAGCGAAGACTGCTCGTAGAAAGAGATGGGTTGGGCGCCCTATATAGTCTTTTCTGCTGGATCGCCACGCAGGCAGCAGGTCCTCAGTGAAACCACCAAAGTTTTCCAGATCAACGAAACTTTTTTGCTGCCGGCCTGTAGGCGCGATATGTCTCTGTCGGAGGACTAGGTCGAGTCAAAAACGCTTGATCCAAGTTCAGAGTGAGAGTGAGTGACTAGCGAACACCTTGTTCGCTCGAGATCATGGTAAATGTTGACGCTGGAAAGAGCTTGCTTCGTTGTGGAGAGTCTATGGTAAGGTCGAAGCGCAGTCAGTGGTACCAGAGATGCATGCTGTGTGCATCCTTCCGTTCTGAGATTGTTGTAGTCTTGTCCTGGTCCATTTGGCCTTGGGGGCATCGCCCCCAAATTTCCACCGACGCCACGGGGAGGCAGGATCCATGTCGGCATAAGGATACTGGAAGGATATAGAGTCTCTTAGGAAGTTCTGAGAGGAAAATAGGAGTAATGATAGACTCGAAGACAACGGCGGCCGCCCACACTATCATTGATATTAGTAATTGAACGTCTTTGATATCAGGGCTTTGAATGATTTACCGTTCTCCTCGAGCTCGAGGTCCAGGTCGTCGAGTTCTATGGCCTCAGGGGCCGCCGCCGCCTCAGGTTCACCCGAAGCAGCCACCAGAGCGGGTCTCTCCCTGCGACGGTGACGACCCCGTCGCCAATCCTCCCAACGGCCTCCCCTCCACCGAGACCAAGCCTCCCTGGCTGCCTAAGCCAAGATAGGTGACACAAAAATGCCAATGGCAGTTATAACAACTCCAGCCTTGTCCCATGGGGACTTGGCGGCCTCGCCATCGTATGGCACGGAATTGTTCATGCTGCTGGCGTACGCCCGTTGGAACAATATAGTTGTGTACGTTGGGAACGGTACTTAACGGTACTTACGTGTCACTTGTGGTTTTGTAACTGAAGAAAGGAAAAGAAGAAGAGAAAGCAAAAGCGGAAGTTATAGAAGTACGGATACTCCGTAGGCAGGTGCGAAGTGACTGCTGGGGATGGCGTCATAGCCTTTATGCAGTCTTTATCCCTACCTGGTACACTTGGTAAATGGTATTTATTTCCAAATCCGTTGTACTTTACGCCCTCTCATATACCGGGAGGCGGCTGGTCTATGAGGATCCCTTTTGGCAACCCTTTTAGCTCGCGAAGAGCGATAGAAAAAGACCCCTTTTTTTTTGGAAGAAGATCTATTGTAACTCATATCTGAACCATTACAATACCATTCTAACTCGCCCCCATGAGGCCGCGGGCAGAACTAATCCAAGCAACATTGAAGAGGATCAAATCTCCTCCTTGCCGACGTCGGGTCCCTTCTTCATGCCAGCCACGACTTGGACGGTTTCTCCATACTCCTCGCCACGGAGGGATCGTGTTTCGGCGGGACCAAAGGTGCCGAAATAATCCAGGTCGTCGACGACTCCGAGGCCAGCGACGGGCGACAGCTTGTTGAGGGCAAGGTAGGTCAGGACTGACAAGGTCAGACCCAGCGGGTAGGAGATGTAGTAGAGATGCGACCAGCCCGACAGTTCTTTGGCGGTGCCGTAGCGCACGAATTCGGCAAAGCCGGGCAGGTTTATCCAGACGCCCATGGCCCAGGCAGCCAGCGCCCGCCAGTTCATGCCCAGCCAGTACCAGTAGATGCTGCCGGAGTTGTTCTCGTACAGGTCGGTCAGCTTGATCAGGCGTTTGCGCAGCAGGAAGTAATCGGCAAACATGACGCCGGTCATGGGGCCGAGGAAGACGCCGTAGCCGCCCAGGACAGTGAGGAACTTGCTGGCGCCGTTGAGAAGCTGCCACGGCTGGACGATGAAGGCGAGCGCCGACATCAGCAACATGCCGCGGCGGATGGTGAAGAAGCGCGGGAACAGGGCGGACAGGTCGATTCCGGCCGAGAGGCCGTTGTTGGCCACCACCATGCCAAACTGGGCGACCATGAAGGAAAGAATGCCGAAGGCGACGGCCGCGCGTGAGCGGGACGAGTTGTCGTAGTGCTGCTGCAGGGCGCTGAACAATTCATACGGCGCCCAGAGCAGGGTGCCGTTCTGCTCGGGGAACAGCTGTGCGGCGCAGGAGGTGCACAGAATGCCTATCAGTGCGACGACGATGGTGCCCAGGGGCACCATGACCAGCTGGGCCAGGATCTGGTCCTTGGGCTTGCGCGCATAGCGGGTGTAGTCGGACTGCACGAAGATGTGCACGCTGATGGAGCTGATGTTGGTGCAGATGCCCAGCACCATCATCCAGCCCAGGTGGCTGCCCTTGGCCTGGGTGACGCCGGCGACGCCGCTCACGTCGTGCACGAGCGATCCGGCGCCCTTGGCCGTGGCGGTGAACCAGATCAGACAGACGAAGATGGTGGGGATGACCAGGATGCACGAGATCAGAAACGGGATCTTGTACTTCTCCGGCCGGATCCACACCAGCGGCAGGTACAGGACCGTGAAGATGATGAAGGAGGTGAAGTCGCCGGTGGTCATGGTGCCGTTGGCCAAGGGTTTGTTGACATGGGCGAACGACGGCCACAGGGCGGTCAGGAAGACGCGCACACACTGGCCGCCCCAGTAAACCTGGGTGGAGAACCAGATGCAGGCGAGGAAGAAGCGCTGGATGACGATGAAGATGAAGCCGTTGGTGCCCCACGAGCAGCGCTGGATCATGGGGAAGCCGATGTGCCATTTCGCGCCGGGGGCGCCGCTGCAAATGCACAGCAGGGCGACGAGCAGGTTGCCGATGATGACGGTCAACATGGCCTGCCACACGTTGAGGCCCAGGGCGATCAGCGACGAGCCCGTGGTCCAGCCGCCGATGTTGAAGGAGCCGGTGATGACCCAGAGCGAGACAAACTCCCACGGGCCAAACGTCCGCCTCTCCGGCTCCAAGGGTCGAGTGTCATGGTTGGCGCGGTTTGCCAGAGTCCCCTCGTTACTGCCCTTGACCTCGAGGCGCCGGACCAGTCTTTGCAGGGCGCTCATCTTGTCTTGAGTTGTCGATGGTGGTGCAAGGCAAGGGTCGGGGGTTGGAATGGAAATGGAAGAACAAACATCCCTTCCACCTCGCTCTCGCAGGGGCCGAAGAGGGCTACTTATTCCTCGCGATCACCGCTGCTCTGAGATAGAGAGATAGCAGCATTCTGCCTTTTGCCTCTTGCAGCACAGCACGGCGCGATATCGACCGCCGCCCGCCCTTCTGGACAATGATCATTATCGCGGGATTGCAGTTATCGCTGCAACATTAGCAATTTTCGTGTGCTTCTCGCAGCCCCGTCGGCGGTCGACAGTGGAGAGTCCCGCCGCGCAAAGCCTCGTGGTGACTCGCGTGCTGGCTGGTCCGCTAATCAGCGGCGGGCATCTTATCCAGATTCTCCCGTTTACCAGCCTCGAGCCAATCAGTCGCGCCAGATCTCCATCATGGTGGTATCCGTGTGTAAACAGGGTTATTACAGGGTTAATCAGAGGTTAGTACTATCCGTATATTACATTATCGCACCCACTAGCATTGATGGGCCGTGAATTACCCGTTTAGGCGCTGGAGGGCCAGGCCTGGCCCGCCTGTGGCTTTCCGCCTCCAGAGTCCTGCAATTAATTAATCTGTTGAAGCGGGTGAGTTGCTAATAAGCTGATAAATGGGCCATTGTGATTGATATCACATTCGCAGTGGTGGTTACTATTCGTGGTGGTTATCTGTATCTGTCTCTGTATCTTGTATCTGCTCCCCTTTGCCCTTTGCCCTTTGCCCGCTGCCCACTGCCCACGCTATCTTCCTTATAGTACTAGTAAGTTGAGCATGAAGTACTCCGTAAAGACAACCCTACCCTACCCTACCCTACCCTAGACCGTGTCTGTCTGTCTGTTTGTTCTTTAGAGTTGTGTTGACTGATTGTTCGGTCTGGTTCAGGCCCTTGTTCGACTGTTGTTCCCGTTTCTTCCCACGTCGATCCATGTTCAACCGTTGTTATTTCCCACGTCGATCCTAGGAACCACGAACCACGAACCCGAACCACCTGAAGACCAAAGACCAAGACCATGTCTTCGACCACCACTACTCACGAGGTTGAGCCTCGCACAACCACAATCACCTTGACCAACGGCAAGACCTTCACCTTCGAGTCGAACGTCTCCACGACCGACGAGCAGATCCCCGTCATCGATGTCGCGCGCATGTACAGCCCCAACCTGGAAGACCGACAGGCATTGGCCGATGAGATTCGGGAGGCCGCGCACAACATCGGCTTTCTGTGCATCGTGAACCATGTAAGTACTGCTTTGGTTCAGTATTGTGCTGTTTTGTACTCTGGGACTGTGCAAGGCAAGGCAAGGCAAAACAAGGCAAAACAAGGCAAGCCAAGCCAACGCAGTGCAAAATAAAGCATGGCTGGCTGACTGGCTGACTGACTGGCTGACTGACTGGCTGGCGTGTTTTCTTCAATTTTTTTCCCCGAGAGCTCAACAGCTGATCATCTTCTCGTGACAATACTAGGGAGTTGACATGAACCTGGCAGACCAGGTGCTGGATCAAGCAAAGGCGTTCTTCGCTCTTCCCGCCGAGAAGAAGATGCAAGTGTGTACAGAGTTGATGCCGGACGAGTATTGCGGCTATCACCCCATGCAACACTATAACCCCAATGGCTGGAAACAGAGAGGTCGGTCGAACGCATGCTGGAAAACCCGTCGACTCTATTTTGATCGGTCGAACTCGTTCAGCTGACGTTTATCTCCGTCTGTTTTTCAGATCTGTATGAAGCCTACAACTGGAACTACAATGCAGCCAGAGATCCCGAATTCCCCGACCCCTCTATCCCCGAGATCAATCTTTGGCCAACAGAGATGCCGGACTTCCAGGAGCGGCTCTGTGCATACCAAACAGAAATGATCCGCTTCGCCCGCAGGCTCACGCGCATGTTTGCGTTGGCCCTCCATATCCCCGAAGACGCGTTTGATGACGCGGTGCGCCGGCCCGAAGCGGGAGCAAGGATCTTGCACTACCCGCGACAAGAGGCCTCCCGGGACGAGCAGAACGGGATCGGAGCACACACCGACGTCGAATACTTCACCATCATCACCGCAGATACCGAAGGCCTGGAGGTGCTCAGCAAGTCTGGCCGCTGGATCAAGGTCAAGCCGACCCCGGGCTCTTTCGTCGTCAACATCGCAGACTGTTTCATGCGGCAAACCAACGATTTCTTCGTAAGCACCGTGCATCGAGTCATCAACGAAAGCGGACGCGAGAGGTATTCCGTCCCCTTCTTTTGGGGCTTCGACAGACAGAGCGTCATCAATCCTATCCCAACCTGTGTCGGCGACGGAAATCCAAACAAGTACCCTGTCATGACCGCCGGCGAATATTACTTGTGGAGGACGAGAACGCAAAAGAAATCCTGGAAAATCGGAGAGGGCAAGGCAAATGCTTAGGTGGCGATGTGCAATTAAAGAATAAAAAGGATAGGAAAAGTTCCATTCCGTTCAATTCCAGTTCATCGGGGGCCGTGAGGGGCCGTGAGGGGCCCGAGGGGCCGGAGGGACCTGAGCGATCAGAATACTTGAGCATGTTCTGCCCAGTCCCAGTCCCACGGGATGCGTTGTAACAGCTCGAAAGGGACGAATGTCTCTTCCAGATATGGCTGTGCACGGGCAACGGCGCCATCGAACTCCTGTACATCATTGGTCTCCCGCGATTCCGGGCATACTGTAGGCCCGAGGAAGCGATCGATCTCTTCGACGTATGCGCGGAGTCTGCGGCCTGCCTCGGCGGCAGCCGAAAGGCAAGACGCGAGGTTTTCGAGTAGTTCCGACATGCAAAGCCTAATTAGACCAAGTTAGACACAGACACGACGCAAGAAGAGGGAGGTTGCAGTCGCACATGACGGTTCTCAAGTGCTGGTAGTCCGACCGGGGCAGTTCTTTCTTGATGAAGCTGCTTAGAATGTGACCAAACCCGGCGAGCTCTTGTAACTAAGGTAGACAGACAGTCTCAGCGTCAATGGAACAAGCAAGTCCGGATCCTAACCAGAACTCGAGGAAGGCCCTACCATTGCCAGGCCCATGGCTCGGAGGTACTCGAGAGGAATGGCCGATATCTCCTCGATCAACTCCAGGGCCGTTTCGCATGCCTTGTGGAATGTCATGTCGTTGGCGGTGAATGACAACATCCGCATGAGCTTGCTGTGTCAGCTGAAACATAATGTGTCTATGAGGTACACACAGGTTCGATCCTTACCTGATACGTGCATATGATATTCGCGGCCTGGAACCCACAGCGGTTCTGGCGAACGTCGCGTGAGATGCCACGAGCTCGCTTGAACCGACTGGGCAGATTGGACAGGGCCACGGCTAGCGGCATCAAAATCTTCTCCTGAGGGTCGTAGTCGAGGAGGAATGCCGTCGATAGACTCCTGTTCTCCTGGCTGGCCAACGTCCGCCCGGACTTGAAGTACGAGATGAGGTGCTCGATACCTCGATATATGTCTGTGATGAAATTCCACCCACTGAGCCACTCAGAGTCGGCAGCCGATTCCGTAAAATCTTGATCCGGCAGCATTGGATAAGAAATGGCAGATTGAAGCTCTGGACAGCGTACCGCATGTCCCAATACCAGAGATGTATGCACCTCGAGGCGATACATGTGCCAGTAGAGCCTTCTTCGTTCTTCCCTCTCAATGACAGATATGGAGCTGGGCCAGCGCCTTTCGTCATAGAATCCCGGTTCTGCAACAGCTCCATGGTAGAGGCCGAGGAACTGTTGCAGCAAAGGTGCATTCCCGCGTTCACGCGCGTTGAGGCATATAATTCCAACGGCCTGGAGGTATTCAAAATCCAGAGATTCACCAAAGTTGCCCGGAATAGCTGCGAGGGCTTCATCCAGATAGATGTTGGGATGCAGGTCCTCGTCAATATTTCGCGTGGAAAAAGTGGCACCGCTTGTGATTCGGTAGGCACTCAGCGCGCACATGGACATGAGCTTAGCGTAAGATGCTCGGCCGCGAGGCACATCGTTCCGGTGCCACCGTTCCATGAACAACTGCTCGTGAATGGTGATGGCCCTGGTTGAAGTTAGCAAGAACCCTTGGCAGCAGACGCGAGGCAACTACACTGGATATACAGATTCGAAGAAGTTGTCGAGTAGAATCTGTATCAGATCTCTCGACCCATGTTTGCTATCATCCAGGGTCCATAGCTTGTCAGGGGACTTCAGGTTGCGAGGTTTGGCACCTCGTTTGGCGGATACTCGATTCCATGTGCAAGACACTCCGAACTCAACACAGGTCAAGCACCGAGAGCCGTCAGCAGAAGACAATCTGCATCGGCGGCCCCTCCGATGACAAAAGTCGCAGGCTTTTATGGCACGCCTTTGCTTGACTGAACCCCCCGGGAGATCTGCCATAGGTTGACGGTCGTAAGGTGACAGTCGTACCTTGGAGACTTCCCGATCGCGATTGGGTCACTCTGCTCCCTTCGCTGTAGACAAGATCGGAAGGTCAGGAACTATGCATGTTCGAGTATCATGAGGCTGGCAGCGCAGGGGGCGGGACTGGAAGGGAGCGCGACAGGGGAGCCTTGCTTTGAGAGCCTTAGCTGTCTCAGTAGTTCAGCCTTGCGGTCGAACCGATAGAAGGACGGAGTATGTTACAGGGTTACATGTATGGTCGTAACAGAGTACGGAGGACTACAGACTCACTAATACAGAGTACTGTGTACCAAGTAGGACTAGCTCGCCAAGAGTGTTTATCTCCGGGCAGGAAAACTATTATGTCCGAGCAACATTTTCCTGCGCATGCTGGAGTTTCATGCTGCGTCCTGGTCAAACCACAACCACTGTGATTATACGCTGCCATACAGCGTAAGCCACCATGCCACGTCAAGCGCATGGAAGGCCCATCCAGGCCGGCAAAACAAACAAACCGGCTAAGAGACGAGCGGCCAAGAATCGCACGCTCAACGCCCTACAGATTGCAGAACAGGAAAATCTAGATGAAGTCAAAATCCCACAACACCGCCTGGGAACGATCGAGGACGATGACGAAGGGGCCCGAAGCCTAGAAGAAGCCGACGAAAGATCGTCGAAGAGGAGAAAAATCGATACCCCGGGCGAAGACGACTCTGCAGACGAGGGCTCAGATCCAGAGGGTCACAGGTGGCACGTTGGCGTCGATGAGGACGATGAAGACAGTGATATTGACAGCGAGGAAGCCTTTGGCGAGAGTGATGAAGAGCGCTTTGCAGATTTTACATTCCGTGGCAGTGCCGATACCACTGTCGGGCCGAAGAAGCGTCGCGCATCTCGAGACCTTGATCTGAATGACGGCGAGACTGGGGACCAATCAGGAGATGAAATTGACGACGATTTTGGAGAGGAAGGTGTTGACCTAGCCACTGCCTGGGACATGGATGATCAGGATGAGAAGGAGGCAGCAGAAAAGAAGAAGCAGAAATCCCGAAGACAGAGAGGGGGTGACACGGACGACGACGACGACGATTCTGGGTTGACATCGGCGTCCAGTGAGGAAGATTCCTCTCATGCCGATGACGACGAAGAGTCTCAGCTTTCCATCTCTGATGATGAGGGCGATCATTCAAGACTACAGAGTTTTGTCGAAGGACTCTCCAACGATCCTCAGGCAAAATCGCGTCGGCAACGCGACGTCCAGAGTTTGCCTGACAAGCCTTCTCAATTCGGCCTTAGCTCTACCAAGATCTCAGCTTCTGACCTGCTTCAATATCTGAAGGACCCGCGCCAAAGACAGTCCTTGAGAGTTTTGCAGAACAGCGAAGAAAAAGGGCATGAGATTTACAAAGGTGGCATTCCTGGAAAACTCGCTCCTCCTCTGGCAAAGAGGCAACAAGATCGCCTCGACCGAGAGGCTGCATACGAAGAGAGCAAAAAGGAGCTGGGCAAATGGATCGAAACGGTCAAGCGAAACCGACGAGCAGAGCACATATCTTTTCCCCTGGAGGACCCTGCTGCTGTTGCTGCGCCGGGCCGTAAAAAGCTCGGTCCGACGTCTCAATCACAACCAATGACCTCTCTAGAGTCAACAATTCAATCGATCATGATCGAAAGTGGGATGCTGTCCCAGGATCATCGTTCAGCAGACGATCAGGAACAAGCCTATGAGGATCTTCAAGAGAAGCGAATACCGCTAGAAGAAGTTCAAGCTAGGCGAGCAGAACTCCGGCGAGTCCGCGAGCTGATGTTTCGCGAGGAGATACGAGCAAAGCGGATAAAGAAGATCAAGAGCAAGGCGTATCGTCGCGTCCACCGCAAAGAGCGTGAAAAGGCAACTCTTGAAAATAGGACTCTGCTGGAAGCACAGGGTTTGATCAACTCGGATGAAGAACAAGAGCGGAATGACCGTCGTCGGGCTGAAGAACGCATGGGTGCGCGTCACCGAGAGAGCAAATGGGCCAAGAGTGTCAAAGTTACCGGGAGAGCGGCATGGGATGAGGATGCTCGACATGGAGTGACTGATCTTGCCCGGCGGGACGAGGAACTTCGCAGACGCATCGAAGGCAAAGCCAACCGCGGCTCCGAAGAACCAGAGTCGGAGTCAGATGATTCCGATCGATTCTCCGGGACGGATGATGAGAGGCAGTGGCTGCAGAATGAGCTCGATGACATCGACCATCCTGAACCGGAATCCACCGAAACACGCCTCAGCGCAATGGCCTTTATGAAGAGAGCAGAGGCGGCGAGGAAGGCTGCTAATGAAGAAGAGGTCAAGAGCCTCAGACGCAGCCTGCGCGAGGAACATGATAACTCTGCAGAGGAAGCGGAATCCGAGGATGATTTACCCTTTGGGCGTCAAAAGTTTGGTTTGCAAGGTACAAAGGAAGAACCGAGACGCGAAGTCACTGTTCAGAAGAGCGAGTTTGAAGAACGCGAGTCGGATGCTGAGCTCGATATGGCAGACGAGCAGGGTGTAGGCCGAGACTCGGTAGCTGACCATGCGACTTTGAAGACGACGATGCCCAGAGCAGATTCGACTCGAACATCAAAGCAGAGCCAGGCTGGCAGACAGGCGCAAGGTGGGGAGGTTGGGCTCAGGGGTCCCGGGAAGACAGCCACGGAGAGTGTATCTCGCAACCCGGGGAAGCTACAGAAAACGAAGTCCAAGGCGGCCGAGCTCGAGCTCCAAGATTATACCAGCCCATCAGAGTCGGAAGATGAGCAAGACACCAAGTCTGCCCTTGCTCGTGCCATCTTTGCCGGTCCTGAGGAGTTGGAGCAAGACTTTGCCAAGGAGAAAAAGGAGACGGTTGAGGAAGAGGGTGATCAGATCATCGACAACAGTCTTCCAGGCTGGGGAAGCTGGACAGGTGATGGTGTCAGCAAGAAGGCCCAGAAAAGGGCCAAGGGCCGTTTCCTGACTACGATCAAGGGCGTCGCAGAAGACAAGCGGCAAGACGCCAAGTTGGAGCGCGTGATCATCAACGAGAAGCGCGTGAAGAAGAACAGCAAGTATCTGGCCAGTGAGCTGCCCCATCCCTTCGAAACACGGCAGCAGTACGAAAGATCACTTCGCCTTCCTCTAGGCCCCGAATGGACCACGAAGAGCACGTTCCAGGATGGAACAAAGCCACGGGTCCTGATGAAACAGGGCATCATCCGCCCCATGGCACGACCTTTGGTATAACTTGACAGGAAGTCTGCCGGCTCGGTTGCTCGGCGATCTGACTTGAGATGACAGGGACAGGGTTAACCCTGGCTGGCTGAAAGAAGGATTCGTGTTGCTACACAATGTACAGAGCCGTGATGTCCATAGTACTTGGTGTAACTCTCCAACACATATGCAGGCCGTGAATGAACAACGCGCATATCAGTATTTCGAGACAGGCCTCTCAGCCTCTGTCATTGGCGTTGTTGTTGTTCATCTTGTCCACTGAGGTAGCTCTCTTCCATCCCGCCATGCTTGTGACTCTTCCGTGTGTGCAATCCCTACCCCGGTGGCTAGTGGCTCACTGGCAGAGCTATTGAGGTGCGTAATGTCGAACATGGACCGTTGATCGGCGACATGCAGATGCGATCGAATACCCCGGACGAGCATCAACCAAGCAGCACCGTGCTGGCGGCTTAAGGCGACTGTAGAGACACCGGGGACGTTAGTCACACCACACACTGCAACCCCAAACCCACCTCAACAATGAACCCATCCTCCCGTTCACCATCCTCCGTCTTCGAACCTCCTCATCACGCAACGACCAGCTGCACCAGCTGCACGGTGATTCTCCTGGGCGATGAAGCTTGTTTGACGTTGCCAACGTGACCGGATCGACTGACTGACGTGGTAGTGACAGAGCCGGCCGGTGCACTGGACACCTGCTGCCGCTGCCTCGCCTGGCCAGCTTAGAGCACCACACCACACGCACACACTTCATCCTCTCACTCCTCGACCTGCACCTGCCTGTCTTGCGTCGCGTTGGCCAGTCCATGAAAGATGGAAGTTGCAAGGCTGACGGGAAGAGCGGCGGAGGGCTCCTGGAGGGAGGAGCCATGGGTGGCCAGTTCATGCGCAGGAATAAAATACAATGCTTTGAACCATCTCAACCTAGCTGACACCGACAATCCGCGTTCATCTTCCTCGAAACCTCTATTCGATATACCGCTTTTCATCATTTATCCTCTTATTCCTACTCATCAAAGCTACTCTCTTGACATTCCCTTGTATTCCTGATCAACGCCACGCCGGTCAAGTCTCGCTCTACCACGCAGCCTCCCTCGAGCTCGAGCCTCCGGCCGACAGACACACGGATCACCATCCTCGCCGTGCATGTTGGCGCCAAAGTCCACAGGTCTTGCTCTGGTACGCTTTGAACGACGCCCTCTTCCAGGCTCCTCTCTGCCCTGCACTAGCTCAATCTGGAAGTCTGTTGTCTCTTGATGTTCATCCGTCCATCAGCCTCCGGTGGACGTTTGATATAAAAGTGTTCCTGGAGCTTGTTTCCGCCATTACACCAGATATTGAACTCGCTCACAAACCTCCACCTCTTGACTGTCTCCATCTCTCTGTCCTCAAACGCTTTGATCCTTTGGGAACCAGAACTATTTCCGAATCAATCACAACGGACTCAGAGATCTTCCCAGTGTTCATTGATCTCGCCTCTTACTATTTCCGAATCAACCTCAACGGACTTAGCAGTTGAGAGATCTTCCCAGTGTCCATCGATCTCGCCGCTTACCATTTCCGAAAACTCTCCCTTCCCATATGATTGGCTAAATACCAATTCAAAATTCCTTTCTCCTGCTTTACTACCATGCAAACAACATGGGCCCCGATTTTGCTAACAATTTCACAGGCATTCCTCGCTGGAGCTTTACCTGCCCCTCGGATATTTGGTCAGTTGGACATCCCTGAACCCGATCTGAAGGGCAAGACCACAGCAACTTGCTAACATGGGCTTTTCTCACTCTAGCTGTTGGTGGACACTCCTTCACAGACGGACCTCCCTTCTCGACCTCGTTTCCTAACGGCAATCCTTTTTCCAACACTTTGGTACATTGGAATTGGGTACCAAGATCGACGGCCCCGACCACAGGAGTTTCCCCCTCTTCATCTGGAAGTTCGAACTCGGACAATGGAGTGGCAACTACCGGCACAGACGTTCCAACATACATGTCTACTATCACTTTCGTGGATCCCCACCTGAGTATTCAGACAGTTACCGTTACCAGCCTGTCATCTACCCAAAACCCAACCGTGACTTCTGCTAGTCAGAGCTTCCCAGACACAACCGGGGTAAGTCATATTCCTCCTTCCCACGGCTAGCTGCTGACGGATCTAGACCCTCATTTCTACACTGGAGACCGGTGGAAACCCTCCAGTCCAGCCATTCCCAACTAGCGTTCCAACCATTTCTTCAGCGACGTTGCAGCCTCTTAATAGTACTGTCCCCTTTGGCAATGAGACAGCTACGGGCCCGCGGAGCACTGTGACGGAGACCATAACACTGCCATTGACAACCTTCGAGACGGTGGTAGTCACACACACAGTTACCACTGTGCCTGTCCAGACAACCGCTCTGCTCACTTCTGTCACAGTCGTCAATACTACGATTACCTCTAATGGAACGGCCATCACTACATCGTCTGCAGGGACAACGGTTGTGACATCGACAGGAAGTACCTTAGTCGAAACAACTTTCTCCGCGTCTTCGACCATCACCGGAACTGTGGCCACAACCATTACCACCGGTGGCTCTCTGACGAACCTTCCCACTGCCACTTCTGACTGTCTGCTGAGTATGGGCTGTTATGGGCAGGACATATTTCAGCCTATTGCACTTGGTCAACCTCCGTCCAATATTGAGCAACGAAGTGGTCATCCTGTTCCCCGGCTAGGAGTCAGCAACTCCACAGGACCACTGGAAACCAACAAATTTTACCAGAACTTCGTCCTGGGCTCCCAGGGAGACCCGAGCTTTGTCATGCCATACTCATTGACGTGGAGCCAAGGTAGTGGCAACGCCCAGAGCTGGGGCATGGCTATCTCTCATGTAGATGGCAGCCAGAAAGTCTTTGGTCCAGCAAATACCGCTATCCCCGGCTCTCCAAACTCCTATTATATCAATCCGCTAGGCATTCAGTCACTCATCCTATCAGCGAGCGAGTTTGGTTCGAGCACCCTTTTGACGTCGGATTCCTTGCTGCCATTCTCTGCAAACATTCATCTTCAGCCATCCGCAGGCTCGTCTTCGGTACTCACTTTGCCAGTGGTTCAAGGAATGGGCTTCGTCACCGGTCAGTATGCCAATCTTCAGCCGGCGTTGCAGAGCAGTGTTTTCTTCCGAAACGTTGCTGCCGCTGGAGAGCCCAAACCTGGCGTATTCAAGTACAAGGTCACTTTAGAGGACGGAAAGGTCTGGCTTATCTATGCTATTCCGACAAACGGTGTCGCTCCAAATTTTCAACTCATCTCCAGTACCCTGCTTGAGGGCATTTCCAACTGGTATGGCGACATTCAAATCGCAAAGCTTCCCGATGCCAGCTTCGAATCGATCTACGACGAAGCAGCTGGCGCATACCCGACGGCGGGACATATCAGCGGGTATGCACATGATGCCAAAGCTCAATATAGCCTCTCGTGGAGCAAAGCTGGTGCATATTCAAGCAATGCCACCCTCCTCATGTTCTCTTTGCCTCATCACGTCGACTCATTTGACTCTACTACCCGCGGAAATGTCACGGAGATGCAGCTTCAGACAACCACCAAAGGCAATGCCACCGCAGTGGTCGCGGACTATTGGGTGTTGGAAGAGGACGAAATGCCCACCACTCTTGACTTTAGCCCTTGGAGACCCGGGAACACTACTCAGAGTTTGGTTGCATTGTCTTCGGTAGCGATCTCCGCTATTCAAAGTGTTGCTGCCATAGAAGCCTCTCAAAACATGTCTGCCCAGACCAACCTCAACAGCATGTACTACAGTGGAAAAGCTCTCAGCAAGTTTGCAACGCTTGTCTACACCATGCACGACCTTGCCGATCAGCAGGATCTCGCCAAATCCGCTTTGCTCGAGCTGGAGAGTTGCTTCGAAGTTTTTTCCAGCAACCAGCAACAGTATCCTCTAATTTATGATACCGACTGGAAAGGTGTGGTATCGTCGGCAAGCTATGTTACCGGTGACTCGGGTGAGGACTTTGGCAACTCCTACTACAACGACCATCATTTCCACTATGGCTACTTCTTACACGCAGCTGCCATCATCGGCTATCTCGATCCGACCTGGCTCGTTGAGAACCAGGATTACATCAATACTCTCGCCCGGGACGTTTCAAATCCCAGCTCGCTAGATCAATACTTTCCGGTGTTCCGATCATTTGACTGGTATCATGGTCACTCTTGGGCCAAAGGGCTTTTCGAGTCGGGCGACGGGAAGGATGAAGAGTCATCTTCTGAAGATGCCATGTTTGCCTATGGTCTCAAAATGTGGGGCAAGACAATCGGCGACGCCTCGATGGAAGCTCGTGGCAACCTGATGCTGTCTGTCCTTGCACGCAGTCTGCAGAGTTATTTCTTGATGACATCCGACAACGTCAACCAGCCAGCGGAATTCATTGACAACAAAGTGACAGGGATTATGTTCGAGAACAAGGTAGACCATGTCACCTATTTCGGCACTGACCTGAGCTACATTGAAGGGTATGTTGATGCGCCTATTGCACCTTTCTTCGACCGCTGACATGTGCAGGATTCACATGATTCCAATTATGCCTTTCTCGACGTTGACACGAACACGTAAGTCCATTGAACTGTTGAATGTGAAGGTGTGCTCTGCTAACCCTTTCTCAGCGCAATTTGTGGAGGAGGAGTGGACAGCCTACTTTGCGGATGGTGCGGTAAGGCAAGCATCAGACATTTCAGGGGGCTGGAAAGGTAATGACCCTAGTGCCTTGAATGAAATTGGGGCGGACACTGACAAGTTTCAGGTATCGTATATGCAAACTTGGCGATAATTAACCCAACAGCAGCATACAACTTCTTCACGCAGTCTGATTTCGACGCGAGTTGGATTGATGGCGGCGCCTCTCGAACGTGGTACATTGCACTCAGCGCCATGCTCGGAGGAGTTTCCTGATCAAAAGACTGGAAGTGATGATTGACGACCTTTTCCCTTTGATTTCAGCATAGCGACAGACGGATTAGCGGGATAGGGCCATGGCACGGCATTAATGGGACGAGACGGAACAACAGGGAACGGAGTCCTGGCATGGACTGGATCAGAGGCAGACCGTGACTGTCGGTTTGTTCGATACCCCTATAGCGTTTGGCAGTTAATACCTATGAGCCTAAACACTCTGCAACCTTGTAGTGCCTCGAATGTGGTTGACGAACTCGGTTCCGATGATGCTCCTCAGGTCGGCCAGCCAGACAGAGGATATGGGACATGACCAACAGCTCCAACGGAGATGAGAAAGAGTTGGTCCACAAGATCTTCGTATGTGATTCCACTTGGACGGGGATCTGCACAGCAGGCTTGACGGTATGGAGTGCCACGGCGGCGGCCATGGTGGCCCAGTAGGTGACCGTGAGTGAGGATGTCGTCGCCGGGATGCCGGTGAGAGGCAAGAAATTGGGGGATTTCGACCTCGTTGGCAGCCGGGGCAGCTGAAAGGCCCTGGCAGGATTTGAGGAGTTAATTCGAGGGTTTGTGAAGTTAGTGATTGATTGAATGCACGCACGCCGAAGGAAGGTGAGGCCAAGAAGCCTTTGTAGCGACTCATCCTTGTATTGATATCTATCCAGAAGAGTAAGGACGACGTACTAAACAAGAGAAGCCCATAAGGGGAACTTGGAGGAAAGCTGACTCCTTCCCATTTCCAGCCGCTTATACAAGTGGTACTCCTCCTCACGAAGACAGCGGCCCCATGGGCATCCCTGAACACCCCCGCAGCACTGCTCGACGAGGACGGGCGTGAGAATGATACAAATCAGACGTCGGGAGAACGGTACCTAACTTGGCATTCTCATCAGCTGGGCGGCCGCCTCTGAGGCCGCCGTAGCCTCGGGTACACCTGAAGCAGCCATCGGGCGGCAACGGTGGCACGGGTCGCTCCCCGCGAGTGCCAGACATTCCTGGTATATCACGCCAGGGACTCATGCCATCATCGTTCTATACCCTCGCTAGAGCCGGGGTTGAGCGGGTGGAAGTGGTTCGCTGGTGTCTGGGCGATCGCCATTGTAAAGCCACAGAGCAGATCTGGACGATCACCCGAACAACAGATCCTGTTGTCTTTGACTTGAATTCTTGGGCATACTGTCATCGATTTCATCTTGCCACTGCCCGTCATCCCAACGGAACACGATTCCAGTCTCCGACGTTTCTGGCCCGGCGATCCTGACCCTGGTCAAGGGTGTTTGCATAAGCACGGAGCGCGCTAGTATACGGCGTAGCAGTCGGACAGTCAGCTTATGGGGGCGGCCATTTACGGCATCTTTTGCCCGGGATCCAGGTTGAGGGCCGACGAGGATCAACGACGATTGTTTCGTGGCCGCCTCTCGCTCTTCGTCCTCCTGGGCCACACATGCTCGAGGCCGTCGGGGGATGGGTGCCGGGAAGTTGGAACCCCCGCTTACAAGGTCGTACAGCTCCTTGTACTCTGGTTCTGGGAGAGGGGGGAGTGTGGCTTTGAGGTTCTGCAGGTACCACTTGTGCTTCAAATTCTTGTATCTTCTCTCCGGAAGCGGATTGCCCCAGGTCGTCTTCTCGGGTGGTGAGAAGCGCATCTTGACCTTGTACTTGTTGCTGGCCCGATCAAATCGATGCTGATGTTCAGCTTGGCTGGCAAGAAGGGCTTGCATTAGAGGAGGCGGATTCCATCCTTTTGAATATTTCGCCAAGGGACCGTCATCAGTCGGTGATGCGTCAGGCTTAGATGTCTCGTCGGCCTTTGTCTGAGGGGGTGCGGCTATGAATCTTTCCAGGAGCTGATGCCGTCGTGGGCCGGTACGACCATAGGTCAGACGAAAGACCTTCTCTAAAGGCCCTATGTATCCTTCATTGGCGCGCCTCAGGGTCGAATGAACCTTTCGCCCGCGGTGCAGCAGTTTGACTTGTTTTGGGAAGTCGATCTCCCTGCCTGTATTTGTTCTACCGAGTGTGTAGTTCGGCAGCCATCGTCGAAAGGACTCGGTGACGTGGGCCTTCATGTATGAGCGACATCGCGGGAGAGGCAGGTAGGTGCATTCCCTGAGAAGGGCACGATACAGGTGGACTGGGTTTGTGGTCATTCCATGCCAACGCAGACGGTCGGTTGGTCGGTCGACTACAGAAGAAGATGGTGCTTGGTGTGTGGTGTGTGGGAATCACAATCAGACTCGAGCTTCACAGGTTGTAGTGAAGTCACAAAATTCAGGGCGAGAAACGCGCTAGTGAAAAGAGCAGCCAGAGACGCGACAACCGGCCTCCCCGCTCTCGCCCACGACACGACACGACCACGACGTGATCTGATCAAATCACCAGTTCCGTGTATGGTCTGCATGTGAGCAAAGCCATTGTCCAACGGCCCGTTTGTTGACAATACTGGTCGGGTCTAATCGCAACCTCAGTGCATGCAGCCTTGGTGTCTGTGAATTGCCTCTGCCGCCATCACCGCACCCCCTGGCCTGGCGCTATCGACCTCACCTGCGTCCACTTCCTCCACTTCGCTAATCGGTTTTCGCAACATCCAACCTTTCTCGACCGTGCACCGCCCACAGCCACAGTTACCGTGGACCGCAGTTGTGTTTGTCGCATTTGTTCATCAACAACGTCCACGATCGTATCACTGAACGGCTCTCACATCTGGGAGGAGAGGACCGGGCCGGCCGATTGACCAGAGAAACTACATGGTTCCTTTCCCCTGATTGCAATCCACCCCGACCGCGCAACTGCGCCCGATCATGCCCTGACTCGGGATATACTTTCTTGACCACACAATCTCGTCTGGCGGTCTCTCCGTCGAGTATACAAAACAACCATGATGGCATCGGGCGGCATCGAGACAGGAGTCTATGCGCAAGCACCCCCGTCATTCCCTCAACATGGTCACTCGAGTTCGATGAACGCTTCTTTCTCTCAAGCACCTCCTCCGATGAATGCTTACGAAGCTCACTCTGTCGCTTCGACGCCTGCACCGACGCCGCCACCACCTCGGTCTGCTTCGGACCACCATCAACCGCAGCAGCCGCAGCCGCAACAGCAACAGCAGATGGCATACAACATGAATGGTGGGGCCCCGATGGTCAATGGGGGCATGATGGCTGCTCCCAACACATTTGCTGGGTATCAGGATGCAAATGTCTATGCGCAACCGAATTTTTATGCCAACGGAGTTAGGCCACAGATCTATACTGTTAGTTGCTCTGCCTCCGTCTTAGGACTCCGGACCCCCTTCGCTAACGAGCTGCTAGGCCGTCTACTCCAACGTGTCTGTCTTTGAGATGGAAGTCAACGGCATTGCTGTAATGCGACGCCGAAACGACTCGTGGTTGAATGCGACGCAGATCCTGAAGGTCGCTGGAGTAGACAAGGGCAAAAGAACAAAGGTCTTGGAGAAAGAAATCACGGGCGAACATGAAAAGGTCCAGGGCGGCTATGGGAAGTACCAAGGCACCTGGGTCGGCTACCAGCGTGGCCGGGAGTTTGCCAGGCAGTACGGAGTAGAGCATATTCTGCTGCCACTCTTCGAGTACGATCTCGCCTCTGACGGGATGCCGGGTATGACACAAGGAATGGAGACACCCACCAAGGAGCAAGCCATGGCTGCCCAGCGAAAGAGACTATACGGCGGTGACGGTCGACCGCTTCCGCAGTCGTCAGGAGGCACGTTCTTCAAGAGCATGTCCAGCACAGCTGCAAACGCGATACACGCCTTGAACCGAACGCGGCTAGACTCCCCCAGTCAAATAGATGGACGACGATCAATGGGGCCGCGACGACAATCTCAGTCGTTCAACTATAGTCAGGACTCGATGTATGGACAAGGGCCAAGTCAACAGAGCATGCCTAGCATGACCTCGCAAGACAGCTTTGGCACAAACGGGGCCATCATGAGCCAGGGAGCGAGCTTTGCGGATTTTGGAAATGCTGATATTCAAGAGCCTCCACGAAAACGCATTCGGCCCTCGCCGCAGTCCTCTTTTCTCGGTGGTCCTTATGACGGACAAATGGAGTTGGCTCTTGCCGATGGTGCTCCAACCGAACCCAACGCTTCGTTCTTCTCCCAGTCAAGCCAATCGTTCATGCCGCCCGATCTGCTCTCCTATGGACTCGAACCTCTTCCACACCCTTCCGGACCACAGGAGGAACAAAAGAAGGAACTATTACTCGATCTCTTCATCGATCCCGGCCGGACGGACTTTGACGACCACCCAGCATTTCTTCGACTCAGTGGCGACGAATTTGAACTTCCCATTGATGGCTCCTGCAACACTGCGTTGCATTGGGCAGCCACGCTGGCACGGATCGCTCTAGTGCGCAAATTGTTACAAAAGGGCTTCAACATGAGACGGGCCAACAGTGGAGGGGAAACCGCATTGATAGCGGCGTGTCAAGCACGAAACAACCTCGACCACAACAGTTTTCCCGCTCTTTTGCAGCTTCTCGGACCGAGCATCGAGGTCAGAGATCGACGTGGCCGGACCCTCCTTCATCATATCGCTGTCTCATCAGCCATGAAAGGGAGAGCAGCCGTTGGGAAATACTACCTCGAATCATTGCTCGAATATGTCATCCGACAGGGTCCTACCCCGATACACCCGGCCTCCATGTCGTTTGACGGGGCGAACGGGGTCAACCCCCAGAGCCAGGGCAATGCATTAACCCTGGGGAGTTTTATGGATAATATTGTCAACGCACAAGACAAGGCGGGAGATACCGCACTGAACCTCGCCGCACGAACCAGCACGACCACGATTATCGATCAACTGATCGAGGTTGGCGCTGATCCTAATATTTCCAACCGTGGAGGCTTGGCTCCTGTCGACTTTGGAGTCGGGCTGCATGTGAACAGTCAGATGATGGACCAAAGCATGCAGATGTTCGATCCCTCTGTAGCGGCGGCCAGCTCGCCTCAGAAATCCTTTGAAGAGGCTCAGGAAGGAATAATCACATGTAAGTCTGTTGGGTTATGGAGAGCATGAATGAATGGGCTAACCGCAAACAGCATTACGCGACATTCTGTCACAATCAGAAGCCGACTTCGCCACAGAACTTAAAGAGAAAAACGAGGTTCTCGACAAAACCAACGCAGCTTTGAAAGAATCTGGAGCCTCATTGGCGGAAGAACGACGAAAACTTGAGGAGGCGCGAGGTAAAGTTCGAGAGAAAGAAGAGCTGGAACAGAAGATCAACAATCTACGGCAAGCCACAGGCCAATATCGGACTGAGTTGAGCGGAACGGACCCACCGACGACGATTCAGGACCACGTTGCCGTCGGAGAAGCTGACAAGGGACTTGACCTCGACGGTCAGCTACCTCTTGTGGCAGACCTGTTCCCTGATGGCGACGTAGACCCGGGCAACATGTCATTATTGACCCAGGAGCAAGCCAATTTCCTGGCGAGCCTGGAACGAGCGGAGGTCATGTCTGGCCGAGCGCAGGTCTATCAGCGACACAACGCACAACTTGAACAGATGGCAAAGACGCTCAAGGCACGCAGTGGAGAACTCGAAGAACGATACAAGAAGATTGTGAGCTTGTGTACAGGGGCGGATGAAGACAAGGTGGAAGGGTTGTTAGATAACCTGGTGCAGGCAGTGATCAGTGAGCAGAAGGAGATGAGTGACAACTCGCAGCTGGGGCGGGTCCGTGAGTTTCTGAGGTTAGTCCAAGGGTCAGGGAACTGAGCTGTACGAAGAGATCAGTTCATCAACTGGCTGATTCGTCGACTGCTCCGCGTGACGAGATGAGATGAGCTGAGATGAAACGAGACGAGACTGCCGGTGTCTACATGGGGTTGAGCCAGGAGAGAATGCAGGCTATGGTGCTCAGAAGACGAACGCGATTCTTGAATTGCATAGCCAGGTGTGCAAGCCATCCATCATGAGTGTATGTATAGCTATCCAATAATGCGAATGATTAATTCTCGCGTGACCAGGCCAATCCACCTCAAGTCAGCCTCGTCAGACTGACGCGTGCGGTGTACCGGACGAGCGAGCGGAGCGTATTGATCCCCGCGGGTAAACAGAATTAGATGCTAGATAGTAGATACCCCAGCAGTAGGTGTGGTTAACAATACTGTCAAGGAGGATGGATGTACTCCGTACAGGCAGATTGCGACTTGTTGGCGGTTGGATATCCGGAGTACATACTGTAGGTACATACGGAGTACTCCCTACAGCAGAACAGTATGGAGCACAGAGTTCCCATACATAGAAAGGGCGGCATGGTTGTAACAAGACCTTGGCTGGGCGGCTGAGTGAAGAGCAACCAGCGCCAACGGATTCCATGTGGGCATCGCACTACGTAATAGTTGGCGTTTCAACTGCTTCAGATCGGGGCGTCGGCAGCAGCTATGATAGGCATGTACACTACGGAGTAGGCTTAGGATGCCGCCTAGAGCGGCCGCCCTTGAACCGCGATAGGCGGCAGCTCCTGCTGGGTCCGACAACTGCAAGCCCCTGAGGTGGCGGTTTACAGTAAGGGCTCCCAAGGCCTTAGGCTTAGGGTCCGCCTAAGGAGCCCCTGTCGGCGGTGGCTCCTAAGGCTCAAGGCTTGCCCTGACTGGCTGCTAGACATGCCCCTCATTACCACAATTGACACAGCAGGTTCTCGACGCCTCCTTTCGTGTTTCTTCTCTGCATTGGCAGGGCGCCAAACCTTCACCAAACCATCAGTCAAGCCATCGACGTCGCTGCTCCCTCTCCAGCCAGTCGGATATCGTGCTCGTGGCTTCTCCCTTCTCCTGCTTCCGGTTCGCTACACGCCATTGTCGCGCATTCGTTTCCAAGGCAAAAGGCTGTTGTGTTGCTAACCACCCCTCTCCAGCTCCTGACCAAGCTCGCTCGCTGTCTGTTACGCGTCGGGACGTCCGATCATACCACACCGGCGAATGCGTGCAGGGAGAAAGAGAAAGAGAAAGAGGGAGCAGATACGGGAGAAATGTCCGAGAGACGAAGAAGGCAATGGCTCGTGCTCCAGTGCTACGTACAGAATAGTACGGATGGACAGCAGTCATAGCATCTGAGCATCCACCCTGGATCGACCTCGTCTAACCCCCTGTCTCTGCCTCTCCACCACACCGGCGGTCAGCGATTCGCCGCCTCTCCATCTCCTTTTGCTCGCGCTCCAACGGTCTGCGACCGAGACTTTTCGGCTTCGACCTCCCACTTGACTGTTTCGGAGAGCGTGTTGGAATGTTTCATGCCCAATCCACCCCTTGGGTTGGACTCACCGACTCCACGGCCTCGGTTGGTCGATTAACACGACAGACCGTGTCTTGTGCCGTGTCGAACCCCTCTCTGGCCACGGGGCTCTGCGACGGTAAGTGTTTTAATACGGGCCCGATCCTGCTCCATGGGCCACGAGCTTCGAGCAGCACTCAGACCACGTTCCTTTGCACAGGCCTCTCTCTGCCCCTTCTCTCTTTTCTAGCTTGATCTCCTCTCTTTCTGTGCTCGTGGGCAGGTTCCTCTATTCTTCCCATCGAGCTTCACATTCTTTGGCGATCGCTGGCCGTGCCGACATTCCTTTGTGCGCAAGCAGTGCTTGACCTCACCACCGGTCTCGACGACCTATTCGAACATTTTGGACCCGACGATACAACCAGTCACTATCGAACAAGATGCATCTCTCGACCGTCATTGCATCAGCTGTGCTCTTGTTGGCGGAAGCCAATGTCATTTCCGCCAAAGCGATCATGCATATGCCGGGCGCACTGAGGAGGCGGCATCATCTGGGGCATATGGAGAAAACGGCCGATCGAATTCTTCGTCGAGAACCGCAATCCAACTCGCTTCTCTCGGTGGCCGCGCCAACCAACACCACCAACCAAACTATTGCCGCAGCCTGTGTCAGTTCTTTGAGCAAACTCACCTCGGTCGACAATGATGCTGGGCTCGCTGCTTGCTACAATGTCATGCAGTTTGATTCCAAGCAAGGCGCCTTTGAGGCAGATCTCCGACTTTACCAGATGTTCGACCCGTCTGGAAGTTTTGCCGGCCTCTCTGTCAACGATATCATGCTCAGTGTTACATACCCGGCCAGCACCATGTTCCAGTCACTGACCAAGCGAAAGAAGCGGGATGTTGTGGAACGACAATCTGCCGCCGTGTCTGAGGTGCAACAGTATACTCTGTTTGGCACGTTCCAGAAGAACCTGGATCTAAGCAAACTCAATGACACTCAAATCATGTCGCTGATGCTTCCGGACGTCAAGCTCAACGCCGTCAACTCGTCACAAACCCCCATCACCGCCAACGTGACCGCCGCCGACGGAGCTTGGTTCGTGGTGGGCCAGTTCAGTGGCGAATTCAAGAATAGCCTGGTCGGCCCGACCGTTGCAACTGCGGCCATGGCCGTCGCCGCCCCTTTTGTACTTCCAGGAGTGACTCTGGGAATTTTCCCTACTGGATTGATCATCACTTGTGCCTGGACTGTTTTGTTCTTTTTGGCGTACGGATTCGGGACCCTTGGTCGCATCAAGTACAGAGACGTCTATAGAAAGAGAAAGGCCGCTCAGGCTGGTCGGACGGGCAAGAGAATATAAAAAAGAAACGGCCAGGAAAAGACCGACCTGACCTAGGATTTAAACGGATGGGACTGCTAGTTTTAGAGCCTTTGAACGATACCCTCACTCGCTTGGAATGCTGGAATGCTGGATGTTTGGCATGGCGTGTGTATGTACGAATGAACGAATAGCGATAGCGATGTTGAATGGGGATTTTGAGAGTCCATTCGAATTGAGAGACTTGAACTGAAGACTGACACTGTGCTGGTTGTATGCGTACATGGCCACTGACTGGTGACACGGCGTTTGTGAATCGCGTCGCCGGCACGTGACCGGTCGAGAATTTTCAAACTTGGGGCCAGTCAAACCCTACGACTACGAACGACTGCGACTGCGACTGCGACTGCGACGATGATGCTGTTGATTTCCGCCTTGGTTCGATCTGGGCGGTTCATGTCATGACCACTCGCTTCTCTGCTCCCTGAGCCACCGGGTCGTTGTGTCGCACGGGCGTCTCCCAGGCTTGTATGCATAGCACATACAGTACCCTGTTAGGTGCCTGTAATGCGTCCTGACTGTCTCTGCCCGGGTGGTCCAAACTGACGTTGACATTGACATGGAACATCTTTTCCCGTATCCCAAGATGGGGTCTTCCTTTCTGGACATCCTCCATGATCCTCTGACCCGGAAGCTCCTAGGATTCGACGCTGTCCACGCGGAGCAAACTCCATTCGTCGGCGGTGTCACCTCAAGGCTGAAATTCCTCCTCCACGACGCTACCAACCATCTCTCGTTCCTCAAACTCGGATATACCGCGCTTGAGGCATTTCTGCAAGCGAACGTCACCGGTCCGCCGCTCGACTTCGATCCCGAAGAGGCTCTTTTCCCCGTAACATACCGCAACGAGAGTCTCCCGTCACTCAAAGAGGCACTCTTCGAATCTCTCTCGGTCGATGGCAGTCGGCCCTATCCTTTGACTCCACACATCGAACTGTTTTGGCTGGCAAAGGTCATCCTGTCCAATCCCACCCTTGCCGACGAAGGCTTCAATGGCCGGAGGGCACGCATCAGAGTCAACTTCTGGCACCAGAAACTCCTGTCGGAGCCGTCACCCTCTCTCCGCGACATCATCTACTCGGATGCTGACATTCTTGAGCGCCAGCTCACATCGCGTGTTGCCTCCCACAGCGCAGCTGCGGAAGAACACTTTGTCGAGTTTCTGGTCGAACGAGCCACCATACGCACGTACTATGGAGACGACGCCCTTGCCAGAACAGATCTTGCCAGGGCGGCTACCACGCGGCGTTTCCAATTCGCTGTAACAGGCGTGCTGGGCAAGCGCACCAAGTTCCAAGACCGAGATATAAGTCAGCTGGTTGTGCTGGCCAAAAGTACAGGGCATGAGCATGATTCAGAAGCCCCCAGTACTCGCGAACCTACTAACCCCACGGGCGGCCATGAGCACTCCTCAGCCCAACCAAGCAAACCCGAGAATGTTCCTCTCAACGATGACACTTTGCTCGAGCAAATTCACTTCACATCCGAGTCCACATCGACAGCACCTGTGTCGGAAGAGGCCATGACGCACGTGGTTACCAGCTCTTCATTGCCTCCTCAATTGGCCTCCCTCGACCCGTCCAACCAACCTCTGCTGTCTCCAATTGACAGCGTTATCCTCCTCGCCACTGCAACTAGCATCTCCAATACATCCCCTGACGACGGTCTCCTACGAGAAGAGACACTGCCCTACGCAACCCGAGTACTTGAAGGCGGCTCGTCAAACTGGCAGGTCTACACCCAAGCTCTACTGGTCAGAAGCCGCATCGAAGGATACAGGTCTCGCACTACAGAGAGAGGACTGTTGCAGCTACAAGCGCTCGTCGATCAGGTCATTGCCGAAACATCCGTATCAGCATCCCCAGCTTCGACATCCGAGCCACCGCAGTCTGTACCACCCTCCACATTCCTCCCGAAGCCCAAAGCCTCCGAATCCGCATCTGTTGCCGAACGTTTGAGGTACATTTACCAACTATCTCCGCCCTTGCGGTGGGAGCTAGAAGCCGAGCTCGCTGCTCGCTGGACTCATATGGGCGGGCTCAAAACCGCGTTGGAGATCTATGAGCGGTTGCAGATGCAAGCAGAAATTGCACTCTGTCTTGCCGCGACAGACCGAGAGCAAGAGGCCATCGAATTACTTCGAGGTCTACTGTTTGAGGAACCCGCGAAGGAAGAGAAGGCTTCGTCGTCTTCGATAGCGACATTGAAACTCCGTTCCCAGTCCCCCGCCGACTCACCTCGTCTTCTCTGCATTCTGGGCGACATCACCGGTCTACCGTCCTACTACACTCTGGCGTGGAATGTCTCGTCGAACAGATATGCCCGCGCTCAACGCTCCCTGGGGCGACACTTCACCAAGAAGCGCGACTTTAACGCCGCAGCAGAGGCATACACGCTGGCACTGGGCATATCCCGCCTCGATCGCGCCAGCTGGTTCGCTCTGGGCTGCATCCAGCTCGAGTTGCAAGAGTATCAAGGCGCAACCGAATCCTTTACACGCTGTATCCAGCTCGAAGATCAAGACGGCGAAGCATGGTCGAATCTGGCAGTGGCATTGCTGAGACTCCCCAAGCCGGTGGCAGAGACACGTGGGTCCGAGTCCAATGGAGACGGCACGGACACGACTACAGGTCAACCCACTGCCGATCAGACTGGCGTAACCGGAGTAGCGGAGGATGAGGAGGAACAATCCGACGCTCTCCTATCTCGAACCAGCGTCGATCCCTACCAGCACATCCGAGAGGCTCTGCGCGCCCTACGGCGTGCCGCCACGCTAAAACGCGACGACGCACGTATATGGGACAATTACCTCACCGTGGCGGCGAGTATCCCGCCGAGCGCAGGGACGCCATGGAACGAAGTAGTCCAGGCTTTAGGGCGAGTGATTGAACTGAGAGGGAAGAAGGAAGGAGAAAATGCCGTCGATTTGGGCATTTTGAGGGTTCTAACCGAGTACATCACTCGTGAGTGGGTGTATCCTACCTCTTCTCTGGCGTCTGAGGAAGCCGATGACCAAGGACATGGAGCCGAGCCTGAATCTGTATCACAGTCGGCGACGGCGACAGCGACAGCGACAGCGACGGCAGCAGAGAAGCCTGAAACACAACCGACCTCAGCGTCCGCCGCTCCAGACTCGGGCCCCGCAAAGCTGCCGTATCTCGCACGATCCTTCCTCGCGCTCATCGACACACAAGTCGCGCCGCTCGCAACTTCATCGCCGCCGCTGTACGATCTGCTGTGCTCGATATCCGAGTGGCGCGCCCGACCCAGCCAGGCTCTGCAGTACGCGGAAAAGGCGTGGCGCGCACACCTGACGAGCGTGTCTGCCGCCGAAACCTTCGACCAGGTCAGCGCATCACAGTGGGCCAGCGTCGTCGACAAGACCATCTGGCTGATCCAGCGATACCGAGACCTCGGCCCGCGCGAGCGAGAACGCACTGGCGGCCAGGTCGAGCCCAAATGGCGCTTCAAGGCGAAAAGCGCGGCCAGGAGGGTGCTGGGCCGCGGGAAGCAGTGGGAGGAGACGGACGCGTGGGCCAGGCTCAAGAATGAGATGGATGCCCTGAATGAATGAGTACAGAGTACTGTTACATACATACATACCGTACGCTTGTGGTTATGTGCGTAGCGCCGCAGCGCCGCTGGGCATAGGGTACTTATTGTGCAGGTAGTCTGTACATAGGGTACTTATTGGACAGTGTAGTCTGTGCATAGGGAGGGTACTAGGTACTTACTGTACAGTATAGTCTGTGCATAGGGAGGGTACTTATTGTGCAATATGGTCTGTGAAATACCCAATGGTGAAAAGTACTGTATGACAATGTACTGTATGTATCTGGACCTACCACCACTCACACTGCCTGCCATGCCGGGTCTTCATCAAAAGGAAAAGGAGCTACTTACTGTAAGAGAACAGACAACGCATGCATGCATGATATTGACTACGTACGTATGATTACTGACAGACAATGAGGCAAGTAGGCCCCTTTCGCTTTTCACTCCCCGCTCCCCACTCCGATCCCTTTCTTCTTGGATAGTTGGTATTCCATTCGAACCGTCACAATCCCTTTCTTCTTGGATAGTTGGTATTCCATTCGAACGGACACAATCCCTTTCTTCTTGGATAGTTGGTATCCCATTCGAACGCTGTGTCGGTGTCTGTACACTACTATGTCCGTCCGACCGACCGTCCGTATCGACATGGACATGGACATGGACATGGACATGGACATAGACAGACGCACCAACATGGACAGACGCACCAACATGGACAGACGCACCAACATGGACAGACGCACCAACATGGACA